CAAATCGGGGAGATATTTGAGAGCACGAGAGCCGCAGGTGTCTATCAAATGACCAGATCGAGTGCTCGAAACTCGTATCGTTCGGGAAAGGGTCTGTCCACGCTCGCAGCAACGCGGTCGACAGCCAGACTGGCCTTCCACTGCGTCGCTCCCAATCTGAAAGTAGAAGCAGCTGCGACCGCTTGGCCTCTTCTGCTGGCCGGGTGACGACCGCGCGCGCACCTCGGAGGACGGGGGTTCCGCGAAGGCAGCGGTGGCGGTCGGAGCCAGCCGTGCGCGCGAACTAGTTCAATGTCAGTGGGGCTCTCGGTCAGGGGCGGCGGGGGCCGCTTTCTCCTCTTCCGGTCGTTCCAGATCGGACAATGGCGGCGCCGGTCGTTGTCCTTCTGGACTCGCTGCTCGGCAGCCGGGTCCGCCTTTGAGGGCGCCCCACTTGGCCGCCCGGGCGGCCTCGAGGGGACCTGGGCTGCTCCAGATCGCGAGGGACGCGACCCGGTCAACCCCGACACGGCGAGAACGCGCGGACACACGGGCACGGGGCCACCGCCGCCCATGGCCGTGCTGCGCCGTGCCGCCGTTGCTTGCGCAGCCGCACGGTGGCGACGAGAGGGGTGGGAACGGGAACTTAGCTGCAAAGACCCCGGAAATGCTGTGCGGGGGAGGAAAGCTGCAACTCGGAGGACTCTCTCGGCACCGTTCGTCGGTATGGTCGAGAGGAGAAAGAGACACAGTCAAGAAGGAGAGCAATTATTATTATGATGATCATCAGTCCGGTATTGCTTACGAGACTTTTATCGAGGTTTTATCTCACTTTTATTGAGCATCTGATATATGACTGTGTGCTGCATTAGTATATCGTGCCGGCCAGCGCAACCAACTTCTTTCTTTGTCACTGTTGTGTCAATAATTATTAATTATAATCAACAATATTATAACAGTAAAATTTATTCGGTGCCCGGGAACGAGAATACTGTCTGGTGTTGGTACACCGAAACAGAAACACTACGAACTACCTAACACAGATTAAAAAAAAACAAAAACACACACACACAAGGAAAAATAGAAAGGTGGCTTTTTCTATGCAGAGTCGACCATACATATCAAATATCAGAAAGATTTGTTTATATTTATAGCATATCATAAATAACATACTAAAGTTAAGTATATACATATGTCAATATAAATGTAACGAATTCAATCTTCACGGAGAAATGCCAGATATTATTACTTACCAAACTAAACTCCTTTCTCCGATTCTTTTTTTTTTTTTTTTTTTTTAGTGAGGAGATTATTAGCGTTGATCATGTGCAAAACTCCAAATTAACACAATATAAAGACCGAGAAAAAAATGCACGCTGAAGCAACGAGTAAATGCCACAAAAAGAGCGGCGTGTTTTATCTCGAGGGAAATTTAAAGCACGAATTTATCATGAGATGAGGCTATGCATGAACACACTAAAGACGGTAACGATGCATATACCGAAAAATAAACTAATTTTTGTCGCGAATTTTTTACATTATTTTCTCCGTGGGCGTGCAATCCAAGTACTCAGTGCGCGTTAAAAAAAAAAAAAAAATGTTTTGCGTGTTTTTTTTTTTTTTTTGTCTCTTTTGCGTTGTTACTAAGTCTGAGCAGCTCACCACACCTACTTGCGGAAATCCAAGGAGCAAAGAAAGATTTTGCTTTTCACTTTTCAGCTTTGAAAAGTTGGGAAAAGTTGTTAAGCCGCGGTAACACTGCCCATCCATCATACAAGAGACGGTCCAGACACTGTTGGAGGAAGCGTATTTTTTGCTTGGTATGACGCTCTTGTTACAAACTCTCTGCAGGCATGTTCGAAACGTGTATGAAGCGAACGTGCTTCGAAGGTGCTTGAGGAGTGTGCGCAACTAATTCTCTCATCATGCTTACAAGGAACACCGTGTCCCTCGTATGATGTATGAGCAGTAAACTGCAGCTTCAGTCCATTCATTTTTTGCTCGGCGATTTGAACTGTTTCTGACAGTGAGGCGGATCGAGCGCGACACGGACTCCTCGATAAAGAAGCAGCATTGTTGCGTCCGTGCTCGCGCAGGGGGGAGTGCCCTGCCCCCGAAAGAAGACGTGCCGCGAACACAATCGGGACCAGGCCGAGCGGAGGGGCAACGGCTCCAGAGGCGGCGGGGGTCCACGGTCAGGGGACCGCGAAACGGGGCTAGGCGGCCGGCCGTCGTCTCGGGGTTCCGTCTTCAAGGACGCCGGGGCGCCTTTCGAGGTCGGCGCACGGCCCCGAAAACGCCATTCTGGGTCGCTTCCCCGGTTTCGGGCGCCAACCCGCGCCACCCCCTTCGGGGCGGAACCGCGTCCCTCCCGCCCCACCGGTCGGGTCCCCCCGAGCAATAGGGAGTTTTCGTAGACCGCGTTTTCTCCACCGCTGAGCCCTCCGCAACGAAGAAGCCGCTAATGCGCTTGCGCGCCGATGGCCTTGGCTGTATTGTTCCGGGTATCGTAGCGGGTTGCGGAAAGCGTTGCGGGACGGCGAAAACGATCTACGAAAACTCCCTATTGCCACATAGAGGAACATGGCCAGCGCGTTACGTCATCGTCACTGGACCCCCCCCCCCCCCCCCCCCTCTCCCCTCCCTTCCCCCGACCCACGCTGAAGCTTGGCAACACCGAGTGCTAGCGTCACGCCTGGTCACGCTACGAGAGTCGCTGGCGGTGATAAGGTACGCGGCACCGTAAGTAAGGTACGCGGCACCGTGAAAAGGCCTCAGCCACTCGACCCCCCCCCCCCCCTCCCCACACACACACACGCGCACACACTTTTTTTTATTTTTTTTTTATTGAGGTGACAACATAGGACGCCTTTCTTCTTCCGGTGCGGGCGCTCTTTTCTTCGGCCAGGCTCATGCGCTTCCCTTTACTTTGGTTGGGAGAAATCGGAATCTCGATCGTTACTCCGCTTCGCCTTACGATGGACCGCTGCGGATGCTACGAGCCCCTCCCAGAGTCAATCCAGCGCTATGAACGTATCGCGTGGCTACGCGATCTGCACCGCGATCCCCAAGGTCACGTGACACTAACGCGGCACTGGATTGGCTTCGATGGCTCGTAGCGTACTCTACAGTCCATCGTAAGGTAAGACACTCCTTTTCTTTTTTACATAAAAATAAAAGGGAAACGTTTGGGGTTGTGTGACTGTGATTCTCGTCTGCATCTTTCGGTGCTTTTACGCTTTCTAAGCTGTTTCAAACCTAAAAAAGTGTTTTTTTTTTCTTTACCTTTTGCTGATTTCGCGTTACGAAATGCGTATACAGGAATAATTTTTAATAATAAAAAAAAGAGTTATCTTCAACATTGTAAAACCCGAGACGTAGAACAAAAAGAGAAAAGAAAGGGGACAACACAGTGTCTCCCTTTTTCTTTTCTTTTTTTGTCCTACGTCTCGGGTTTTACAATGTTGAAAGTTCACCAGCTCGCTTGTATTTTCTCTGTAATTTCTATGTTCTCTTCTCTCTTTTTTTATTTATTTTTTATTAAAAAGCAATGTATCGCCATGTTTTTTTTTTTGTTTTTGTTTTTTCTCTTTCCTTCTTGCTTTTGGAATTTTTGCATAAACACCTTTCTCTCACAAGAGAGGACGCGATAACAAATGATGACCACCACGATTCCGAGAACCGGATGTGACGACCCAATCGAACTTGCCGATTGAAATGTCACTTCCTCTCTCCCCCATTTCAAATGCAAATACACATAAGTAAAACAGTTGCCATGACGATAAGTAGAAAAAAAAAAAAGAAAACTAACTAAAATGAGCTACCCATACGAGATTGACGGAAACGTTACAAAAAACATCAACGAATATATAAGTACCTGGGGCTAACATCGCACAAGTGATCTTAACTGGAATGTGCACATAGAAGCGCTAACTCAGAAAGCCATAACAAAAGTGTGGTGTCTGCGAAGACGGCTAAAGAATGCATCACGCGTCACTAAACTCGTAGCATATACTACATTTATTAGGCCTCTGCTTGAATATGCTTCTCCCGTCTGTTTTTCTTTCTCAACAACATTCATATATTGGATGCACAAAAGCTTCCTGTTCGCTTCATTACCAATAGGTTTAGCTAGTCTAACTTGCCTACCGAACTTAGCCGCAGACAAAAAATCCAATCACTAAAAAAAAAAAAAAAGCAAAAAAAAAAGCCAAGCTTTCCAGGCTAAAATTATTATTCCGAATTGCTAGTAATGTGACTAACATAGATAAGTCTGAATACCTTACTGCTGATGATAGAACGACACGCTCAAACCATGGGAAACTATTTGAAAAATTTCATTCCAAAAATAATTGCTTAAAATTTTCCTTTTTTCCTCTTGCCATCGAAGAGTGGAATAAGCTGCCACAACATGATGTCCCACGCGAGCTCACTATCGCAAATTATGAATGATGTTGAAGTGCTCCTGATATGAATTATTTCTTCTGTGCTTTACACAGATATGTAAACTGTGTCTAACGGTCTTATTTTGTATATATCCTGCATTTGGAACCACCCTACTAAAATCCTTATGTGAGGATTAGTAGTACTCATAAATAAATAAATTTCAGGGCAGCAAAGGTTACAAAGCCCACAGGGGGCAGTGACACGCGTGTCTTGGCGCGTTTCTGTTCCCTCTGTTATCACTTTAAAAGAGAAAATGTAATATGTATGAATAAAAAACTTGGTCAGTGTAGTTTGATTTAAATCCCCCACGTTTTACAAGCATAAAATTAAGTTCCACCTAACACAATCGTGAAGGAGAGACAAGTTTTTATATTAAGTATAATAAACATTTACTCAAAAGACACCGACTAAGGAACGTCGGATAAAAAGAAATATATAGGTTACAGTGGATGCAACTTATCTATCAGGTGCCTTACAATGTAGCCTAAAAAAGCCAAAACATAACTGTCAACAAATTTAGGGCCAATAATACCAACATTGATTTATAATAAATTATAAAACCATACTCAGTCCACTGCAAGTGAACACGGTTTTATTTCAACTAGTGTGGCACATATCTGCGAGTGAACATAGCTGTTTGGCTCACGTCCTGTGCTTTGTTTCTGACTTCATTCCTCCTAAGCAGGGTGGCGACTGCTTGGTCTGTCCTTTCCACTTGGCAGGAGTTGACGTCTGCACAAACAATTTGCGATGTGGCATGCCTCAGAGTAAAGAGAGAAAGATGAGAGTGCAGACGACACTAACAAAAAATAGTACTAATAATCAAACCACTTTAAACCACATTTCAAACTAATAAACTAATACATTCTGGAAATCAGGAATTCAACTACTTTCACTCTCAGGATATTTAGGCCAGTCAGACTGCGCCGTTGAGAACACAAACCCATGGGCGTACCCACCGAGGGGGCAAGGGGGGTGGGTAGCTGCCCCCCCAGTTCTCAAAGTGGGGGAACAAGGCATGTGTTTTGCCTCCCCCCCCCCCCCTCCACCCTTAAACAGCTGCCTTTGGGCAGAGCAAACACTAGTCGGCGGCGCCACAGGGATACCAAGGGCACCACCCCCGCCCCGGGGGAAGGGGGGGGGGGGTCTAATTCCCCCCCCCCCCCCCCCACCACTTAGAAACAAGTTGGTACGTCACTGCACAAACCCACCTTTCTCAGTATGCAATTACTCACGTATTGTGTTACACTGTGACTGGCAGTCAACCACTCTGCTTGCACTATTGATTACTGTGGACATATTTATACTGGGACAACAAAGCTTACAGAGCAGTTACACTAATTATAATAAGGACATTAATTCCAAGAGTAAAACAATATTCGTCCCTATGCTGGCAGCAGCGATTTCATTAGACATGCTTCCCAGCAAGGGGGAGAGGGTTGTTATTTCTGAGACATTGCTCTGCTTACTTCAATTGCCAGTGCGTGGACGGGATTTTGAAGTTCTTCTTTCACAGCGCCATACACTAGTGCGTGTTGCTGTAAAGATACGGGACATGAGCACTCTAGCATGTTGTCACCGCAGACAAAAGTTATCTCAGTCTCGAGTACCACATGTTCAGACTATGTTTAGCCCTCCGCCATCTAATGCAGTTATCATGCATTTCAAATTTAACAGATTTAAATCTTTGCTGAATAAAGCAAGGTGTTCAATTGGACGAGTCAGTTCCCAATGAGAATAAATAAAACAGCACTGTTTGGCTGAGTCTTCCACTTTTCACTGTGTCATTTTTGTGCTGTTTTATTTATTCTCATTATGTTGGTTACATTTGGAAGGAGAAAAAAAATAGAAATATCATGTCCATATCTGCTTTTATAACATTTTCAGACAGACCTGCAGTGTGAACAGATTTGATTGAATGCTTATCCAAAATACTTGAACACACATGCACACCAATAAACAAATTTATTTGGGACTTTTCAAATAGGTAGCAAAACTTCTATGATAAATACCTCCTGCTACAAGCGGCAATCACTTTATAACCTCACCATTTCCACAACAATCAGAAGATGGTCATCGATCGTGCCATTCTGTGCCCCCCCCCCCCCCCCCCCCCTTACCACGGAACTTTTGGTACCTATTTTAAGCATCTAGAATTAACTCCTTGGTGCCTAAAGATGTGGCCTCCGACCGACATAAGGGTATTGGGTTGGGCATTGCCTTACCTGAACTAGACTCTTGCCTTCAAACGAAGCTGACACAACAGTTACTCGAAAATGTGTTTCAGAGCCTAAAAAAGAATAGAGAGAGAGACAGAAAGAAAGAAGATGGTGATATCTGCTGACACTGCCACCGTTCAACCGTTGGCTCGGTCTAGTTACCTTTCGGCACATTATGCATGTGGCTTTCATTTTCCACCAATAGTTCCGTGGGCTGAGCGTGAGACAGAATACACTCGGTAAGATTAGGCACATTTATTTTCGCCTGGTGGGAACGCGCGCGCGCACACATACAGGTAAAAGTGAGCTTACGTTTAACGCCTTCGAAAGTTTCTCCTCAATACTTCTCTGTACTTGCCCTCTCTGTTCACAGAATCAATGGATCAACGAGGCGGACGTCACACGAGGTTAAACGAGGTTCACTGGACCAACGACGTTAAATACCACTCACCGCCTGCGATGACTGGCTGCAGTATTGCCTAGCAATAAAAGGCACTGTCCAGCGAAACATCCTTTGCCCAGCAACAGTGAGAGGCATTGTCATTTTCCCGATGAACGAAAGCTGCGAGCCTCGATCGCTGTAGATGCCGAACGTGGATTCAAGATAGTTATATTATTTAACAATAAATTAATGACCGCATGTAGCCCTATAGCCTTCAAACATTTCGAACCTTGCTACGTACCTCTTATGAGGTAAATAGGCGCTTAGGTATAGTCAATAATTCAATTTGAAATGTATGAAGACAAAATTTACCATCAGACCGCTTCCATCTTGATATGACGATGACCTTCGAGGTTTCTGACTTTTAAGTGAGACCTATTTTTGTTTTGCTAGAAAGACTTTTCTTTGGACAGTGAATAACACAGAAGTAAATTTAATAAAATTGTATTAACAAACTTGGTTATTTTAGGTCTTAAGTTCATGGTTTTGTTTCAGAAAGAATACCGGCAGGCTGAAAACAGTTTCGTAATCCGTCAGGTTTCGATTCGCACCAAAGATGGCGGAGATATTCACGAACGAGAGGGTGTTTTACATCTGCAGCTGTGGATCGAAGCGTCCCATCGCTAGGATATATTTTTGCAGGCACTGCTCGAAACTGAGATGTGGCGATTGCGTCTCCCACGAGGTTAGTATTGTCGTTCCCTCTCCGTAAGCGACAGAAGAAAACCAAAAAGAAAGACTCGATCTTGATGCTCGATTCTGACATGTAAGCCTAGCATTGCACCGGGTCGTTCTTCGTAATTTTTCGCTATATTTCACTTAACCGCGTGTTTTCACCTGACTGTCTAACTGTGCCGAAGCACGCCTTACACGATATAAATCCCTGCATTTGGGCGCATTAGGCGTAGATGTCTGCTAGGGTATCTTTTACTCGATAACGCATGCGAGACAGACGTTTCTTCCGCATTAAAATCCACACACAAAAATAAACAAATAAATTTTATGTTGTAAAAAAAAAAAAGGCTGTTTAATTTGAGGTTTGATTTGACAGTTTGCTGGTTTAGAAATATGACTTGTAAAATCAACGCGTTTGAGGCCGTGCATATAGCACATTGAACAGCATCAACGCCAGGCAAAGGGATATCGGCACAGAAATGTGTGCTAGAAACCCTCGATTCTTTCCAGGTGGACTCGAACTACTGCTCCAACTGCCTCGAGTACATGCCGTCACCTGAAGCCAGGATAAAGAAAAACAGGTAGTGTCACATCGCCTAAAACTTGTTTCCGATTCCTGTGTTTGTGGGAGTGTCCTCTTCCTCAGGGGACACATGCACTTTCTCCTAAGGTGTTCGATCATTTCGCACGCTCGCACTTCGCTGGCTGCTTTCTCGGTGGTTCCAAGGCAAAGCGCCGGCCTACGTATCCCCTGGTAATGGGTTCGAAACCCAGCCGTAGTACCCGCAACCTGACGGAGGCTTCTTTGCAGAGAAGACACCGTGTAAACGATTTCGGTTACGCGGTCCTCCTTTTTGCGTGTAAAACCCAGAAATTTTACTTTTGATACTTGCACATTGCTGGCTTTTGGGGACAGCTACAGTAACATTTCACTGCTACGAATTTCATGAACCATTCTGTGGGACAGTGTGCTGTCAACAATAACCAGCAGCACAACAATGTATGCTATGTAAATTTCTGTGACAACATGGAACAATGAGGCTTAAATTAATTTGTGCTCTTTAATCAAATGCTTATTTCTATTTTTGCAGCTTGGTGAGTTGACTGCTTCTTTTCGGCTACCGGCATTTAGAAAGAGACACCAATTTTGTGACTGGAATCCTTTGCACACTTTTCATTGGCCAAATTCCGAGATCCGCTTTTAGACGCAACTGAACGAGCACCAACAGTAGCCTGGTCCCAAATGGGACGTGACACTAAGACGGTTCAGTCACAATTTGCATACAGAAAGTGACATCAACATTATCCACAAGTATCTAATATTTTATTTTTTGTCAGATTTTTTTTTTTTTTTGTGAAACAAAACGCATTTGCTTGGTACGTGTTTGATATTTTTCAAGACCTTAATTTCTCGAGAACTCCCACGTCTGCCACCTCGCCACCCCATGCAAATGTCATTTCGGTTATCCGGACCCAACCAATACTGTCTAGTAGACAAAACCTGCCCCTTTAACCACTCAAACGCCATCACCAGTGGATTCACGCAGTGCCACCCAGCTTGCGTCAACATCGCCGTCGGCGTATCTTGCAGCGTCTCTCAACGACCGAGACGCTAGCACGTAGCAACGCCAAGACGAACGCGTCTGCTGCTTTGCAGCTACTCTCGTCGAGTTTTAGCGTGTATGCCGCTTGGGACGTGTCAGTAGTACACAAAGGACGGCGTGATGCTCAGACCTTGTCTTCTAGGTGGTATTGAGCCAAACTGCATCCTCAGACTTCTTTGTGGTCACGCTCAAACCGCGCCCACAAGCTAAATCGGTAGTCAAGTCCGCATCCAATCCAACAGGTGTCAGAGCTGCTTCGACTGTCCGAGCTGCATGCACGCGCTGTCCGTGCGGGCGACCAGCGTCCAGGTGCAGACGCCGGAAGACCCGAACAAGACCGTGGCCAAAAAAGTGTACTACCTCGCTTGCGGATTTTGTCGTTGGACCACCAAAGATGTTGGCATGGCTGACCAACCCGTCGGTAAAGGCAGTTCAAATTCATTTTTGTGCTATCTTTTACAACTCGCAGAAAGAATGTCGGCATATTACATGCACAGCTTACTTTTTGATTAACTCTCGTAATATCAAATGTAGCGCTCAAAGTTTTCAACACAGAAAGAAGTGCAAAAATGAATAGCAATCATTTGTCTGCATTGCAGTGCAGCAGAATGCTGCCAAGGTTGTTGGATTTGTGTGATGACTCTTTTAATTTTTCTATCTTGCTAGCTTCCTTCTTTTTTTTGTGCATACCGCTCGTGCTACAGCTTTGATGATGCGCCTAGTATCGGTAAATAAATAAATTTTTGGAAGAGGAACATGACACTGAACTAAGTCACGGAATTTCCGCCCGCTCAGTTTGTGGAGCAGCGTTTGCATGTTGTGGGCTGACATGACTGCATTGTTTTCTCCATTGCCTGTCCACACCATTAATGCCATGAAACCTTTCTGTTCACTCAACAGCCAGTGGAGGATGGCCGGAGTTTGAAAATCCCTGGACCAAACGGGCAAGTTCAGTTTTGCTTATTCCATGTTTCGTTTGTTTTGCAAATATAATTTTGTTAGCATATTTCAACTCTTTTAGTTGAAGGAAGTATGCAAGTGCATGCCTGACGTAAACTCGGCTATAGCTCTCTCAGGGCTGATGTTTTGAAAAACATCTCTAGAGTTCAGGGGTGTAGCCAGGGGGAGGGGTTATGGTGCTTCAGCCCGCTCCCCCCCAATTAATCCAGCTGATCCTGTTATATATGCATGCATTTAAACCCCCCCCCCCCCCCTCTTCCCCTCCACACCCTAAGTCATGGACATTCCAGCCACCTTAGCCCCCACCCCTCCCTTCCCTTCGAAAAAAAAAAAAAAAATTCCTGACTACGCCACTGGTACAGTTGCAATTAGCGAGGTAAGGCTGGAGCAGGTTAATTTTATTAGGTGACATTGGTGGACTACTATGGTTCTGTTGAGACGAGCTTGGTTGTATTGAATTGTAGCTAAGCAGATGCACTTTGTTTTCATGAGTGAATTTATTCGCAGGTAAGTTCGCTGTTTGAGCACTACCGGATTGTGGCCCAAAAGGACAAGCAGGAGCGAGACCGCAAGAAGACTGGTCAGCGATCGGGCTACCTTCATTACTCCGTGAGCACATGCTTTTGCTGAGCCTTTCAGGGCTTGTTGTAGCATACTATATCTTGAAGGGGCACTTACATGAATCTTTTTTAACATTACGAATACTAAACTTAAGAAAAGGTGACTACCCAGAAAAAAATGTTATGTCAGTTCTATGCGCTTAGTTTGTGTAAATCGACTGTGGCTTTATTGCTTCTGTGTAGAAAAATTTAGAAAGGGTGTCTCCACAAACAATATATTTGCGGTGATTATAGTTTGAATATTTGACAACTTTAAATGCTGCTTTTACACCAGTTTATCACGTTGCAACTTAGATCACAACACTGACTTCAATGATCTTCGAATAATCCTGTTGCCCGTCTGCCAAGTTAGACATAACATTTGTGCACAATTGGCATCAATATTTTGATACTACGTTGAAAGTGTAATGCGCTTGCTCTTGTGGAAGTTCCAAGTTTGCACTGACAGAATCACATTTAGAGCACTTAAAATTATAAATGTTTAATTAATTAAGAAAAAAAAGGAAAATTAAGTACATTGCAGGTCATATACGAATATAGGCGAGGTTTATTGAGCGGCCGGTATATAACTAAAAGTCAGATTTGGAACAACTTCGTTCGGACAAGGACACAAAGTCCACGGATGCAAATAACGGGATCACTATCTGTGATGGGCGATCCCCATAATACACTGTTCTTTTTAAAATCTGCCAAGACTCGAGTGTCTGAAAGGTAGATTCTTTTTTTTTCCAGGACCGATACGGCGTTTCAACGGTGGTTGCCAAGAAGTTTGCTGGACTCGTGGGTCCAGGGTAAGCGTGCAGCCCGATTTACGGATTTGTCTCGTTGAAGCGGCGACCTTGGCAATGAACGTGCGGAACTCGTTTCTAGGACCTTAGAAGGAGCTAAACTAACAATAGGCAATGCTACACTGAATTGGGGCACTTTCAGAAAATGTGTTGTTGTGCCTCATTGCAGTGAACGTGCATAAGTTCCTCTGAGGGCAGTCCGGTTTCATGCGTCTATACCACATTTCACGGCTCAGCATTTTATGAAAGATGGTTGGCATGACTCTTTCAGTTAAATTTTTGCCGAATTGTCATGATCCTGCTCTTTGTGATGTTAAAGCTAACGAAAAATACTAAGAGTATAAGTTCACTTTTAGCTTTAGTATGGCATCATTTGTTCATCGTGACGACGACTTTGTAAGATGATTCTACGAGATGGAAGCATGAAACATATGGGTTATGAAGACATACAAGCACAGGCTTTCAGCTTACAACATTTATTTTTTAGTTAACACTCCACTCTAGCAATCCTCAGTTTGGTAAAGGTACTCCAAGTGCGGAAATATTATTTTCTCTCCCTCTGTTACCCAACCGAGAAGTGAAATTCCGGCATTCCGAAATAAACGTTGTCCGTCTTCGTACCTGTAGGTTCTCTGTTTCTGTTTCCTAGAATTCTATACCTAGAGATCTATGCTAATGAAACCATATGTAAACTAAAACCTATTAACTGGCAAGTTAGTGCTTTTCTTTCAGTACATAGCCAATATTAATGTTAGATACATATGGCAGAAGTTGGTTGCATTACTGTTGGGCTTTGGTTTCACCTTGCTTGTGCGAATTCTCCCCGACTGTGTGCAAATTGTTTTACAATTCAGGAAGAAAGATGAAGACGCAAAGGTGGCAGAAGAAATGACGCCGGCCACTGCCACCGAGGAAATTGAACCACTTCCTGAGAGTTTTTTTACCGAACCTGTGAATGTTGCTAAAGGTGCGTCACTCTACACATAGTCTTCATCAAAGCTTGCTGCAAATAGATCGTCAGGATACCAAATTTGAGTCTCAAACAGGCACTTTTACTTGTTATAGGGTTCTCTGTTTGTCTAGTTTTACATTTTGCAAAATTAGGGCAGGGAGAAACAGTATCAACATTGGATGTCATGTAATTTTTTCTTTTAAGACTTGGCATGTAATTGAGATTTTAGGGCTCGTTCCGGAACTCGGGTGGTGTCGAGACATCCTCTTCAGATAAACATGAACCGACTTCCATCGGAAATAGCAGGTTTGAATTTATACGACAAAAAATGGAGAAATTAGCATCACATATAGTATTTTGACCTGCATCAGTTTTCTGGTTAGTCTATCTTGAACAAACTCTCTGCATTTACAAGCACTATCTGACTGTTTGAGCAGAAAGCGTGTTGAGCATTAACTTTTAGCTGAGACGAAGGAGCTTTAATTCAAAATCTCGCTGGCTAAAGCTTTCACAGGAGCCACCCCTTCAACTAAAACCCTGGCTCTCCACGTTTCGTTGCCAACTTTTTTCGACTGAATTTGCTGCACAGGAAATGTCTGCGGTGAAAACAGTTTCACTGTTGTTTGGATCCTGTCCCTTTTTTTCTGCAGTGTGCACCATCATGCAGCGATTGATGCAGCCCGAGTTTCAGCCCACTGTTACGTCGGAACTCTTTCCAAAGCGCAAGCACCTGCTCATCAAGCGCTCTCAGCGTTGCAGGGTAATCTCAGGCTTCCTCGGCATTTTTTTTTTTTTTCATAACGCCGTCTGTTTAAAAAAGAAACCAGCTGCAGTGATGTCTGCTGGAGGCACAGTTTTCTCAGTCACCAAGCTACAGCTTGCTAGTACCAAGATTGATCTACAATCGCAGTTTATTACTTTGTTATTTTGAAAATATTGCCGACCAAATCAAATGTACTGTACGGTAGGCTCACGATAATTCAAACTCGGATATTTCATACTTCTGATTAATTCAAACAAATTTCAAGATTTGCGCTGTCCCGCTACATTCAATGTATTCATGATAAGCCGCTTAATTTGAACGGCGTTTTCGCATAGTTCATACTTCTTGTTCTTGCGGCCCCAATGAGTGTGCTTCGTTCCGAGCGTCGATGCACTGCGGCGAACCAGCACCCGTGGAGCTCGCTTCCGCAGATGCACTTTCTCCGCATCGCACCGGTGCTCGGTAAGAAGCACGCTCAACGTGGCTAAAGAAGAGCAGAGCCGTATATAGAGAGTTTGGTCAATGGGAGGAGCGGGCAGAGCCAGTGCATGCACCAGATGCAGATAGACGGCTTGACATGCTCTCTTTGGCCTACCAAAGCTGAAAATAATCCCCTAGCAATGGTAGCGAGAAACAGTTTTAATAAGCATATAAGAGTTAAATGTAGCAAAATGATAAGTTGGGCTAGTTTGTTTTCCATCTGAACGGAACGCCTAAAAAACAAGGACAGGAAGAAGAAGGGACAATATGTTGGTAATTTGAAAAACACTTATATACAATTCGTAACACACCACGTCATTGCCCTAGTATTTTTCGGCCAAAATACCAATTCGTTGTCAAAAAGGACCAAAGATTGCTCGCTAACACACTTGCTTGTGCCTCTTGTTTTAGGGGCGAAGCTCTTTGAGGTCTAGCCTTGTCCGTCTGTCCGGCCGGCGTCTGTGCTCACATAAAAAGAAAAAATGTTTGCGCAGTCGACAGGATTTGAACCTGTGCGGGGAGACCCCAATGGATTTGTAGTCCATCGCCTTAACCACTTGGGCACAACTGCGGGACGAGTAGGGGGCTCTGAGGTGTGGTAGTAACTCAAGAGCTGGGGTTTCTGTCATGGATGAAACGTTGCATGTAGCCGCTCAACGTCTATACAGGAGAGGGCTCTGCGGTCACATGCGTATATAATCGCATTAAACTTTGCATTCATTGGCTCAACATTTATAGACGAGAGGACGCTGCGGTCAAATGCTCAAATGCGTATATAACCACGTTCCATACCACACATTCTTTTTCTGACATGGACTGTTGACTTAAGCGGTGGAGATGCGTTCCCACGGCTTCTAGCGGATCCAAGCTGATCCGCTAGAAGATCCACTGGCTGTGCATTTCACCTACCATAAAGCAGTAATAAAGAAGTCAAAACGCAACCCGGAACTCAGCACTACCTATAAGCGATAAAAAAAAATCAGCACAATCAGCACTACCTATGAACGATGAAATCAGTATCATCAGCGCTACCAGAGCTTCGCCCCAATCAACATCATTTACCACGTGGAGTTGAGGCCATTTTTTAGAGCGCAGCTCTTAGGGGCCCGTTCCCGGCTTGAGCGGCGTCGGCGTCGCCGTCGCCGTCGGCGTAACCAAGGTCATCCCAAGGTCACCCCAAGGTCACGTGACCCCCAGAGGTCACGTGACCCCTCCCCCAGGGTCACGTGACATCCAAAGTCACGTGACCCCCCTCGAGGTCCAAGACACCCCTCGAGGTCACGCGACCCCTCCCTCGGGTCACGTGACCCCCCCCCCCCCCCCCCCCCGAGGTCACGTGACCACCCCCAGGTTCACGTGACCCCCCCCGCCGAGGTCATGTAACCTCCCCGATGACGTCATCGTCACTGATGACGTCACCGGCATCCGCATCGTCATCATCACTGATGACGTCACCGACATCCGCATCGTCATCGTCATCATCGCTGATGACGTCATCGGAGTCCGCATCGTCATCGTCACTGATGACGTCATCAGTGAAGTCACTGATGACATCATCGGCATCGTCACGTGACCCCCCAACGTCACGTGACTCCCCCCCCAGGTCACTTCACCCCGCCAGTACCCTTCCCTCCTCCTCCTCAAGAGCTGCGCTCTAATTCCGTGTTACAGGGAGTTGTAAACGGCTTTCAGTTTTTTTTATTTCAAAGGCTTTCTGTTTCCTAATTATGAGTCAATCAAAATATTAGAGTAACTAATGTAGAATTTATCTTGAGTGGCATTTTCAGGAATTTCATTATAGCTAGCAAAAGAAATTGACAGTGTTCTCATCTTTCGCAGGAATGTGAGCACAACTTGAGCAAGCCCGAGTTTAATCCATCCAGCATCAAGTTCAAGATCCAACTGGCAGCTTTGTGAGTAGCAGCTCTCTTGCTCCACGTCGGTCGCCGAAAATACGTATTCGTTATTGTTGTCGGTGAAAACATTTAGTGAAAACATGCTCAGAGCTATTTCTCTCTTGAGCTTACTCTGCCCTCTCACCTTGTTGCAGTCATCACATTCCGGACATCAAGATCAAGTCTGTGACCGAGTTCAAAACGGGAGAAGTGAGTGCCTTGTCTTGCGTCAGCTTATCTGTATGATGCACACACGTTTACAACACGACTGGTTAGGTGTGCCTTGCATGGGACGTCAGTCACCTCCAATCCTGCATTTAAGTGTTTCTCTTCACTTTATGTATCGCATGTTGTAAACTACACAATGTAAAGTAGTAGTCGCTACAAGAGCTGCAGCTCCAGTCAAACAACATGTCACAACTAGAGACTGGCGCCCATGAAATCGATTTGTTGCTTTGTCAAGATTTTCTAATGGGTACTTTGCATCTCTTCAGGAGTGCTACGTCGAGCTATGCGTTCACAACCCGACGCCGCACGTGACTCATGTGACTTTTCTTCCTCTTGAGGAGCCAATGAATGGAACCACGGCAGCGGTAAGCCACTCTCGCGGTATTTTTGTCGGTTGCACATGTTTTGCCATCCTCTCGATACAGGAGTGTGTTGTGGTTCACCCGTAGGGTTCCTCAAGCAATGCCTGTCAAGTCGATTCAGACTGCATTACATACTACATGTTTTTTGTCGGCTGCAATAGAAGACTTATTTTCGTACCCCGAGGGTGCTTCGGCTTTCTGCACGCGACATTTTTTTTAGCAGGATTCAGATATCGCATTCCGTGAAATGGTATTCACTAAACTTTCGTTAATTCAACCTCGACGAGACCTTGAAATTTGGTCAAATTACCTGAATGATCGAATAAAAAAAAAAAATGACAGAAAACCAGTCTAAATTAAAGTTCCTTTTATTGTCTGAAATACTCACGGATGGTCTGCTCCCGTCTGCACTTAAAATGTGTTTCCAAAATCATGCTCCGGAGAGCAGCGTAACTAAACGTTGCATCTCAAAATCATTGCAGACTAAAAGAAAAAAAAAAAATAATATTAAAAAAATGTAAAATGTAAGTTTTACGAGCCGACTTTGGCGTCCGGCAGCCAGTCCTCCGGCAACAACAACAAAAAAAAATAAATAAAAAGAGAACTGGCGCTTTCTGATGCGCAAGATGGACCGCACACGATGCTTCAGAAACGCGTTTTCAGAGCACGCGCTGAGAAAGCTTTACGAGCCGACTTTGGCGCCAAGAACCAGACTGTCGACAACAAAAAAAAAAAAAAAAGAGAGAACTTGCGCTTTCTGGCACGCAAGATAAACCGTTCCGGCGCGCAAGATGGACCGCACACGATGCTACAAAAAACGCATTGAAAGCGCGCACCGTGCGCGCTTGACCACGTGCTATGCACTCTGCACTACTCCACGCCAGATTGGTTGCGCTGGCTCGTGTCATTCGCTACAGTCCATCTCAACAGCGTAGAAGAGCAGGCGCATATTTGCGCACGTTCGGCTTTGCAGCAGAGGGCCCGTGTTTTGCCGTACGTTGGTGGTGTTTCTGCCATGGTGCCGTGCAATGCGAGCCCGCACACATTCGCTCGGGACAAATTATCCGATGCGGAGTCTTCCCGAGTTCGAACTATCAAACTTTCCCCCCCATAGAAATGTATGGGCGCTTGCCGGGACCTTTGAACACTATCAAATTAAACGAAAAGTCGAATTATCCAAGGTTGAACTAAGAAAGTTTACTGTATAGTCTAGCCAACGGTATTTTAGGTAAACATATGCCTGGAAAGTGTGTCGGATTTTGTGCTTTTGACAGGCTAGACAACCTATATGAACACTCAATAAGGGCTGTGTGAAGGGCTTAAAGATGTGCGATGGTTCGTATGGAAAAGATCATATCTGATCATTCAATAACATATCTGACAGTTCTTAGGTCAGATTGATCTGAGGAGCTCGAACGGCCAAGTGCAACTGTTATGTTTAGCTAAAGCATTCCTTTGAAGCACCTTGGCTGGAGATCCATTTGCTAATCTGTCCATTGCTAGTGTGGACACCATCTTGACCTTTGTTTATGCGTGATTGCAGATCCTCTTGCCAAGCATCGAGTTCACGCTTCCTGCAAGAGACGACACAGCCGAGTTTGACGACAACAGTGACTCCACTTTTGCAGACGACCCCAAGTTCGTGGACTTTCGATCTCACTTTTGATCTGCTTGTTATGCGGCTTTCGTAGCATTTTTAAACGAGTGCGGCAAGTTTTTTGGGATGCAAAACATGACTAGGTACTAGACTGCAAACACAAGTTTCTTGCATATTATCCTCTTTACGAATCAAGTGAAAGCTAAAGGTGTTGAGTCTATCCATGGGGCATCATGTTTTTGCCTCTAAACTGCACGTCTAGTGAATTCTCAGTTGATTATGATGGCAACAATTTCGTAATTTGATTGAGAGAAACACTGTTCTTTCAATCTAGAAAAATTGCCCGGGGATTTAACTTGAAATGGAAAACTAAATTTTGCTTGCATAGTTATGTGCAACAGCGAACGGATAGTAGTCCTGCACAATGCCCACATTTATTAATACACATACCTAGTAGTTCACTATACGACTAGAACATTAAAAAAAATTTTAACTTTTGAAGTCACCATTCTTGCATTACTGTAATAAAAGTCCCTCTTCCTAGGGGTTGATTATTTAACGTAATTCACATTGCGTGTGTAGCATTAATAAAGTTCATGCAACTGGGTATTTCTTTCAGCATCGTCACATTCCGGAAAGCAAACAAGCTGGGGTTCTACGTGCGGGTGATTCCGTCGGAACACGACGCGGTCATTGTGAGTTGCGGCGATCTCGTCACCTCTGCTTCGTGACCTACCTTCCTTTCATTTCCTTAGTTACTGTTTGATTAGTGTCCAAAGATAAAATATTTTCCCACCAGTGGTTCCCGACTTTGTCAGAAACTCCAATTTACACTATCTGACATCACAGCTCCCATGAGCGCTCGGTAGCATCCGTGCCGTAGCTGGGACGCACGTCAAACATGCGTGTCTACTGCGTCATTAATTTTATTTTTCTCGACTTCCACTTGGGGACGTCACAACCGTGCCCAGCTGCCGTTTGCTGTGGTCCCGGTGTTGGCACTTCGGCAAAGATAGATTTACGACACTGTTCCGCAGTGGCTGGCTCTAGATCCGGCTAGAGCCGCCATATAACCCACGTTTCAGAGTTGCGACATTTAGGCCGTCTCGGAGCTTACAATCATTGTTTTTAGTTATCCGAAGCATTATCCGAAATCACGGGAAACGATTTTCTCGCCCTCTAGAAATGTCGAAAGAGTGTGCGACAAAGCAAGATGGTATCGCCCAAGCTTTTCTATGCCGCGTCTAAGGCTCAAGAAGTCACATTTTCAAATCCTGACGGCCGCCGATAGCACCCGCTCTTCGCTTGGTACCGAAATAGTGGTGCTCGCAAGACAACGGGGGGAATGGAGTGCCGTGCCAATAGTCCAAGCATAGCTGGTTTAGTGGTGCTACATCTGGCCAGTTGACCAAAACTCCCGCATCCGCCCGTCTTCTTTGCCAGCACTTCTTTAACCGGCACCCTTAATTGCAATGGCTCTTAGCATTCCCCAAAGGCTCCTGCAATGCGGTCTGCCGGCAATCCAGGAATGCTGATGCACGGGGCAGTATAGGCCACCAACCGACGCCAGTCCGAGGCATATTCTAGATAGCACGGTATTGAGAAATAAATGTGGCACATTGGTTTTTCAATAATTGTTGCTTTGTTCTTATCTTTCTTGTTTTCTTTTGAATGAAAACCACATCTTCCCGGTATTCTTTATTCTTTTTTTTTAGGTGGGTTTTCAGATGCGTCACGACTTTACCAACATGGTGGTCCAGTTGCAAACCGAGCATCGTGAGCCCCAGGTGGTGTGGATGAACCACAAGCTACTTCTGAATCTCGGGTCCAGGAACTACAAGCCGGCGGGCTCATCCTAACCCCTCTCAATTAGCCGCACCACTTTCGTTCCGCCGCTTTGGAGCGATCGGGTGCTTAAGCTTCTTTTGGCACGCTTGTCTATACTTTTCTTTTTGCATAAAGTATTTTGTGCGTGGACCTTTGGCATCCTTGTGTGATGTCGTGTTTCATTTTTAATTATTTAATAATTTTATGTTACGCAGTGCCCCGACATTACGATTCTTAAGGGGGACACACCCCAGAAAAAATAAATTTCTACAAAAAAAAAGTTGATCTTGAAAAATGCAATGTTTCTATCCACTAACATCTAGTGAGTATTTACAGAAAGTTTCATTTGTTTACACAACATAGTTATTTTTTTTATAAATTTTGTTCGGTCTATTGATGCGAAAGATGTGAGAGAGCACTTTGAACACATTTTTTTTGGTTCAGCTTTTTGGCAGCAAATCCCACCTTAATAAAACAATTATTTCAGTATGAAACTACTTAATATTTGCAGCTTATATGCCGAAGTTTTATGGAGCCGGTTACTATGAACTTAGATTTTGCATTTTCATGTTCTTTTATTAGGAAAAATTGTAAATTGCAAAATGTGGTAAATGTAAAAAAAGATTGTAACTTTTGTAGTTGTAAAATGCATATTTTCTGAAATTCTTTTTTTATAGTAACTGGCAACAGATATTCCAGTATGCATTCCACCAAAAGATATGTGGTTATCGACACCATTTCTCAACAATAGATCCATTGAGCAGATTCCATGTTCTGAGGGTATAGTATCTCATAAATTGGTTCACAGGGCTGAGACTTTGCATGCTCTCCATCTATATGCCTGCAAACATCAGATGCAAATATCACGTCGGTTGAGTAAGCGGTTCAGAAGTTGGCATTCCCAGGTACTGTCCCGGTTATAATAAAAATAAATAAAATGAAATTCCCTGTTCTGGTGAATTGGGTGTCTGCAATTTATGGGGACAAGCGCGAGAACTAAAAAATGCATAGATTGGCATCTTGATAATTACACACATATTCTCTGCCTGTTTTTAGGTGTAAAACGCTTGCAAAAGAAACTTTGCCCTACATTTTATGGTGTAATATTTGAAAATGAGCATGTTGGTAAATAGATAGAAATACTTGAAATTTTAAGTATTCATATTTTATGGTGCTTATTTGCAGGTTATTATTGCGATGTTACTATTGATACTTTTCAGGGCTGGGCAATTGATCGATTAAATTACCAATTAATCAAGTAATGCTTTAATTTCAATTAAGTCTTAACTGGTTAATCGGTAAACTTTTGAGGAACCAAAGGAAACTAAAAATTAAATGCTTTCACCACACAGACGTGGATGAGTACATCTCTATGAAGGGCAAACTTTAGCAGAAATTTTAATCCAAAGAAAACTTGGGGCGAGATTAGTAATTTTTGCAATGCCCTACGAGTGTCCGTTTAGTGCAGCAGAGTCTATTGTAAACAAAGGAGTTTGCTCTTGACATATAATATCAGCAAACCTCTTTGCCTCATGCAGCTGAAGTAATAATATGTGAGTGTATCTTTGAACTGTTTTCAACCACACATCGGCTTTGATTCATGATCAAAATTGTATATATTGACGGTTTACCATATAATTCAGCTAGAAAAAAATATGTAATTTTGGCTTTTTTTTTAAATTTTAATATTCTGCATAGGAATGAATGGAACCAATTAATCGATTAAAGGGCGGTGATTATTCGGGTTAAAATTCTTAATCTCCACCCAGCCCTCACATTTTTACAATTATTGAAACACAATCCTGTCTTTCTTTTCACTCCATGCATAGCGGCATCCAAGGATGTGATTGCTGTGCCAAACTGTGCCCTGCTACATCCTGCTACATTTCACTAAAATATGAGGAATTTGCAGCAAAGTTAATTTCACTTTATCAACACCGAAAGCTTGGAGTCCCGCAGCACTACGTGCTGACTTATTGCGACTAGCTCGTGAGAAGTTTTTAAACTTTCACATATCTCTTTGATTAACATACTTTTCGATTCTAAATTTGTGTTGAACACTGACGCTACTTTAATTTTCCTTAAAATTTCTTTTTGTTTGTGTCTATACACGAACTCAACTCTCCTACGTCACGCCGCGGTGGTGGCGCGTCGGGCGCACTTCCGGTTTGGGGTGGTGGGCAAAAGTCGCCGTGCGAGACATGCAATCCTGTGTTCTTTTGGAAGAAACCAGACAAAAAACCTGCCTTCTCGTCAAAATGCTGCGACGGGGGCTGTACCAAGAGTCTGGAAAGGTTTGAAGATCAGTTTTCACGTGTTTCTGCCCCCTCCGTTCGTCCGAGAACGTGGATAGTAGCCGTGAAAAGGGCAAACCAGACGCTGTCGAACTACGACTGCCTGTGCAGACAACACTTTGTGGTCGCCAGATGCATTTGCTTTGTTCCAACATGAACGAGAGAAAACCGGCAAGTTGTCCGGACCACCCAAGGGTTCAGTGCGTCTTCAAATACACACGGCCGCCTGATCGTTCGAACTTTCGTCTGCTCTTTCAAACTTGTCTGCTTTTTGTCGTCTGCTCGTTCAAACAAAAGCGGCCCATAGACCAAACTTTGACCCGGTAATTGCGATAAGAACTAAGTGCAGGCATCAAAACATTTTTGAAGGTTGGTTGGGGTAAGTAGGCTAAGTGTAAACAGATACAAGACGATGTTGATCATTATCAGTGGCTATCACCGACTTGTAATGCCCGATTATACTTGCGGTTTTCAGTATCGACGTGCACCATCTCAGCTACGGTCCATGCTTTTTCAGCCCGAGCGACGTCGCGACTGAAAATAGCGGGCAGAATCTCATCGTGGGAGTCAGGCTTTAGCGCCCATTCTGTGGCATCCACGTGAAATGAATCGCCGCACGTCACATTATTAACGCAAAGTTTTGCCTCGTTAGTTTTACTGAAGCCGCTCAAGTAGTCAGACATTGTTAGGAGGACGAAGAATCAACGATTCCAACGCTAAAAAGAGCATGGGGACTCCCACCGACGCCGACAACAACGCAATTCAATGGTTTGTTTATGGGCGACGGCGGGCTTCTTGCCCACCATCCACCGCGCATGCGCGGCGCCGGTGGCGTCCACTAGGGGCGCTCCGGTTTGTTTGTAAACATGAGTTGGTGTATATGGGTGGGTTAGTTAGCTCTGTTGAGTGGACTTCTTATCACGCACAGGTGCAGTGCAGAAAAGCGACACTCGCTGAATGAACATTGCAATCTTTGTAGCCTAGCAGCCACATGAGTAGGGAAATGCAAACTTCTAGAGCGAGGTGTTGCATGTGCTTGTCACGCCCAATACCCGACAGAAACTTTGGTGTCCAATCTCATAGGAAACATATAAAAAAAAGAATATTTTTTTTTTGCACTTGCTCAAAAACAATATACACTGTAAAACACTAAATTTTCGCGAAGACCTAAGTTTCGCGAATCGCCTACAATTCGCGAAAAATACGTCCCGCGAACAATTCGGGCAATATGTAAACGCTATGGAAGCTACACTTGATTTGCGAAAATTAGAACCCGCGAATAATTTGAAATTTTCAACTTTGACCCGATTCGCGAAAATTTAAGCCTGCAAAAATTAAGTCGTTTACATTATATATATTCTTTTTTTGCAAGTGGAGTTTGGCACGCATACCTAGTTGGGCAAGGTCATTCTGATGACTTCGATAACGTTACCCAATACTCCGCCAACGCTTTGTGCATTGTATCGTTATGGGGTATCGTTATTGGAGGTATTGGAACGATTTAATAAGACTAATAACTCATAAATTTACCTCGCACTCCAAAAATTTTCGCTAGTCACCCTAACCATTGCCAATTAACAAAATGCAGAAAGATAAAGTAAAAATCTAGAACATATCAGTTGATATGGCACCGTACAAGCTGCCATTGCTCTGTACCATGCTCCTGCACCCATACTTTTGGCAGCCTACATTTTGCACCATCGAATCGGTTCTTCTTTGCAAGCCTTGGCGAGAACAAATTTGACAATGCCAAATGTATGCTGCAGAAGGTATCGGCACATGAACGTTTTTTTTTTTTGCCGTAAAACGAAACAACGCATCGCCTAACGTTCACGGTCCGAACCAGAGGTTTCAGCCCTAACTGCACTAACCGTTTCTGACTTTTTCAATGGGAAAATGGCGGTCGGCAGAGCTCCAATGAGAGGTTCCATTACGCTTGTTTGGTCAAAACGTTTCAGATCGAGTGACCGTGATTGTACAGTCCACTGCAATATGAAAGACCCACTGAGAGTGCGTGGCCGAGGCGGTGGCTGACGGGGGGACTGGGAGTGCTCCAGGCAATTCCATTCTGCTTCGAGGGAAGGACACTAACTTGGAGCTCGGATAAAGCGCAACGCACTTACCGGTTTGTGCTGAGCCCTGAGCGAGCGTCCTCCCCTCGAAGCAGAATGGAATTCTGCTTCGAGGGGAGGACGCAGCGCCCCTGCCAGCCACTGCCTCGGCCACGTGCTCCCAGTGGGTCTTTCATAATGCAGGGGACTGTACGTAAAAAGAGATGGATGGACGAATGTTAGCGGCTGTACCCTTTGTATTGGGTGGTAGCTTGCGCCACCTAGCCTAGACTATCTTTATACCTTCTCCCCTTCAATTTCCTTCCCTCTGTATTTCTGCAACCATCACCATCACCCGGCCGGTGGAAATCGACCACCACCAGGCTGACCTGAGGTAGGACTTGAAGTGAACTGCGCTATGAAGGGTTGCCAATAAATGATCGACACTAGAACTGGGGAGTCGAAGGGGTATTCCTTTGGTGTAGAGAGAGAAAAAATGGTTGTTTTTGGAGGTAGAAGGCCTAGAAAAATGCGCGCATCGAGCGCCTTTCGGATATCTCTGAGTGCTCTAAATCCACCAAGGGGATTTCCCAACTTTGAATTACGCGCCAATATCGCGCCGCTCGCCGGCTATCCGGCGTCGTACGGCACGGCCGTTCAAAAAGCGATCGGAGAGAGCGCGAAAGCGAAACCGTTGGCTAGTTAGCGGCTTGGGCTTGGCTAGCTCAACCAGCATGGCTTGGCCAACTCACTGATCTCTATGTCTATTGGGCCAACTTGTCTCGCTTGGCCAAGCATAGCCAACATGGTAGCCAAGGAGAGCAGGATTGCGCTTGGCGCTTGAGTCGGTTGGATCGCTTGTGCTGTTTGTGCTCTGCTGAGTTACCATAATATCATAATATCCTTTACAAATGGGGATGAACTGACCGCAGAATATGGGTGAAAAGCCGAAGGACAACTCCGCTGTGATGTTAACCGACACGAAGAGCCCGGCCGGCAAAATGGAAAAGAGAAAGTTGCGCAGGCGAAAAAAGAAGCTTTTCAACGGCATTCGAGAACAGGTAATTACGCATATCTTAATGGTTATGTCGTTACCGTTATCGGATCATCGCTTTGTAATCCTGATGTGCCATTGAGAAATGTCACTTTTGTGGTACTAGGAGAAACTGCTTGCGATCTCATCCTCGCACCCTTACGTACTCTCCGGACCGATCCTCGTAACTTGCGCCCTACCTTTCGCTTTGTAGATGGAATTCTACTTCAGCGACGCAAACCTTCGCAAGGACAGATTCATGGGCGAACTGGTGCAAGAAAATGAAGAAGGCTGTAAGTATAAGATTATCCACCAAAGTCCGCGTAGGAGCCAGTGGCGAGTTTACTGATTTAATTCGGGTTTCTTCTTCAGATGTGGATCTGGAGGTCTTCCTCACGTTTCACAAGATCCAAGGCTTCACCAATGACGCTAAGGTGATCGCGACAGCGCTAGAGTCGTCGGAAATTCTCAAGGTGATTTGTCATTCTCATTACCAGTGTTTCACATGCAGCACCATCGAGCAACAGGAATGCGTAAAAAGGTTTCGAGAAAAAACGAACATGCAGTTTTACAACTAGGGAAGGTCTCATCCACAGGGTTTTGCGATTGTAGAACCCCAAGGGGAATAAGCCACAAAAGTCGCCGACATAACGTGGCAGGCTGGCATTTTGCTGGCCATTTAAATTACTTATTTCAGTTTACTGCTTAAGATACCAGAGAAAATTCACTGGCACTAACAGCATTGCTGGACATTCTAAAGATGGAGCACTCAAGATGCACGTTAATTGCTAGAACTTTGTCAATAAGGTAATATGCCTTATTAGTTAGCTAGCTGACATCTGCCATCACTGGAAAATGTTTCCTACAGGATGTAAGTGCTGTTGTTGAGGTTGTTTCCGTTATAATTCAATCTAACTTCTCAGGTTTTATCCTGTTGTTGTGGGACCAGTAAATTGTGCTTGGGACCGAAATTGCAGCTTGGATTTCCATACGAACGATCTGTGCGGCTCACTCGCATTTTCTATTTTCAAAAAAGGTGCTGCTTGGTGCATTGTTGTCGTTTCAGCTGAACGAGGAAAAGACGAGAGTAAAACGCGTCACTAAGCTTGAATACAAGCACGACGTGGATGACTGCACCCTGTACGTCGAGCGGATTCCGCTGAATGCCGATCACAACTGGCTGAAAACTGCCTTCAGCAAGCATGGGCAGGTGCTGTACGTGAGCTTGCCACGTTACCGGCACAATGGCAAGATCAAGGGATTTGCCTTCGTGGAGTTCTCGTCCCCCGAAGAAGTCGACAAAGTCTGCCAGGTATCCATACACACTTGCATGATTAAACTGTGCCCACAAATTTTTGAGCATCGAACAAATCACTATTGTGAATAGTTTTAAAGGGGTACTGGATCGAAACTTAATAGATACCTCTCACGTTCAAAAATAAGTTAAAAATTATCAGCTCTATCTGCTAATGACAATTGCACGCTTGTTTATACGGATGGCTGTATTTTTCGTTTTAAATTTTTCGAGCACTCAAAATTGGCCATCGTAGAGCACGGTGCGTCTCGGAATATCCGTTGCTCCCGTGACTTGCTCTTAACGTCATCGGCCTCTCTAGGGCCAAGCGTACTGTAGTTGTGAGTGTTGACACTTGGTGGCGTCAATGCGTTACTACTTCACTCATTCAGAGTGCTCAAGGGCTGCAAAATATCACCGGGAGATAGTGGAGCCGGCGGAGTTGTGCGCGCTGCCACAACACGTAGTGCATCGTCTGCTCCGCGACTTGGCCAATATAGAGACATCTGCAACGTCTGTTTCAGCAGCGAGCTCAGCGAGGCAGCGACATCGTCACGAGGGGGCTACGATACCTCCATTATATCGTACAAGGCAAGATGCTGGTAGATTTCCTACCTCATACTGTCTAAGGTGATGGCAGGATAATGTGTGACAATAGTAGGACAAGGCAATTGCTACTTGCTTGATTTACCACTGACTGATCACAATGACCAGACTCTGTGAGGGCACTAACTTCACGGATAAATAAATATTGTTTTGACGGTGCCATACCAGTTGGCATCCTTCATTTATTAAAACGAGCAGGGAAGCAGGCAGAGTCTAGTGGGGCAGCACGGCGGTGGCATCGCTCTAGTATTTCATGCGGCGTATCACATCGATAGTGGTTTGACTGCAGTATTGTCATGCCACCACAAAGAAACATATACTCAACAATGATTTTGCAACGTTCACTAAACGAACAAAGGGAAATCATCGGCACAGAGGAAGCTTGCGCTAGTCTCAATGGGAAGCGATTTTTCAAGCGAAGGCACTGAGCACAGGGAAAGTAACTGTACAATTCTCACATCGTCACTCAAAAACGATCACGAACAAACGCTCTCATCAACACGATTTTGCAATGCAAATTTTCTTGGAGGCGAACACTAAACGAATAAAGATACGCGATTGGCATTGCTTTTGCTGGTCTCGTCCAACGAGGCTCATGCGGTCGTCCAAGCGGGGCGGCACGTCGATGGCAAGAAGATCGCTGAATTTTCAGATCATCGCGCAGAAACTACCGTGCACAAAAGCGGATACCGGCACAGCTCTGCTACGTAAACCTGGGTCGCCTTGAGATGCCGGAGTCCCTCGGCCAGTATGATGTTGACGGCAGCGCTCGCCATCAGCTCCATGTTGAAAAAATAGTTTATCAACCCCCGGTGTCAGTGATGTCAAAGAATGAGTGGCAGCAATTGGCTAGCGGAGTGAATCCAAGGTGGCCAACCTTGCTTTGGCTTTCTTCACCAAACCTTCGGCATTACGTTCTGGCCTAGGTAATTCATACTTGTGAGCGTAGTTCCCATTAGTGGCGCTGCCGTTGCAGTCCAATGCCGTCACAACATTCTGTAGAAGCTTCATACCCAACAACCAGGTGGTTTCTGGTAATCGTCTAACTCGGTTTAAAATATGTTCTTACTTTTTCCAATAAATTATTGATGTTTTTGAAGTTCTACTGCTACATACGTCATGTTGGAGGAAAGAAATAAGCTCAAGAATTTGGTTTCCTTACCCCTTTAAAGGGATACTGAATCAAAACCATGCTTCGAAATAAGTGGAACGTTATCAACTCAATCTGATAATGACAGTTGCACGCTTGTATTTTGAATTGATGGCTATATTTTTCGTTTTAAAGTATCGATTCCAGCAAGAGCTCGGAGATCAGCCATTGAAGAGTGTGATGCATCATGGGAGCTGGGCCAACTGACGTTGCAGGCGTCGTGTCACTTGGTCCAGCACGGGCAAAGCTGCTTGGGGGCTGTTGTGGCCAGAAGCTCTGCCACTCGGCGTCGTCAGCACATTACAACCTGGCTGTTTTTGTTTGCCCCTCCCTGCTCCTTGCAAGTGTTGAACAAGCCAGGAGAAATGGCAAATCTGGTTCGACGGGGCTCGCACGCACGCAGTTTGGCATCGTATTTCTGCGGAGCGGCGCTGCTTTTAAGTGTATACTGACGTAACGACGTTCGGTTTATTTTCTTTTAAATAATGTTTTGGTGTCTTTTCAAGTATTTTTGGTGTCTCCGTGGTGTGGCCAGAACGTGGTTGACATTTAGACAATAAAATAGGCGCTAGAATTTCATTGCAGTATCCCTTTCAAATGTGGAATCGAGGCCCTGAAGCTCGGAACCTGATTAAATTTGGAGTAATGTCACTTTACACATTTTTCTTATCGGGCAAGCTTTCTTCACTTGGGAAAAATGTGCATCGGTATCTGGACTGCAAGAAGTTAGTTGGCCTTGAATTGGCATCTAGTGTCTGCACTGCAAGAAGTTAGTTGGCCTTGAATTGGCATCTAGTGTCTGCATTGCAGAAAAGTAATATGGTGTTCTCTTAGAGTTCCAATGGTTTGGATTTAGAAATTTGAGGTACAGAGTAACACTCCTTTTATTCTGCCATTGCTTCCCAAACAGTTGCCAGCCACATACCGTATACATCTTACTTTTTGCGAGGACCTAAATTTTGCTACAACTTAAAAATATTGTAAAAAATTGGTCTTGCAAATGTATCACCCCACTCTAATGAACAACAAATAGCCTATTACCCAAAATCGCAACATTTTTGTATGCGCAAAATATTTCCGAAACCCCCACTTTCTGAAATTGGCAGAATATTGAGCCTGTGTAAATACTCCTTTACAGTACCACTAATTGGCTACTAAGCATGGAACACTACAGGTAATTTGCCCAGTGCACTATGACCACTAATTCTAAGGTGCATCGCATAGTCCCCTGAACAGCGGGTTACCCGTAATGCCGTTGGCCCTGAAGGTATTGAAATAGATATATAAATCGCCTAGAAAAGCTAGATTTGTTGATAACGCAACTGATGCTCAAATTGATTGTGTTTCATTCCTTCAATTCTTTTCAGCATTTTGGCTACCAAAGTACAAAGAAAGAAGGGGAAGATGAAAGTGCTCCAATCAAAGACTGTGCAAGTGAAAGCCAGCAAGACGTAGAGCAAGAAGAAGGTTTGTTGCTGACTTGTGCATTGGTCAACTTGCCTGTTGTTGTACTGACTCGACAGAATAAGTTCCCTTTTAAGCTAAAGCAAGCAGGTTTCTACAGATTAAAAAGCGGATGTTGGTCACAGTGTAATGTTTTTAGTTTAATGATTGAGTGCATACAAAATTAAATGTGAATTAAATTGTAGGACAAAAAATAGAAAAATAAGAAAAGAAATGGCTATTTGGACAGAGCTGAGTATCAGCTGTAACATTGCTGGCCTTTTAAAAATATATATAAAATATAATTGCTTCAAAATATTGTTGAAACTCTTAAAAAGACATTTTATAAATAAGGTTTCAGGATTTCAGTCCATTTTTGGTGAAATTTGGAGGAATTTTCCTGTGGATATCATTTTTTTATTGTAAACTTGGCTATTATCCGAGATTCTTTCTGTCAAATTCTGAAATCTCCAAGTCGAGCGCACCAATGGCCACAGGAAGCCATATTTTATTGTGAGCAATCTTTATAGATAATCTGTCGGATATAACTTCCACTGTTATTGCGAGGAGCCATATCCAATGGTGTAGTGTTGTTTAAACTCAAGAACAGAGCAGTGGCTAACACAGTCGCATGCGTATGTCACGGTCCAGGAATACAGCAGCGTTTCCCCTATTGTCCCAAACAGATGGAAATTTTCGAATTCGGCTTGATCAGAAAACTTGGACTCCTGTTCCTATCAAAGCTCCTAGTTTTGACAGAAACACACATTTTTACAGAGTCCTGTTTGTGTCCCAAAATAAGGACTGTTTTCTGAAACTCTGTAAACCATAGCTGTCATTGAACAAATCACACCCAAGTGAAATGTCTCTGGCAAATTTCTTCTCAGGCACATTTGTGGGCCCCTGTGACTTTTATCATAAAGATCCGAGGTGACACCGCCACATTGTTTGGGCGGTTTGGTGTGGGATGACAGTGTTCCAGATTGTTAGGAGTCGTTTTTCATTTGCTACCCAGTGCCCGCAAAGAAGAGAAAACTAGACAAGGGCGACGCTCCCAAGTCCGAGCCTCGGCCCGCGGAGGCAGAGGCACCGGAAGAGAAGTCCACGACTGAGGCGGAGAGCTCGGACGTCGAAGAGAACAAGGAAGCCGCAGCAAGTGTACAATCCACCAAGAAAAAGAAGCGCAAGCGTAAGAAAAAGCCTCGACAGTCGGAAGCGAAGGAAAAACAAACCCTTCTGGTCATGCCAAAGTAAGTACCCGTTTGTAATGCGTGGGACGTCAAAGCAACTCAAAGGATTGAGGAAGCACGGTTGATTGGCTGGGGAAGCACATTAGGACAATGTGACCACACAACCCCTGCACTCCAGCTAAAAACCGAGAAGTTACAAATTTGTTAATACAGAATGCTTCATATGGCTGGCTCCTGTAGATGAGCGTCACATGAGCACTGCGTCAGTGCTCGGCTAGAGCTTGTGTCCTTGCCGACGGAACACAGGTCCCGGCCGAACGCTGGGACTTGCACTGACCTCCGGTAGGCAACAAAGAAAGTCCGACACCATCACCCTTTTATCTGGGGGACATTGAATGCACATATGAGAGAGCGTGCAGGAGACAAGAAGGGAAAAGAACCAACACACACCTTGGAGGACACGAGACAGGGTCAAAGTTTGGACATGCGACCGCAAGGGCTTTGCGTTCCACTCCTGCGGGTGGCAGGGCTTTTTTTCAGAGATCGATGTTTGCGCCGTTCAGCCGTAAAGCCTGTACAAAGTTCCTCTCTGCAACATATCCACAAGCAGGGCCGTACCCAGAAAAAAATTTCGGGGGGGGGGGGGGGGGGGGGTTTCGGGGACAACGGCGGCCATTTTGAAAATGTCTATTGTCTTATTTTCGCCTATGAATCATGTGCATCGGTGGCATATAATGGAGAGTTATAGCAAACCGGAGAACCGGTCCCGGTTTGGTACCCGGTAGCCGACCGGCGCCACTGTGCGTGCGCAGAGGTGGAGATTAAAATCGGCTGGCTGCAAGTGCACCGACCAGGGTCGTACACAGAAAAAAATTCCGGGGGGGGGTCAGAACCCCCTAACCCCCCCCCTGGTTACGGCCCTGTCCACAAGGCAACAAACAATAAATTTCGTGTCACCACCGCCTTTGCCGCGGTAGTGTGGGAAAGGGGCAAACATTTTGTCTCTGGTCTCCACATAATCGTGCATTTTTATGCCTTACCCTTGTAAACGGTGCAGCTGTTAGGTTTCCTTTGTGAGCAGCGATTTGAGAGCTTCAAAACTTTTATGCTTTCGTCAGGGCCGAATGGAAACGACTGCGCAACAAGTACCTGGCGCTGCAGAAGGCCACCATGGCGCAGATAAAGCGCTCACTGCTGCCCAGCCACTCTGCCGTCGCATACTCTCCAAGGCAGTGCCACTCTCCCGGAGGCAGGAGCCCTGGTGCATTAACGGTCCCCAGAGAGGCGCCAGAGCGAGGCGGGGAAGCAATGGACGCGGAAGCGCCACCGCAGACTGCTCCGGCCACCCTGGAGTTTCGGCCGGGCGTCATCGTGAAGCTCTCTACCGAGAAGCCCGTTTCTAATGCCACGGAGTTCAAGGTGAGACGCCCGCCGTCCCACAAGGCGTGCCGCCGTTTTGCTCGTTGCGATGCGGCATGGACTGGAAGGTGCCGTTTGGTAGCCAAGGCTTGCTTTTGGATGGGAGACACAATCGTAGATCACTAACTAATCCACCTCCCTCTGAGACAATTTCGAGGGGGCAGGGAAGCGACCATTTTTTTTTTCTATGTATCCCCACCAAAAGGTTTGGTTCATTGCTGCCCGTTTTTCAGCAGGAAGCGACAGATCTCTTTCAGACTCCTCTCACATTTTTTCGCTCAGTCTTTCGTTGTCTGCGTTTCCAAAGCCTATTAGAATGCATCTCAAAGTACGACGTGGACCAGGGTGCCCCAGTGTTTTTGTTCTCAAGGTGGTGCCGCTCTTTTGTAGCTTGTGATGTCGACAGCACGCGATCGCGGAAAACATACAAAGAAAGGGCGTGAACCAAATGCCGCCGTAACACTGGTCTAGGTTCTCGAACCGACAGGCTCTCTTTCACGTGCTCCAGACCAAAGAAGACGAAGGGTCACAAAACAACATAAAATGGTTCGATGCCCCCGCCTTGAGACATGTACATGCATTAAAGCTTCAGTCACAACGCTCGTACATTGTACCAAACACACAGTGTTGCTGCAGACATTATGACAAAATTACCTGTGGACACGCCTCAGGCACATTCGGAGCATGTTCGCTTCACACATGCTTCGAACATGTTTGCAGACAGTATTCATGTGACCAATGTGACGGGACCGTTCTACGAAGAAAGGCACCTCGGACAGTGTCTTCTGCAGACCGTCTTTTGTATGACGTACTCGCAGTGTGACCGCGGCTCTAGGCGCACCGACGTGGGCCCCCAAAGCAGCCCGACCGATGGCTGGATCTTTGTCTACTTTTCCAGAACAACATCCGCCATTTGGCCAACGTGGCCTACGTGGACGTCATGGAGGGGGACAGCGTGGCCTACGTGCGCTGCGCCGACGCAGAGAGTGCGCAGAAGTTTGTCAGCACCGAAAAGGAGTCTTTCTGCGGATCGCTGTCTTTGCTGGGAGGTCGGCCCTCATTGCCACTTATTTTTCGTTGGGAAATGCAAATGTGCAAGCCCTATTAGGGCCCTAGGAGTCATTGTAGTAGTCCTCACTCCTCACAATGTGCTAGTCCTTACTTGCCAAACAAGAAAGAAAAAGAGTAATTTACGGATGTCGAAGGATCTAATCTAGCTTTCTTGATCTAAGTGGCCATGCATGTTTTCTTTTTAATTATTTCTGGATATTTGAGAACTTTTTTCCACCACCAGGTCTTTTTGGACTTCAGGCAGCTTGTGGCAGACTTCTAATGGATAGACAATTTTTCCGTGTTCTTTTGGAAATAAACTTGGATGTTTTCGGAATGGGCATTGGATTGGGATATTACGGTGGACAGTTCTCAGTTGCAAATGTTTAAAGGAAGATTATTCCTATCCTAAAGCAGACCGTAGAAACCAATTTTTGCGTCACATCCTTCAATCCTTAATCAGCCGATTCTGACTGTTGCAGGAGAAGAAGAAAAGGCTTACTGGGAAAAAATCAACCAAGACAGGGAGACACGGCGGAGCCAGAAAACAAGACAAAAGAAGAGGGGTGTGGAGAAGGCGAGTTTAGTGCTAGAGCACCAATAAGAATATAGCAAGTGTTTCATCGTTTGTGCCTTTGCATGAGGGAGATTCTGAAATCATATTTCAAAGTTTAATTTTACGATTGAAACGTGTAACAAGGTGTCCCAGACAATGCTGACGGAGTTCTGTGGTGCCGAAAACGATTAGCAGCCGACAAGCCAACACAAAATTTGTCAACTAACTGGTGCAGATTGTGGAAATTAATGGGTAGGGAGTTCACTGTTTAACAAGCGACCTCACTCAACCCTTCCGCGAGACATCCCCCATAATATGTAACTTCATTAATACATAATCAAATTGTGATTACATGTGTGGATTTTAGGGATGTGTTAAATGAATCAAGGGCTTCAGCAGATTACGTGCAACATAATAACATGTGAGGACTACCGTTAAATAGGTTTTAACTCAGCCTCATGAATTATTGTAGATCACAGTGAATCTCTCGTAATGTCTCTCGGTTCTTGTTATTTGCAGGTGATTGCAAAAGCCCAGAAGCTCATGGAAAAGAAAAACCAACATTTGCGTTTCGACGACCTGTGACCGTGGGTTTGGCGTCACCCGGCCGTGCTTCCAGTGTAAATTTTTGTGCATTTCTGTAACTAAGTACACATATTCTGAGACCTCTGCTCCAAGTTGCTCAGTTTCATTCTAGGGTACGAAACCACCATCAACCACAAACTCTCATGTCTCGAGCGTTGGCTCATCGAATGTCCCGATGGCTGGACATGGTTTAACGCAGCTCTCGCTGAAATAAATCGTTCATCCTCTGAAGAGGTTACAATGGCGGGCACCGAACTGAGGCCCCAGAATTAACACTTTCCATCACATTAGTAGTTCTGCCACCCTTTCCATTCAAAAAAAAAAAAAAATGTTCTTGTTTTATTGAGTGTTGCAGTGTACATGGCTAAGCTGATAAGCTCCTTGTTTTCTAGGTTATGGCTAACAGTCGCGAAAGAATAATGCATACAGTCTAAGCTCATTACAACAGACATTTGGATATAACAGACCCATTTGTGAAGTTTGGTTGGTTCCCCTCTATGTACCATTGACTCAACTTCATATCTGCATAAAGCATACTCCTTTTACAACAGACCAAAATCTGGTCAAAATCAAGGTCTGTTATGACGAGCTTAGGCTATCTCAAGCTACTGGCTAGTTTTTTTTTTGGAACGTACTGATAACTCCAGCAAAGCTAATGGCATCCATCGAGTGACTTCGGCGAGATGATGTGAACGTAGGCAGTTTGTTTCTGCCTGTAGAATAAATTCACAGCGCCTACCATTTAGAACATAAAGCTACGAGAAGGTTGGTAAAGGTTTTGAAAGAGCTGCCAATAATGTGTGCCAAATAATCCATTCTTTCAAAACAATAATTCATTTTCCCTCTCTTTCATTACCTATTGCAGACTTAACAGATCAAGTAAATATTTTCTTCGTAGCTCTACTCCAGCAATCCATTACTTGCCAAATGAAATTGGTTACTAAACCCCACTTCTAAGGAAAATTTCAGCTTGATAAGTTAGTTTCCTATTTCCCTTAACTTGATTGCACAAGTAATGTTTCGGACCATTTCCTATACACTTTTCTCGGCGACTGAAATCTGAGAGGTTCCCATTAATGAACAATGTTTATGGTGTTGCCACAATAACCACACTTGCTTGCATAGTACAGTCTAATCTCAATTAATTCAAACTCGAGAGGGACCGAAAATTTGTTTGAAAGCAGCAAAGTTTGAATTACCGGGAGTTTCCTTCCATAGAGACTCATAGGATGAGACCTGCATGTTAGTTTGAATTAACGAGATTCGACTAATAGACGCTAGCCTGCAGCTTCATAGATCAATCAATTTTGAATGCAAATCCAAATTGGTATGCAAGTTATGTAGACCATATGCCACCTTCATATGTAGACTGAAAGTTGTATCTGAGCTTTACCAGCCTCGAAATAACTGTTTCATAATTACCTGTACTACAGTCAAATCTGTTTATATCAAATTCGCAAAAAAAAAAAAAAAAAAAAAAGTCTACCAGTTTGATATAGCGAGTAAATCGATATAAATGTTTTGATGAATTTGACTCAAAAATCCACTTTCTGCCGACATATTACACAATGCTGCATTTCCTTCATTGCATCCGCGATAATGATATTTTTCTACACTTTCGACGGACTCCGAAATGCTGAGACCGGCGCCTTCTATATTTGCGCATTAGCGCCGAACTATGCCCAGAGCACGGAGCATGTCCGGACAGGAGCACCTTCTCCTGCAGAGCGCCGTTTTACTCTGCAAGTTGGCTTTCCCCTAAGGCAGGCGGGTGCGTTGGGGGAAAGTGAGCTAGCAGAGCAAGCTGGCTTTCCCCCAATGCGGCCGCACGTGTTAGGGAAAGCCAGCTTGCAAAGCAAAACGGCGCTCTTGGCAGTTTGATATATCGGTAGCGGCTGCTATTTTTGTTCGATGTAACCATAGTTTTTGCTATATATTACCACTGTAACATTACTGTGCACAAAAGTTGTTTGATATAAGGGAGAATTCGATCTAAACGGGTTCGATATAGTCATGTTTAACTGTAATACCATTTCCCCCATTAGCCTAAAGATACATTTTTTTTTTTTTTTTTGCAAAAGATGACTTTTTTGCCAGTGCTGCTACAGAAATATACGTAAGGAAAAAAAAATTTGAGTGAAGTTAAGGGGTATCTAAGATTTGTGATGTGTGGCACAAGCTACCATTTATTGCAGCCAATACCATAGATTGGTCCATCCATCCGCTACAAAATGTCAAAAGATTGGCCTCGCCGGCATTTTGCAAGGAAGCAGATATAGAAACTGACACTGTCAAAAGTTCTTTTATACTATATAAAAACGCGTGACACAGGCAGGGTTTTATACAATGGCAGTGGCTCTGGTAGAATGCACAATCAGGACCTGAAAGAACGGCCTCCGCGGCCCCTGAATCCTCCTCCACCTCCTCTCCCGAATCCCCCTCCACTGCCCCCAAAGCCACCCCCTCCTCTTCCTCCACCTCCCCTGCCTCCAAAGCCACCCCCTCCCCCTCTTCCTCCAAAGCCACCCCTGCCGCCACGGAAGCCTCCTCCACCACCTCTTCCAAATCCGCCTCTGCCACCTGTTGGAGAGACAAGAATGGATCAGACCTCTAAAGATAGAAGGCACATCTCTCTCGATGTTGGCAACCTATTACAGATCTTAGTATGGTTATAAATGAACTTTGAGAATACAAGATAAATATATTCCCAAAGCTCTAGTACATCATCTGCTCGGGCTAAATGTACAGTTAAACATGCTGATGCCAATGGAGCCGTCCGAGCAGTGAAGCCTATGCTCTGTTTCAGGAGGATGGGGCCTATGGCCCCCGTAAGCCAATAGACCTCTCTGGAAATATGTGGTGTCCCCAGCATCTACTTTACGGATTGTGACTTTCAGATGTATCGCACGTGAAATTATATAAGCAAAGATGAAGTTGACATTGGTGTGAACAGTTTTTGACTTCAGAATGCAGAGAAGGTGGAAGGAAAGCAAAACAGAGTATGTAATAACTTTCTTTTCCGTTCGCTTAATTTTTTTTATGTACTGTGAGCTCCTAACGATAAGGAAGAATGAATGAAAACGTCACCAGGATACATAAAGCGTTCGAGCCGGCACGAGCGTACATCCGAACAGCCCCACCATTCCCCTCTTTGCAAGGTCTGCTGGGATTTTGAGGAATATTCGAACAGTAAACTGTCGCACGACGCGTTTTGACACCGACTGGCTTATTGGGGTCGGAGCTTTCACCTTTGCCTAGTTCTGCTGAAACAGAATGTAGCATACAAGGTACATTTTATTGTATTTGGTGCCTGGAAATTCAATAATAATCTGTTTTCAACTGCAGCAACACCGACATCATCAGCTCAGTCAGCTTCACTGGCATCCTTCTAGCTTGCTAGGTTGGACATGTGCCAGGACATGCGAAGCAGCATGCATTGGTCTCGTTCTAATGTCAACTCGATGCACAGGCTTTCGGGAAACCTAAACGAAGGATTGCAAGGTTCTTTACCCTGCCACCATCCAATGACTCAAACTACAGCACAACACAACAACTATTTGCCAGATTTTAATAGGATCATTAAAAAAATCTTGCCATAAGGCCCGCATAAAATGCCCTGCATAACCAGTCCCAAGCACAATTGCACTGGCTGGACCGACATGCAGACCAAAGATCAAGTTTTCTTTCTGCTTCCTGCGCCAACTTTGGTTACCCAATCTCCCAGGTCCATCTTCAAACTAGCTAGCTGACGCAGATGTTTTTGTCCACCACTGTCGTATCTGGTTGCAGGCAACAAGTAGAACCTCCAAATGCAAAGTAACTAGTTGGAGTCTTGTACCATCTCGGGCCACTACAGAAAAAGGTTCATTGGGGCTCGTACCTCTGCCTCCAGCTCCTCGCTTGCCAACCCGGTTTTGGTTTCCAGGAAGGAAACGCTGCAGTGGCATCAGCTTGTTTGGGTCAATGAAGAACTGCAAGCATTTGAGACGACGGTCAGCTTAGCTCGACGTCCAAACAGTGGACTGCTGCCATTGCAGAATAAGGTAAAACATCTTTGGGTGCACCTTAGCATGAAAGCTCCTTTGCACAGAAACACACCTAACTCTCTCCTGCTTTTTCTGCAGGCTACCAGACAATAGGCCTCTGTAGCTTTCAAGTTTTGAACGGTGCCCCTTGCGAGGGAAGCTGAATATCTTTAGGTCTCGTTTCGATTGAGTGTTCTTACCCTTCCTCACGTTGCTGAAAGGTGCTATGAAAGGAAGTGTGAACAAAACAGCCGAGAGGAATGCATTCTTGGCATTTCGATAAATGCCAAAGCCACAAACTGTACATTTTTTTTTTGTAACGCACATGAACAGACACTGACATGCTGGCATTTGAACTTGGCTCATACACGATTGAATGCTACAACGCTGCCTTTATGGTCGCACCTTGCAGATGCCGAAGCCAACATTACATGGTCGCGTCTTGTGGACGCACTCGCGCCCTCTGGCTGAGTGCAACAGGCCTATGGGACACCACATTACCTATATGTTCCACTTTGGATGGTTCATTGTAAAATATACTTCCACAACTAGCTAGAATAGAACTCCACAAGAAACCAGGCAAAACTTTTTCTGCTTATCATAAGAGTGCTCTGAAGACATGACAGCAAACAATCATCACGCAAAGCTCCATTTGTCCAAAAAGTTACACCTTAAAGGGAAACTGAAGCTGTTCCGTATTTAAGGAAAAATACTGAAATCGTCTTCATTTGGCCTCCAGGATCACGAATATCGAGATTATTTTTCGATTTGGTGCCTGGAGGCTGCAGAAAGTAATTTTCAAAGTACCACTGAAGCCCCTCCTTCCCGGCGCGTGACGTCATATTGGGAGTTTTCGGAATCTCCGCTGTCGCGCATCTTCAGCGCTGATCGAAGCTATGCACGTGCACTCTTGCTATTTTCAAAAAGGTCAGAAACGAGGCAAAGCCTGACAAGCTTGCAATTATGTGCTGCCCACGTGAGGGACACACGCTTGGCGGCCCAAAGATCCCAGTACGACGTCGCGACTGATCGGAGGTTTTTCGTGTTTTCTCACGTTTAGTTACATCTTCGGGGAAAACTAATGTGATATTCAGATTCATGTGATAAAAATACGCCAGATGTCACCTCTAACTCGTTTTTTTCAGGAAGTGTTTCAGCTTCCCTTTAATGGATTCTGCAGTATGTTGCAGCTGGAAGACATAGCCACACTGTTGTTTTTTTTGTTAGCCGAGCCAACACTTGCCTTCTGTTTTGAATTGAAGGAGCTGGCCTTGACATCCTCCTGAAGCTTGACAGACACATACTATGGCTTTTGTTAAGAAATGGCGTCAATCACGGACAGTAATACAATGTACACCAACAGCAGAAAAGGATACAAAGTCTTTGATGGGGCCGAAGATTTCGTCCACTTTGCCGATCTGCTGCTTGTTCTCCAAGTACAGCGGGGCATTGAAGAAAGGTACCCTCTCCTCTGTCACCTTGCACACCAGGTCATCTTGGCACGGGTGACTCAGGAAGGCAAACTCTGCAGTTGGTAACAAGCAGCAGGGATGAAAAAGGATACAGGCAAAAGATCATTGAATAAACTCAAAATATTAAAGGGAAACTTCCAAAGAAATTTAAAATATATCCGTCGTGTTCAAAAATAGGTTGAATATGATCCACAATGTCCGTAAATGACAATAGCATGTTTGTATTTTGAGCCTGGTGGCTGTATTTTTTGTTATAAACGGCCCGCTCTAGTAAGCGCTCGGAGAAGGCCCAGCCTAGAGCACGTGACATGACGCAATCATGACATAGGTCGTCTCGGGACGAGCAAAGCTACGGAGAGGCTGACGTCGAGGGGATGGCCTAGTTGTTCCAGCCACCGAAGCGGCTGCTTTTGTACAAATTTTGAGTGATGGGTTAATCTTTTATAATCTTGTAGGGGGACAATAGCTACTTCTGGAACACACAAAAGGGATTCTCGGGAAGAAGGGAGTTCCTCCTTCCCCTCTTCTCTCGTCGGAGGCGAGACACTCACCGTCACTAGCTGTCGAGGTTCCTAGACGGGCATTACAAACGAGGCGTTAGCGACACCCACCAGGTGCTCTTTGCTAGTCGTTTAATTTGTTTTAAAATTCATTTTCAAGACTTTTTTAAGAAGATATTGGTGTGTTCGATGTGATACTGCTCCTTTGAACACCATATAGACCATAAAATAAGCGCCGAAATTTTGTTGTAGTATTCCTTTAATACAGGTACTCACTGCTAATAGCAGTCATTTACAGATGGCAGAATTTGGTAGCCTAAAAGACACTGAATGGTTTTTTTTGGTACCCAGCTGATGTCTGCTCTAACCATAAGTGCTTAAGGTCTTGCAGCAGTAGCTGCTTGGACGAAGCTAACGGACGGCTGTTGTGCATAATTTTTGTTTTTAAATAAAAAATAGGGAAAGGTTTACTAAGGACTTATGTCTACATGTACAAAAAGAGGGCCCCAAACCCCAACGTCTTATATGCAGAAAGATGGGAATCGCTCGTGGCATGTCCAATGCTCCAACAAAAAATAGGTACTAAATCAGAAAAGTGTTCTAGTTTATCAATTAAATTATGTTTTCGTCCACAAGTAGAATTCATATACTGTAAAAAACTTAAAATTTTCACGAGGGCCCAATTTTTATGAATTCTGTGAATTGAAAAATACTGCAAAAAATTGATCTCTGTGCTTGCAAAATATTTCCGAAATCAACACTCCACAAAATTCAAGAAAATATTGAGCTCACGAAAATAAAGTCATTTACAGTAACGAAGAAAGAGTCACGTTAACTGCAAAGTATAAGAAGTTAACCGATCACTCAGTTACTAAAAGTAATAAGAGAGTAGAGAGAAAAGGAAATCTGTACTTGTTTTCACCTCGAGAATAGTAGTAAAAAAAAGTCCGGCTCCTCGCAAAGCATTACTAATTTCCTACCTTATGTGGAGAACTAAAATACTATATGTAGGTGTATTTTAGATTAGATATATGTTACCTTATCAAGACTTGTACATTTCAAACGCCAAAAGCATTGCTTTTTCTTCCGACAACAAAATCTTGCAAGAACTATTTTGTGCGGCGTACAAACGATGCACAAAACTTCCTTTTTCCTCGAGCTGAAAACAATCATAGTTGCCTAACCTTTAATGAGACTGTTGATCGTGTAGCAGTCGCAAAACATTAAGTCTTTACAAGGACACTGATGGACACATTGTGTCGAAGGTGTGACAGGGGAGTAGCTCCTATGCCTAATTGACTGCCAAAGGGCTTTGACATCATCGTCCTTTGACAAGCTCGCAGCAAGGCAATTTTCAAGATCTAAGAGGGGGAAAAGATCCTATAACGGCACATCAGGTGACGCCACATGCCACTGACGTTCACTCACACTCACACTGCCAAGCAACACGGAGTACGAGCTTTGGAGTCGTCACACTCGTCACAAACAGTCGCATGGCCAAGACTGGTCGGGACGGAAGCAAGTTACCTACCAACAACTTCCTCAGGAGGCCCCTGGTCGTAGTTGCTCCTGAAGCCTCCGCCGCCGCCACCGCGGCCCCTGCCACGACCTCCAAAGCCACCCCTGTCTCCTCCACGGCCACGACCACCAAATCCACCGCGATCTCCGCCACCTCTTCCCCTGAATCCTCCGCCACGGTCGCCGCCACCACCGCGGCCTCTGAAGCCTCCGCCCCCGCCTCCGTAGCCGCCGCCTCCGCCGTAGCCACCCCCACCGTAGCCACCTCTGCTCATCCCTCTGCAGAGAGGTGGCACAGTTTGACATGAAAATGGAAGACATTCTAGGTCCCACAATCAAAGTTGGGGCTAATGCCTCGGGTTTTGGAAAAGAACTGGGTTTTTCTACCAGATGCTTATGTGGAGGGTTTAGGAAAGCACCATTCCCGGTTCACCCCTAAGCCGACAGTGCGGTGGAAGCTACGGGCTCGTTGGACCAGTAGTACGCCTATCTTTCACCATGTGATCACACTCATAACTAAAAGGAACAAAAAGGTTAATGGATGAAGGGGAGGTGGCTAATTGGTACAGCGAGCACATAGCATCCACCACACTGTTAACTGAGGGGTGAACTGAGCACAGTGCATTTTATTCACGCTAGTAAAAATATTTAGTGAACTTGTTTGGTGCCCAGTCTTGCATATTGGAGAGAAGTTCATTCAGCTATTTGTGAGCAACACCCAAAGGGCTGAACACCTCACTTCATGCATGTAAAAGCAGCACACTTCAAGGCTAGTATACAGAACTGATCACATGAAAACAAAGAGGCAGAAAATCGAACATAAAGGTTTCTCATGGCATAAAAAGTTCGTTAATTTTGACCTAAATATGAACCTTTTCAAAGTTTATTTATATATATATATATATAATTGTTCTATTCCAAACTGAGCATACACATGCATGCAAGAAATGGTGTTCAGTCCTTGAAACAAACATTTCGCATAAGCCCGGCAAAGACATCATATGGGACCTGTGCAACTTTTGAAACGTCACGATCACTAAACCCTACTTCAATCACATCGGCCGATGCTACGAATGGTTGTATTGCGAGCTCGGTTTATGCGTGTGGTTCTTCAACACTCTTAAAGAATTAATTGCTGTGTTATCCTATTTCGTACGCTGATATGCCGATCAAAGCGTTTTCGAAACTTTTGCATGCTGAAGCTGGTTCCAAGATATTTTGTCACCGATAGGTACTACACCGCACCGGCAGATCCTACTGCGCGATCCACACCGACACACAATGTAACAAATCTGGAATTGTCGCATAGTGAGCTTCAATTCCCAAGACACTAAATACATACCTTGTATGTTAGATGAACAGTAGCTAAATATTCCTATTTACGAGGAAACAGCGCGGCTAACACGTGCCAAAACAAGAGGGAGGTGCCCAACGTTGCCAGATGGACTTATTTCCGTCGCCTTGTTTAGCCGTTTGCTGGCGCTAAACCGGTTAAACCGCTAAATTGTCTAAACGCCAGGGGAACAAAAAGCTTCGACAGTTTTCACTGTTGCAGTACCCGACGTAGGACTACACAACGTTACACAGACATGCACCTAAAATGTGATACACTTTCGGTTTAGGCATTGCATAAACCAGGGTGTAAGATAGACAGGTGGGGAAACGAGAGCGAAATGAGCGACCGGATCAGGGTGTAAGATAGACAGGTGGTGAAACGAGAGCCAAGTGAGCGACCAGATTGTGTCCCCCTCGGTTTTCTCTTTTTCTGTGGCGCCATCTATGTGGAGCACCGCGAACTCTCACTCCAGCTGGGCGAACGCTGGCGACCGGTTAAACTGACGGAGAAAGTTTCTCGTGTATTTTCAATGGAGGACTGTCGTGCTCTCAGTTTATTTTGCGCACTCTCCCATAGAGTTCCATGCAAATTCGATTCTAATTTTTTTCTTCTCGCCGCAGCGCCATCTGTCGCAAATCGGGGGTACCCGCAAGCCTCCCGCAAGCAGACGAGTACACAATCCGGTCACGGCGCTGCGGTAGGTTTCTATGGGCCGTTTCCCCACCTGTCTATCTTACACCCTGGACCGGATTGTGTCCCCCAGAGCCGTATATGTAGAGAGTTTGGCCATTCGTTGGGAAGTATAGGAGACAAATGAAGCGGCGCCATTGGCCGAAAGTGGGCTGGGCGTGTTCCAGGGCGTCTTCAGAAATTCGAATGTGACCAACCAGAAGCCGGAAATAATACCCTGGCGGTGGTCGCAAGAAACAAACCTGATAACTGCATTGGAGTAACTCTCGATGGCTGAAAATATGGTACACGTGATGTTTCAATCACACTCATCTGAAATGATGGTGGAAGAGTGCGACTAGCGGAAAGATCGACATAATCCTTACGCCAAACGCCGAGCGCCGGGAATCTGCCGTCAGAGCGGTCACACTCTGTCCGCGCAAAACAGAGTTGAGCGGCGCATTCGTTTCTTACATCTTTCTGCATGATCATGATGAAACAACACATGCACCCTATTTTTAACCAGAAAGAGTTACTACACTTCACTCTTACGCACTTAGTAAAACCATATACGAACATAGACCTTCGATGATCGATCGGCTCAGAATTGTTTCTCGCTACCACCGCTAGGGGATTCTTTTCGGCTTCTGGTTGGTCAAGAGAGCATGCCAAGCCCTCTTTCCGAGTCTGCCGCACACCCTGGCTCTGCCCGCGCCTCCCATTGACCAAACTCTCTACATATACGGCTCTGGTGTCCCCCTCGGGTTCCTCCCTACGGGTTTCTCTTTTTTTGTGGCGCCATCTATGTGGAGCACCGCGAACTCTCACTCTGGGTGGGCGACCGGTAGCCACCGGCTAAATTGACGGAGATAGTTTCTCGTGGATTTTCAATGAAGGACTGTCGTGCTCTCAGTTTATTTTGCGCACTTTCCCATAAAGTTTCGTGCAAATACGAATTCCGATTTTTTTCCTCTCGCCGCAGCGCCATCTGTCGCAAATCGGGGGTACCCGCAAGCAGACGAGTACACAATCCGGTCACGGCGCTGCGGTAGACTTCGATGGGCCGTTTCCCCACCCGTCTATCTTACACCCTGGCATAAACACTCTGGCGTTTTTTTTCTGCTAATTTAGAAAATAATATTACACCAAAGTATTTTTACCGCATCGGTATACGCCTCGCAAATGGGCTCATTTTCGTCTTCTGTGCATGAGAAAGAAAGTAGCGGTGTCGTCAGAACGCCGAGCCCCGATTGGCTGATCGCGACCCATCTGAGCGTCGTCTGCTCCTTTACAACGTCGTCTGCTCGCAACGTCGTCTGTGTCTGTCTTACCTTTCCTGCGACTTTCGGAGCTCGACTTCGCCTTTCAGAGAGGGCAGACGAAATAACTTGAGCAGTACGTTGTTTTTGTCTAACAACTAGCAGACGCACATCAAGGAGCGAAGTCAGAGGACTCACTGGCGAGGTGTTCCGAGGCGCCGAGGTTGCTTTGCTAAGGACCAAGAGTGAGGGTGGTTAGTGTCCGCAAGTTCCCTCCCAAATACTTTTTCCCTCCTCTCGTGTGCGGCGAGACTCCTCACTCTTTAACGGCGTCGGCGGGTTGGCACAGTTAATGTCGTCTGCTTTACGTCTGCTAGTCAAAGCGATGGCTGCTTTACCTTTCCTGCGTCTGTCGGAGATTCACCGCTTTTTTACCGGCGAGATCTCACCGTCACCTCGGAAAACAGATGACAAGAGGAGGAGATTGACCTCTTATTTTAAAATTGAGGTCAGCGATCAAAGTGTAAGATCGGAAGGGTTCACAAGGGTCGCGCGGGCATATTCCATTCAGCACGCCAGCCGGTCGTGGGCAGACGGTCTCCGAGTCGGAGTGCCTGCTAGGCCTATCTGCCGTGCTCGCTTGGTCGTTGTCGGTGGAATCGTGGCCGTTGGAGCTTTTCACGGGTGTTTGTGGATCCAGCGTTCTTGTTTGTCGTGGTCTGTTTCAAGTACTTTTTACTTTTTTCTTGCTGCTTGAAGTTGCGACGCATGAGAAGCGCACATAAAAAAATAAACATACGTTGGTCGTCGCGACCGCGACGCTGTCGGCCATGCTGATTTGATCGTAAGAAGTGCGTAAGACAGCTTCGGAGCTGTCCATAGGATTTCGTCGTAACCTGCGCAAAACTTAAGAAAATTTTGTTTCGTCAATACAAATTTGTTCTCAAGTTTTGTCTTGCGCATATTTTTGGCACAAGATTGTTTTGTGAACCCTCTGCACTTTCGAAAGTCGCAGGAAAGGTAAGACAGATGCAGACGACGCTGCGAGCAGACAACGTTGCAAAGGAGCAGACGACGCTCAGATAGGGGGTCGTGATCAGCCAATCAGGGCTCGGCGTTCTGACGTCACCGCTAAACCCTGTGCAAGGAGCAGACGAACTTGCCCTCCGCATTGGCATTACTGCAGATCCTCTCTACACCACAAGTTTGTTGAACCGAAGAATACCCAGCGCAGAAAAAACGCACGAAGTGAAAAACTATCTTTATTTCTTTATTTTATGGATGAAACTATGACTAAAAAGCAAGTCCACAGATTCTAAATCAGAGTTTTACTGTTTTCATATTTGAGGATTTCACGTGCCGGTTTTATTGAACTCGAAACGTTTTTTGAGCCTATCTGAAAGGTCCCTGAACGGTGTTTGACTTTCGTTTGCAGTCCGAGGTATTCTGCAGGCACGCCTAAATTTGGGATTGATCATCAGCAGGTTTTGTCCCAATGCAAACCCACTTGAGCAGAGCCAGTAGAGAGTAACATCCTGCAAGAAATAGTGCAGCAGATGAGACCAGTAAACGGAATAGCATACACACCCTTCATTACTGCCCAAGACCTTTAGGATGTAAGGCAGAATAAATTAAATAATGCTAAGTGCTGAGAGGAATGACATGGCATCGTCGGATGTTAGCGACCCACTTTCACAGAACGCAGAAAATATAATTATGAATGTACTTGGCCCTAAATATAAAATATATCTATATTCCGCAAAATCTCGAGAGACGCCCCACCCCCGAAATTTAATCCACCCCTATTTTTGTTTGATTTGCTATTTTCTTTTAAACACTGAAAGATAGCCCACTCCTAGTTAATCGTTGTGTTCGGATCAATGATGACCTCAGCGTAAATGCATCTATTTAGCTATGGCGGGATATAAGAGAACATTGGTGACTGTGAAGTATACAGTCGACTTTGCTTCAATGACCCTTGCCACGATAACAAGTTTGACAGACACATAATCTAAAAATAGCATTTTTTTAACTTTACTTGATTGCACACAAAAGGTTACCCCTCCTTATTTTCTCTGAATTTTAGGTGGGCTATTTCTCTGGATTTTACGGTATATATATATGTATATTTCTTTTTATTGAGTTAGATTTAGGAAGCTGCTAAGTATATTTATAAAGGCCTGTTAAATACACAGCTAGGATTTTAAGTTGCCTTATCTTACTCCTAAAGTCACGTGCAAGTGACAATCTCTTCCCTCAACTTCATGCTTCCTGCTACAAAAATCATATATAAAACTTTCTGGTCTCGCAAGTATATGCTCTAATACACAAGTGCTCCTTATACGCCTCGCAAGTGGGCTCATTTTCGTCTTCTGCGCATGAGAAAGGAAGTAGTGGTGACGTCAGAACGCTGAGTCCTGATTGGCTGATCGCGACCCCCTATTGAGCGTCGTCTGCTCCTTTGGAACGTCGTCTGCTCGCAACATCGTCTGCGTCTGTCTTACCTTTCCTGCGACTTTCGGAGCGAACTCGACTTCGCCTTTAAGAGAGGGCAGACGAAATAACTCGAGCGGTACGTTGTTTTCGTCTAACAACTAGCAGACGCGCATCAAGGAGGGAAGTCAAAGGACTCACAGGCGAGGTCGCGAGGTGTCCCGGGGCGCCGAGGTTTGTTTGCTTAGAACCGAGAGTGAGCGTGTTAGTGTCCGCAAGTTCCCTCCCAAACACTTTTTCCCTCCATTCATGTGCGGCGAGACCCCTCACTCTCTAACGGCGCCGGCGGGTTGGCGCAGTTAACGTCGTCTGCTTTACGTCTGCTAGTCAAAGCGATGGCTGCTTTACCTTTCCTGCGTCTGTCGGAGATTCACCGCTTTTTAACCGGCGAGAGTCATCGTTGCCTCGGTAAACAAGGAAATAACAAGAAGAAATTGACCTCTTAATCTAAAATTGAGGTCAGCGATCAAAGTATAACACGGGAAGGGTTCACAAGGGTCGCGCGGGCATATTCCATTCAGCACGTCAGCCGGTCGTGGGCAGACAGACGGTCGCCGAGTCGCGGAGTGCCAGCTAGGCCTAACTGCCCAGCTCGTTTGGTCGCGTTCGGTGAAATCGTGGCCGTTGGAGCTTTTCCCCGGCGTCTGTGGATCCAGCGTTCTTGTTCGTCGTGCTCTGTTTCAAGTAATTTTTACTTTTTTCTTGCTGCTTGAAGTCAGGACGCGTGAGAAGCTCACGTAGAAAAATAAACGTCCGTGGGTCGTCGCGACCGCGACGCTGTCGGCCATGCTGAGTTGATCGTAAGAAGTGCGTAAGACAGCTTCGGAGCTGTTGTAGGATTTCGCCGTAACCTGCGCAAAACTTGCGAAAATTTCGTTTCGTGAATACGAATTTGTTCTTAAGTTTTGTCTTATGCACATTTTTGGCGTAAGATCGTTTCGTGAATCTGGCCTCTGCACTTCCGAAAGTCGCAGGAAACGTAAGACAGACGCAGACGACGTTGCGAGCAGACGACGTTGCAAAGAAGCAGACGACGCTCAGATAGGGGGGCGCGATCAGCCAATCAGGGCTCGGCGTTCTGACGTCACCGCTACCCCCTGCGCAAGGAGCAGACGAACTTGCCCTCCGCATACACCTCAAGCAAACCCAAATGTCGACGACCAAATCCAGGCGGTAATTCTGTTTCACACAACATGACCTCTGGACACATCCTCCCGCATATCATGCCCATGTGCACCTCTGGGGAACTAGGCAATTCACCTATAAAGACTAATAATATGCACAAAATATTGTCCGGCTGTGCTGCATGACAAGAAAGGAAATTGACATTCACTTACAGTCGGCATTATACTTGCAATGGGTATCATGAGGACGCTCATCCCACGGAGGGTGTACGTCAACACTTTCCTGACTTTCGTCAGCTGTTTTGTATGTTGCAGTGCGTGAAACTGAAAGAGATAAATGCGGGACCATGTGTAACAACTACTCATACCCCACGATGTCCCAAACATGGCACAGTGCACAAACACCACACACCTCAATGTTTAGGAGGTTGGTGATCCCTAGAAGCAGAGGCATCACGAAGAGCGGATCTGGCAACGTGAGGTTCGGGAACCACAGTGCACCTCCAACGGAGAGTTCAAGAAACAGGGCCTGGGCAGCTGCAAGCAACGTGTTAAAGATTCATATACCTATATCCAAAAAAATTGTGCAGTTAGTGATTGTTATACCCATGTCCTGGTAAGGCATCATGTATGCCATGTTCCGAAGCGCGACAGAGAGGCTGATCCACAGCGGAAGCTGGAACCAAATGACCAGGGAGGACTTGAATGGGTGACAGTTGTCTCTGACGATCAAGTTGTTGATCTGTTTCTTCAACTGCAATGCAATTTGACCACATTAGTGCACAGCAGCGGCTAGTGAGCAATACTGAAGAAATGCTTTTTGCTGAGCTGCAAGCTCCGATCTATCTCTTTTCGAAAGCCAATTAAGTTAAGCAACCGCCTAAGCAATGTGGTAGTTGATATAAGTGTCATATGTTTCCCACTGCACGCGACACTCAGTTATCATTATAATGCAATAAAATGCAAAGGTGCAAGCGAGCTGGACAGTAATGATGAAAATAATCCCTGTTTGTCCTTTGTCCCTCTTGTTCCCCTTCTCCAGGGATTATTTTCATCATTACTGTCCAGCTCGCTTGCACCTTTGCATTTTATTGCATTATAATCATAACCTTAAATTGCAAGCTTCACCCTTGTTGGTGTTAGACTGCTGGCGGCTGATAAAACCTGTTTGCTCTACTGATGTCTAACCCCTGGTTAGCTCAATTGGTAGAGCGCTCCACCTGTAATGGAGAGGTCCCGGGTTCGATACCCGGACCAGGCGGATTTTTTCGGTCGCGCACCAGTCACCTAGCTGTGTTTGGAGATTTGTGTTTGTCCTTTTCCCTCTTGTTTCCCCTTCTCCAGGGATTATTTTCATCACTCAGTTATCATGTTGAGTATGTTCCCTTTCTTTCACACCTGCTGGCTTCGGGAAAGTGTAACAGCACACAATTTTTCCCAAGATCGCTGGCAGAAACTAAAATCACTTTAGCCAGCAACACGGAACTCGATACGTACGCTTCTTCTGTACAAGTACTTGGCCTGTTTTTCGTCCAGGTTGTACATCCTGACGGCGCGGGCTGTTTCACCTCTCAGCTCGTGGGCTATCTGAGCGATCTCCTTGTCCAAGTTGGCGAGTCTTGCGATGATGTGACTCTGATAGAGAGCCAGGGGAAGTGTGACCACGATCCGAAGTGCCAGCGACGTAGTGACGATGGTCGTGCACCACGAAAGTCCACTGTTCATGTGCACCGTTTCGAGGAACTCCTGCGCGTAGGCGACGGGAGCCGATCGGGACAGCGCCATTCCCCATGATTCGAAGGAAAAGTGGCGGTACTTGGTTGTCTTTTGAGTTTGTGTCCTTAGCAAAACTGGCTCTTGTCGAACGAGTACACAAAACTGCCGGTTTGCGACCCATGCTCGTCGCACAAGTTGAACTTCCCGAAATCGAAACATGTCTTTCCCGTATACAGGCGTGTTATTATGTATAAAAAAATATTATAATTTTTATTTTATTGTTACACCTAAGTTACGTTCTTATTAAATACTGTAAATTTTTAAAAAATAATTGTAAGTTTATATTACAAACAACAAATTATATATAAACAAATAGGCAGCTGACAGCGCCTCTTTTTCTTTTTTTTAAATATTCATAAGTTTGTGAAGTGTGCCAAACCAAAGCACTGCGCCGACCGCAGGCGCCGTCTGCACGTCGTTCTATTGTGTTGTAGTCTTTTCTGCTATTGAACTAACGTGTAAACAGTAAATTCTAAAGCACTATTTGATGTTGAACTTGGGCACAAAGCTGGATTTTGAAAGTTTAAACTAATGGTGAGTGGCAAAGGGTTTTACTAGCCTCGTATTTTGAACATGACGTGCTAGAACGCTTCCTTGTGGAACGTAAACATGTCGGCGTGTTCGGTACGCGGTGACAAGCTATCAAACGCTGGACTTAAATCTTCCGCTAACGTTCCTCGTCTTTTATTGGGATACAGAGCGTGAATGGTAGCTAACACTTTTGGCTCGTGTTATTTATGTGAGTACATTTTCTTCGGCAACTGCACGCGAGGCAAGCTGTAAAACTGAAAGTAGGCTTAACTGAGTCGGTATTGTCAAACGAGCATTTTGCGTGGTGACTTCCCTAACGTTTTCACCTCATTACCTTTGTTTCGTTCAGGAAGAAGAGTTTTTAGGGTGCGGGAGGGGAGGCAGAGGAGCCCTCCTGCTTGCCGCCCTTCAGAAACAGACGAGGCGTCCTGGCACTGGGGGTTCCGGCGACAGCTCGGGCGATGCCACCGTGAGTACGCGTGTTTGCGCGGCCACCTTGGCTCATGAAGGATGTCTTCGTCCGACCCTGTACTGTCAGCGCGGGAGATAATAGCTATGTCGTAAGCAACGAAACGTTGAATGCATTCAGGCATAAATTGGCTGTTGGCTTTTTCGTGTCGTGTCTGCTACTGGTAAAGTGATCAGCACATTGGAACACCAATGGCTTGTTCCTGCTAAGTGTCACGGATTGTATATGTAAAAGCCACGAAAACAGGTTAAAAGAAAGGTACAGGTGTATGGAAATCCACGGGGGATCTGTTCATTGTTTGAGACTTGGACGGGTGCGTTAAAGATAAAGACCTACATTTCAAGAGATTCACACATGCATTGTATGCTATATGTAGGGTTGCCAGGTAGTTTCTACCTCAAACCGCCAAAAGCCAGACGGTGTAGCCCTAAAGTAGCCATATTTTGCAGTGCCCAAAAAATTGTGCGCTCGAATGTGCGAGCTCAATTCGAAGGCACCGTGTCTGCGTATCGGGGGTTTAGGAGTCGCTTGCAAGATCTATGGCAGCTTGAAATGTGTTGAACGTTTTATTTCAAACACAAAACTGCAAAAAGTTTTCAAATGCGTTTTTGCAGTCGCATAGTTATGAAGCACTCGCTCGTGCCCGGCTTACTCGCCTCATACATGATTTCCTTGTTAAAACGGGCAAAAACTTCTTCAGTACGGTTGATGTCCTTACAGAACTCGTTCTTCCCAAGGAAAGCGAACTTTACATAGAGGACGTTTTGAAGAGTTGGGAAGGGACATGTTCTTCCTTAGGCCTGACTTTGTGAGGGACACGTGACTGAATACTCTCTCCACGACGGCATTAGACATGGGCAGTGTCGGGAGCGCGATGGCAAGCTCGGATAGCAACGGAAACAGGGCTGCTCCTGCGCATTGATCTTGGCCTTGTTTGAAATATTCATTGTCCCAAATCTGTTGTCTTTTGTTGTGGCTCACTGTGCTTTAAGAAACTTCCATGTTTCGCAGAAAAGCCTCCTTTTGTTAAATCCGGTACAGCAAGTGTTATCGGGTGACATCAAATTCTGCAGGATGTCTTGAGTTGCTTTTAGTATCAATTTTCCTCGGATGAGGTGCGTCCTGTAGGAAGATGGTAGGAAACTCGAGGAAATAAGAGACGCCAGTAGGAAGTAGAAAGAACTTGGGAGCACAAAATAAGCCATAATTAATACAAAAGCGATGTCGTCGGAGCTGTATCTGGGTCAAGGTAGCTCAGTTGCGCTAATAGCTTCTGACATCACACCCACAAATCTTCAGGCGGAAAATGCCTGAAAGCGGGAATCCAGAAAGGGTGGACTGTCTCTTTGTGTTCATGTTGAAATATCTTTTGTACATCTACTCTAAACCAAGCAAAAAAACAAAAAAAAAGAAGCCACATTAGTATTTGAAATAGCCCATAAATAGCCACATAGCCAACCGCCAAATTTCGACGCCAAATGTAGGACAAAGTAGCCCAATTTGGCTATTAATAGCCCAACCTGGCAACCCTGGCTATATGTCATAGTGAGGGTGAGGCTCGTGATTTTGAAGCGCGGGGCTATGTCCGGCCCACCCAGAGGAGGTAAGGCCCGCTTCAGACGTGGCAAATTTGCCCAGCAACTTGACGTCACAACACGAGCCGTCCGCGTTCACACGCACGCAGCAACTGAATTGCTACGACTTGCCATCATCATCATGAAATTAGATTTTTCTTGCACTATTTAGACATACAGCTAAGCCCTAAAAACATGTTTTTATATCTTCGAATGGTGTTGAGAATACTAACTCATCTTTCTGAAAAGGTTTATTTCCAAAAACGATCCATTTCAAACCAGAACCAAGTCTTTAGCTGTCATCACCACCACAGGGGTGTCACGTGAAAATATCGCGTCCCTGATTGGCTGCGGCCGCTTCAAACTTCTTCGAATTGCTTTGAGTTGCTCGCTTGTTCAAGCCATACCCGATCTCAGCAATTCGTGTCGATCTAGGGAAAGCTAGGGAACAACCCGTCAGCAACCTCTAAATTGCTGGAAAAGTTGCCCCGTCTGAAGCGGGCCTAATGGATCTGATGTGAGTGCTGGTTTTTGCTGGCAAAGAAGTAAGAACGAAGGGAAAAAAGGATTGCATTCACAAAGAGCAGGTTAGAAGATTGGTGGAAAAGGTCTAGAGAAGCGTGCTATGACTCAAAATTGATGGGCTCGACGATTTAACGAGAGGCGCCTTGTTCATTTTTGTTGCAGTCGCCGTCGGAAGAATCGCGGCCTGCCAGCGGCCTCGCGCTGCCATCTGGTACCAGCACGTCTGTGTCGAGTCCTTCTGGTCCGAGCCCATCCCCGGCCCCACCTGTCGGGGCAGGCAGGGGAGCCCTGCTGGAGAGGCTCATGTTGCAGTCTCGTGCAAGCACGAGCTCCAGCTCATCCGGAGAGATACCGTCCCCCACCGCCCCCCTCTCGTCCAAGCCTGGTGGGCCTTTTTGTCTTGCCTCTCTTTTGTGTGCATCATTTGGAACAGGCCCTTGTTGGATTGTTGTTCTGGCTTAGACTTGGCATCGACTATCTTGAGCTTCATTGTTGAGACTAGCGCAGCTTCCACAGTGCTGCAGCCTGCGGGATATCGCTTGCTACCTACACAGGTACCGATAGAGTAACCAAAGGATTATCTCAACAGCGGCGGCAATCTCAAAGGAGATGTCAAACCTAGTAGCGCGGTCCCCACATCTCCGCGGCAATATAGACGTTTAAAGCCATATTACCGCGGGTCGGTTCGATAAATAGCCTCCGTTGGTGCCAATAATCGACTGTCTTTTCTCACTCTCGAATATAGCGGAAGAAAAGACACACATACCAGAGTAAGGACAGAGTCCAAGAGCATTTATTATAACAGTCTTCTAAATGAACTACGATGTCTCAATCCAAATTGCCCCCCCCCCCCCTGCGCCGGCAAGGTAAGAAAAGGTGCTTACCTGCCAGACGCGGGGTTCCGGAGAGCCAAGATGGGGAAGCATAGGAGAAGTCGCTGACACACGTCCTATTTCTTTCGTGCTCACCAAACGAGTCCCCCTCCGGAAAGCGGGAAAAGTAGAGGCAAAAGCCTCCTTGCCTGTCAGCAGTGATTCGCATTTGAGCTGGGGGACGGAAAGAGGTCCCCTTGGGAGAGAGTGAGAGTAGAGCCCCCCAAGCCAGGCGGCCCTCCGCCTCACGAACAGGTCGGAGTTCACGGCGAAGGAGGTCGAGTGTTCCTCCGACCTGCGGCCGTTATCGCAGCCATCGGGGAAGGGAGACCACAGGAATCCCCACAAGCCCTGCACTGCTATGTGAACCTGTGGCTTCCTCGTGCATTTCGTTTGCACGTGCCCTTGTGCAGAGGACACACCAAATGAAGCCATGCTTTCTTGCAAGTAGCTTTGATGCCAATAGAGCACTGCAGAAGCTATGCTAGCCTTGACAGTATGTTGCAACATAGTTGATGTCCAGTGTAGTCGGTGATTTGTGACGCCTGCTTCATCTTTGTTACTGTAATATTATAGGCCCTCTTGTATGGCCTCGGGGTGTTATCGCAACACTACAGCCGTCTCGAATTGTGAGAGCATTGCACTTCGTGGAAGTCCTCACTTCTTTGGTATTAATTGGGCAGCAGCACCTATTGTAACGTGCCGAGGTGAATCTTTGGGGCCTTTGTGTAATTAGTACAAAAAGTGGGGCATTCTGTTACGGGCTCTAGAGGACGCCATCCTTTGACAAAGTACTCTGTGCAGCACAGTTAGTGCCAAGACGACATCGGCACTTTTTTGCACTTTGGTGAGGTTTTATTGCCTAAAGGGGACAACCTGTAGTTTGAGGATACTCAGTCAATTCTGATTTGATTTGGATGAAATTCATTTACCTAGTGTGACTTTGACTGCTGAATACTGATCTAAGGGTTTTATTCACCTATCTCTAATACTTTGAGAGAAAATCTTTAATTTATGGCAGATCCTTTGCCCAACTTTTCTAAATTATGTCTATACACTGAACAAAAAAATAGAGTGCAACAAAACCATTTTTTCGTTTCAATTCTGACAGAAAGTAAAAACACTGAATTTTTCTTACTGACAATTAGAAATAAATCATTATATGTATTAACAAATTTTAAACAATTATGTTACAGATTCTTTAGAAGGTTGAGTCTTGTTACACTCTCTGATTTCTGAGTGATCAAACCGAAAGAAAATAATTCCGATTCATGTTCTAGATCCCAAGATACGATGGGCAAAAGTGTTGCGATGAAAAAACAAATTCTGTGACAACAAGCAAAAAGGTTTCAAACAATGCATGTACTTTATTTGCAGCAAAATATACATGAAGAATGTATAGGACAGTGCCAAGAAACCACCAGGAATATAGTCCTGTTAATTCTCTTGTCCACGCTTTTTTTTCATAGCTTGTGTGAAGGTTTGCATGGGTATGTTTCCTGTTGGAAGCAGTCTGTCGCTAGTGGTCCTTTCCACTTGACCTCTGAGCACTTGCTGTGCCTTGGTGTAGATGGAGCACCTTCATGATTGCACTGGTGGCACACTGTTTGCCACAGTTGAATCTGGGCACAGCTTGTGCAACTGCACATTCCACGCTGAACAAGGAGGCATGCTGCTTCTTTGAGGAAGGCGACCATATAATCAAGAGGAGGCTTTCGTTGGCATTCTGCTTTTTTGTAGTTTGGCAACCTTTTTAAGAGCTTTTGGTCAGACAGGCGTGTATAGACGGGCAGCAGGGCATCACTTACGCAGTCTGGCAGATTTTAATGAATCTTTGGCGCAGTTTCATATCTGGCAAAAACAGCACTTTGCTTGCACCAGACGGTTTTCCCTGTGGGGTAAAGTGCATGTTTGGGCTTTGCATCATTCAATGTGATGTAATGATACAATACCATCACTGCTTTTTGCATTTTTTCATTGCCGATCCATAATACATTGTGAGCTTAGTGATGAGATCAGCAGTCAGTTTCCCTTCGCCACCAGGACTTGGCTTGCCTTCACATTTTAGTTTCTGCACAAGGTTACGTAGTGTAGTGCCCATTCTCTTGTGGACGTGATTGACACAGTCCTATTTCTACTTCCGCATCCTGAAGTGCATTGTACGACCGACTATCGCCGTCACCCAACATTGTCGTGTAACGTAGTACATGCCTTGCAAGCGAACGCTTGTAGAGGATAGTTGCAGCTTCAACCCCCATTTGCCGTGGTCTGCTTGAGCTGTTCCTCTGGCAGAGGTGAGTGTCCTTCCACTCTTGGTATGTAAGATCACTTTCCTTTGGTCCCATATCACAGCCCAGGCAGAATTGGACAGGACAACAAAGTCAAGCACATAGCCGGAGAACTGTTCAATAACGCTTCCAGCGCCTATGTGCAACGAGTGACCCTGGGACACCCAGGTTCCATTGAATGAAACAGCTGTTTCCAGGATTTTCGAAGTTCAGGTTTCTGTAGAGCGTTTTACTGCTCCCGTGCATTCGCTCATTGTAGTTCTAGCTGCCTTCTGGGCTGCCGGATTGATCTTCTCTTTAGGCATATTCAAAATGTCCTCTTGTGCAGACCTCTTTTTGAAATGTTCATCTCGGAGAAAAGATTTTCAGCTCTGATTGTCCGTTTCCGGTACTCACAAAAGCAAGCGATGCGAGAATGTTTATCTGGAAGGGGTTGCATGTTGCGTTTCCCTTCCGCCTTGCAGAACTCCACTTAGATTTCATTTCAACGCGCTTGGCACAGCTTAGAACCAGCTTCACCGCACTCCTGTACTCCCAGTCTCCTTTTGAGATGTTTACAGTACCGCCGTAAACTTTGCTTTCACAGTCGTTAAGCTTAGAACAGTTTGGGTGGTGCCGATCTCCGGCAGATATGCGTTTTCGTCGAGGAGAGAAGACCTCCGATGTGTAGCCGACACAGACGACAGCTTTTTTCGTGCCTCGGTTGCGTGATGCATTTTCTCCACCTGCTCTGGTTCAGAGGTTGGAATCGTGTCCACGCGTGCCATTCCGCTTTCGGCCACAGAAACGGTAGAATGTGCGGCCACACTCTCGCGAGCGGCACAGCTTGGCACGGTGCAATTTGGCACGCTGACAGAGCCAGACGCCGATGGCTTTGAAGTTCTGGATGACACTTCATCAACTACGGGTCGTCTTTTTCGCCATTTTTCAAACTTTTTTGTGAGCAGTTCTAAACTTTCGTTGACCGCCAGCCATGTTCGTGCAACTTATCTAAGATGGCGAACGTGTCTAGCAGCCGTAATTTCATAGCATCCAATGAGAATGCACAATTTTCATACCTTCCAACTCTTCCCAATCTTTTGTAAAAGGTATGAGTTGGGACTAATTTGACAAATCTTGCTCCAAATTTTACAAAAACAAATTACGAAAAAAGGCTAAAAAAAAGATTGCTGCTTGCGGTACCTTGCACCGCCAGAAGGGGGCGATAGGTACCATCCGCGGCAGAGTCGTGGTTCTTACTACCCGATGGCCACGGATCCAAATCCAATCCAAAGCCCAAAGCCTTTGTTCGTGTGTTCGACGGCGCACATTGGTTTGGCATGTTCAGCCGTGGTTGGGCCTTGCTGTTTCGGCCAGTTTCGAGGTGAGAAGTGCGGCGTCTGTGTTTGTTGCACAGGTAATCATAGCATTCCCCTAGTTGCGGTGGCTTCGCAGCGCAATGGCGAACTCCACACCTCAAAAGAGGTTCTTTCAGGTGTTCCTGAAGTCCTACACGTCGGAATTCCCGTGCTTCGTGCCATCCAAAAAGGGAGAGAAGTTTGGATTCTGTAGCGCATGCTGTGTGGTGTAAGCGTTTCGCACGGTGGTAAAACTGACATTAAGCTGCACATCGCTTTAAGGGGGCACACCCCCTAGGGGGGTCAACTTTTGAATCCTTGTTTTAAAATTAACGAAATTTACAGGGTAGGCTGGTGGTCATGCTAGAGGGTGTATGACAAAATTTCAGGTCTGTCGGTTAAATGAGAAGGAAATAAGAGTAGCTTCTATCAGCAACACGCCTACGTTGTTTAGTTAATCTATCGTCAGAAAACTATTGCGATATTAAAGATTTTCATTTGCTAGATATGTAGCAGAATGCCTAGAGGGTGCGGCTATGGAACACTTTTTTCTAAAAAGTAATTCATTTCTATAAATTTTCTCTTCTGCAAAATTGGTCAACTTTTTGGTCTTCTGTGCCTTCGCCAAAATGTCAACATTTTTTACAAAAGACATCCGTAAAGGGACAAAAAAGTTCCATAGCCGCACTCCTTATTAAATTTTAGTCAGGATAAGGGAAGAATGCGCTTTCCCTGTTTTGCCATTATCAAACGATAGATTGACTAAAATGGAATTTATACCAAAAAGTGGAACGGAGAAAAATGTGTTCAAAGTGCTCCAAACCCTACCTTTTCTATAGCTTTGGTGGACGGAAAATAATTTATAAAAAATTAACTATTCAGTGAAAATTAATGAAACATTTTGAGAATACTCTCTAGATGTTGGTGGATGTAAAGATGTCATTTTTCAAAATCAACTTTTTTTGCAGACATTTTTTTTTCTGGGCAGTGTCTCCCCTTAAGCACCCCTTGCCCCCCCCCCCCCCCCCCCTTCCGCCTCCCACGGCTGCAGAAGTTTAATGAATTTGAAGAGTCCACAGGTTCGTTGGTATGCATTTCCCACATGTGACAAAAAAAAACTGCAATGGCAAAGCAGTAGGTATTCAATTTTTTTTTCTCTACTAATATGTTAATTGTTGGCAGACAAAGGGAATATATTCCGCAAAAAACGAATAGCTGAAGAAAACAGCTTGCAAATGATACCAAAATGGCGGCATTCCACAACCGCAGGATCCAGCTGAAAATGATTTTTTTTCCCGGGGTTTGTCACACGCAACCAGTTGGATATGTGGCTTTGAATCAATGTAACTAAGTAAATACAAACTTTCCTGGTGTGATAATTGTTGAAAATGTAGCTTAAAAAATTACTAACAAAAAGAAACAACTTATTTTTCTTTTTTTTAAGACTTGGGTATCTCTTTAATTGGTGCTGCAGTTATGCCTTTTCACCACACAGAGTTTTGATCTCGGCTTTTTAGTTACGAGAGAAAAGCAGGAAAAACCAACAATGGCTTATTCCTATAAGTGTCATGTTTTGTATGTGTTGTAAAGCGCTTTTGAAGGCATAGGGTAGCATAATGTGGCGGCCCGGTGGATACGACGCCACCCAGCTGAATCGTTACTCAAAACAAACGAGGTCACTGGTACGGGGCAACAATCGGACATCTTTGACGATTTGGGTTTTGCGTGTGCGTATGCTGATCGCACTTTCTTATCTAAACAATTGAGATGAGGATTAACTTAGGCGATAAATGAATTGGTCACGGATAAGGGAGGCTAGGACGCGTTGCAGCCAATAGCCATTTGGTAACGGGTCCCGTCATGCTAGGGTTAACTGCGACGTCCCATCGGAGTAATCACGCAAGGGACAGAAGAGTTGTCGTTTGGCTACCCGGTGCCAACTTTCTCGAGAAGGTCCCTCCGAGCGTTCTTTAACGGCTTTTCGTCGTCCTTTCCCCCTCCCTGGGGGCAAACAGTGGCTGGCAGGGGTCTGCTCACAGCCCTTGGGCGCAGCATTGCTCACACGCCCGCCGGCAGGGGCGTCCTGTCCAGACTCCAGCCCCCGACTGCGGCAGTGGGCAGGCCAGAAGAGCCCACCGCTCCTCCACCGGTTGCTGCTCCCCCCAGGTATGCGCTCCTTGGCTTTTCGTTTTCTAGATTGATGGTTGGATGGATGCGTGTAACTACACCCTTTAAAACTAGCATGCCACCTTGCACCATCTAGGTGAGGTTTTAGTTTCGACAGATAACTTCTGCCTAATCTACAGAATCGTCCGTTTTATGGGATGATTCTGTAGATCGTCTCATAAAACGGCAACGCGCGGAGAAGTTCACCTCTGCACGGTGCCGGCCGCATGTGCCTGTGGAAGCTCGGCTAAAAATAGCTTGAAATTCAGTGCCACCTAGTGACTCTAATGGCAGCTTATTGTTTGCCGCTTTTATGGTAGTAATGACGATAAAGTATTTCGTTGGGTATGGTCACTTCCATATGTTTGTGGTAGATGAGGTGGTTTCCTTGCCGTGAAGCTCTCGATTCGTTTTAGTTTCGATGGTGACGGAGAAACAATCGGTCAATGCTTTGACTCGAATAAAAGCCACAGTTAAAATTTTCTACGGCAAGAGGTTTTTGACTTAATTGCGGGTTAATGAATTGATTGTACAGGAGCCTGAAGTGAATGCCAATACAGCGTTTGCGTCCCAATTTGTGCGTTGCATTTTCTAATGCCTCAAATGTGCGTGCCCCGTCTCATTGGTTGGGTGCATCTTTAACTTCTTTCATTAGCTACCGAAGGCTGCCATTTGTACGCCACAGATGTCCTATGCTTAATTGATGATAGCAATCAAAATGGTTGGATTGAATTTTAGAGAAGTCATGTCTCACAAATATTTCAATCTAATTGTGGCCTGGAAGCCGTAAAATGGTGGTGCTTCCGTTAAAGGAGCTGTGCGACGATTTTATTGTTGAAAGAATTGGCATTTTCTGCTTTTGATATTGTTCACTGTGTCACAAATGGCAGAAAACACACCTCCTTTCATCGAAATGTTGCCATTCCGCCGCGTAATAGCGAGGCAAAACTTTGAATATTTCCCGACCTGCAGCCACGAGCGGCAGCCATGAGAAACAAGCGGTGTGACGTCACTTGGGTAGTTGTAAAAAAGATAGCAAGTTGTGCGAATACCTGCTCTATAAAAGGTAGCTTTTCTATAAATCTTGTCGTTCCAACATATATATAAATGCGTCAAAACCCTGGTGTCATCAACAAAACTTTTATTATACGGAGTTTTAGTGGCGCCATCTATCCTAGGTCCACAAAACCGCGAATAGCCGCCAGAAGCCGGAGGGGGAGGGGGACAGCGCCGGACGGGTATGGCCGGACCCGGATGAGACTTTCCTCCTTTTACCGTATATTTCGCGGGGCACCTGCCAGCACGTGGTCACGCGGTTGCGAGCGGATGAGTTCTCCCTGCTCGCTGATCGCTCTAAAGAGAGAACTTTTCCGGAACCCCGCGCCTACTCAAGTGACGTCACTGCGCATGTGACCCGGAAGACGATGTACGAGTTGAGAGGCGGCAAAAACCTGGATCTTTTTCATTTTTTAAATAAAAACTAGGGCATCCAGGCAAAATCTGTTTTCTGTAGTTCACTGCAGAAGTGTCAGGCATCAACTTCCACAATTATGTAAGCAAACCCCTGAAATTGTTGCGCAGCTCCTTTAAAACGGCGGTTATTACCTCATTTTAGAGGCAGCATATTTTTGGGAACTTGTGTTTTTTGGGGGTTTATGCTATACCTCTTGCTTTGGTTTCTATGAATATTTTTGACACCTTCCCGTTAGGGCCTAAAAATGTCTGGCTTTTACCTTTTTTTTTTTTTTTTTTTTTTACTTTAAATTCTAGCCAGCCAACTGTTACCCCTAGGTATGATAGAACTCAAGGGCTCAACCATTTCAAGGGCTCCTAGGGATCATTTTTCCCCCCTCGTTTTGTCCGTGGTGGTAGCTCACAGTTTGGCTGTGTGTCGTGTTTTTTTTTTTGTTGCAGCCCTCTGGAGCCCCCCGTTGAAGAGATGCAGGAGCTCACCGTGAGACAGTACCGGGGCAAGGCTGGGAAACAGTGAGTGTGCATCTGGGCCCTCTTCGTGTCTTGATAAATTTTAACTCGCAAACTTCGGAATGCTGCTTACGGGGTGGATTGGTTTTTCCTTAAAACATTTTTTTTTTGTCATTCAAATTTTGCTGTGTTTCAAGTGTGTGCATTCTTGAATGAAACTGACAAATTAAAAGGGGGGAAAAAAAGACAAATCAATGGTTGCTGAATACTTTGAATTGATTCAAGTGAGATTATGATTTTGAGCAGTATGCCTAGTGAATTGAATACATTTTTTACAAGGGAGAGTTACAGTTTTTAGATACTGTACTGAGGGTGAATGTGCTTATTTCTTTATTATATTAAACATGGTGCATTCTCTTTTTTGAACAAAACTTGGAAGTTATCCGAAATCGTGCCCTAATGTTGCTTCAGGTATCAAACTAGCTGACACTATGTTTTGTTCTCATAAAAATGTAACCATATACCAACTTTTTTTTTAGTAGTAATTGTTTTCTTTGTTTTTTTTTTTAAGTTTTGTAGAACCTCAATTTACTGCAGGGAAGATAATCCTCTTAGCGCTTTCCTTTCCTAAGCTCCAAGGGAAGCCAAGTTGGGGCAAGGTAAAAAAGTGGAGAGGATATAGGCAAGGGGAGGTGAGCAAAAGTAAAAAGCGCTAAGTGTATGTCGGCCTTTAAGTGTGCTTTTGCCACCTGATTCATGTTCTCTCCTCATTTGTGGCCTGAAAAAAAGAAAAATGGAGTTGTTGACTCCGCATAAATGTGTGATTTCATAGGTGCATGAAAATAAACCAGGTTCTCCCCCCCCCCCCCCCCCCCAACAAAATAAACATTTAATGTCAACTATTCTCCATTCGCGCTCCTTTTGAACTTAGTTTTGCCGTGGAGAATTGAATACTTTCGCAAGGTTAAGGGGGGCAAGAAACATTAAATTTTGTTTTGATTTTTTTGTTTTTTTCTCCTTTTCCACAACGCAGGGTGTCGGTGGAGGTGAACTATGTGCGACTGGAGACTGCGCCTGGCATGGGGGTGTTTGAGTACCACGTCAACTTTGTCCCCGTGATCGACTCCAAGAAGGCACGCTTCCAGCTGGTGCGCAGCGACCCCGTTGTGGAGCGCATTGGCTGCATACGGGTGTTTGATGGGGCAAAACTGTATTTGCCCCATCAACTGCCGGACAAGGTGAGACATTTAAAGGGACCACGACACAACATTTCTAGTTTTGCTCAACTGTTCACATTAGAGAAGGTGAGAGAGGGGAATTCATTTTTGTTTATACGGACTTTTTCTTATCTACTCCCCGTTTTTCTCCCCACCGAATGTCCGACCTGCAGAATCGTCTTCCGCCAGGAAGAAAACTGGTTCCCAGCTTTTTTCCCATCGTTCCCTCTCTCACCCGTCTCTCCTCGTCTTCCCAGGGATCTGGTCTCTCGGCTACTCCTAGCGTAAAGGAGGAGGGCCACCGTCTTTCCTGAATGAAAAGAAGGAACGGAGGGAAAGGATCCTCCTTTCTGGCAGCTTGGCGGCCTTTAATGGAACAAGCGGGAAAGGATTACACTGTGGCGATAAATAATCCACTTGCGGGGCAACGCTTGGGGCGGTTCAGGGCAACGCTTGAGGTTTCCCACAAAACTTTGTTTTTTTTATTTTAATTTTGGGGTTAGCTTTAGTTTAAAATTTTTGCGCCCCCCCCCCCCCCCCCCCGCCCCCCGATTTTGATAAAACCGACACTAGGGTTAATATTTGGGGCCTGCAGTAGTAACCGAAATAACAATGCTTACGAAACGATAAAAATATGTACACGCACGCTGGAAGTGTTGTGGAGCTGCCCGATGGATGGTGTCGGTTATAAGAAAATGCATTGCACTCGGCTTCAAGAGATTGCAGGCGTGTGAACCAGCCTTGAGTGAATCCCTTTGCTCGTTGGTTGCAGGTCACGAGCGTCGTCGCCCCCCTGCCGACGGACGGCACGCCGGTGACGGTGCAGGTGAAGTTTGTAAAGGTCACCCCCCCATCCCAGTGCGTGCACCTGTACAACGTGCTCTTCAAGAAGGTGATGCACTGCCTCCAGCTTACCCAGATCGGCCGCAACTACTTCGACCACAAGGGCAAGATCCTCATCCCCCAGCACAAGTGAGCGTGGCTGCAGGCTAGCCGACGAGGAACGCCTGCCGCAAACCCCTTTAGCTGCTGCTGTTTGGCAATTTAGTGAAAAATGACTGGCCAAACTGGAGAATCGGAAAGGAGATTGAAATTTAAACGTGGACAGTTGAGCACTTTGGTGTCTAAATTACGAAGACGAAGAAGGGGGACGCAGAGGACACGGGGCTTTAAACCGGGGACAAAAGTTTTGTTAATAGTTAAAAGCCCGTTTTTGTAATATTATTAGTTGATATTTTTATATGCAACAGTTACATTCTCGAATGTTGAGTTCTATTTGGGCTCTTGCATATTTAGTTGCAAGAGCTTACTATCTACCATTTGATGTCCAACCTGCATCAGGTTTTGGAAGGTGTCTAGGTTTCTTTGAACATTTTTTCGGTTTTTTGTAAAACCATTGGCACTTAATTCTAAGACTGATTTACAATATTTCCTGTTTTGAATTGTGTAACAGTGGAGCGTCTATAGTAAGATGAGTTTTTTTTCAGTTTGCTTCACTATATCGGGCTTTACTGTTGCTAAGTTTGTGCCTCACTGTGCATAGCTAAAGCTCGCCCGTGGCAAGGTTCACTAGAAGTCTAACAACATCTAAGCGGGCGTTTGTTATAACGTCGAATGTGGTCTGTGCCAAGGAGTCTCGCTGAACTTGCACAACCTTCACTTTTGTAATTCTTTTCCTACCAGGTTGGAGGTATGGCCTGGTTACGTCCAGTCGGTGGGAGAGTTCGAGGGTGGCCTGCTCTTGAACTGCGACGCTTCCTTCAGGGTCCTGCGCACTGTTACTGCCAGGGATGTCCTGTGAGTGGTTGGCAGAAATGTGTTGTACTCTCTCTCAGCAGCTCAATGAAAGATTCCACGCCTACGCCGCTTGAATTTTCTACCCCAAATAAACTGTCTAATCAATCTGCAAAAATAAATAAAGAGATAGGAGATGCCAAGCTGCCACAAGAAGCATGCAAAGCATTTGATGGGGTGTGTAGTATCTGTGGTGTACAACATTCCCATGAGTTGTGGCAAATTGTATGTTGGGCAGACAGGCAGATGCATCAACAAGAGGGTGAGAAAACATGCATGATTTGGCAGTTCTCGTAGGGCAATCTTGGAGTGCACTGCAATAGGTGCCCATGCGACCCGGAATTGGAAAGAACAACAGTTCTTGCAAGTCACGCAGACAAAGCCGTTCAAAAAATTTTTGAGGCCTTTTGCATTAGATGGCAAGGCGAGAGCATGTGTGTCAGTGCACCGTCACCACACCTTGCAGATAGTTTTTCTCTCTATGCGAGCAGCTGGATAGGCGGTATTAATTGTATGTTTTCTTTCAATAAACCTTCAGTTATAGTTTTTCTCTCTATGCGAGCAGCTGGATAGGCGGTATTAATTGTATGTTTTCTTTCAATAAACCTTCAGTTATAGTTTTTCTCTCTATGCGAGCAGCTGGATAGGCGGTATTGTATGTTTTCTTTCAATAAACCTTCAGTTATGGTGCGCCACATCTGTCTGCGTCTTAGTCCCCGTTTCTTCGGCGCTTGCGTCCATTGATGTGCCAACTAGCCCACCTTTCAATCTTAATAGAGTCTTTTCACCTTGCAGTGCTTCTTTTTTTATATTAGTGGGTGACCCTTTTCTATTCCATGGTAACTTTGAAGACTTCCTAAATTGGATTAATATGTAGAAGATATCGCTGGGGCATTACCGGCCAGTCAAGCATTAGTGCAAGAATACCGATTAAGTCAGCAGATAAGATTCTAATTGGTATTTGGCTTCACCATTCCCAAGTTCATCAAGCTATTGTGGTCGTTAGTCTCGTTTTGCATTTGTCGGGGAATTTTGCTAAAACTGGGACTGTTGGAAAGTTTAGAAAATGAGTTCAGGCCCGTTCACACACTCTTGCGACCAAGTAAGACCGAGAGACACCAGACCGGTTTTTAAGCCTCTTGCGATCTCTTAGGACCAGCTCCGCTGCAGCGCTTTCGGTCCTAAGAAGTTGCAAAAGGCTTAAAAATCGCTCTTGTCTCTCTCGGTCTCTCGGTCGCAAGAGTGTGAACTGCGCTTTACAGGCAACATTTCGGAATGTGATGTGTCCATTTCAAGTGAACTTGCGATGTCTTTTGGGCTTGACTTTTCTGAAAGAAATCGCTCACTCTCCCTACTTAAATAAAATAACGTAAAAAAAAAAGAACCAAAAAAAAAAACTGGGACCGCTGTTATTTTTTTTAAAGGCATCTACCCAATCACCTGCCTTTGAACCTCCATTTCTTTTTCAGTTTTGTTAATCTATGGGCTGCCGGTTGGCATAATTAATGATTCTCAATCCTGCTGACTTAGATCATCATACCCAGGGTCCTCCCCACGGTGGGCGGCAGTGGCTTTGCCGCCCACCACTCCGACTGACCGCCCATTGCACTGACTGTCCGCCCACCGCTCGATTGTGCCATAGGATGACAATGTGATTTTGCCCGTGCACATTGCTGCAGGCCGTCATACTCAGCAGGCCTGACTGCCGCCACCCTTTCAAACAAGGAGAGCGGAGCCGCAGAGCGCCGCCTACCCGCCGGCCCTGCGGGAAGGGTGGGGGGGGGGGGGGGGGGGGGGGGGGGGGTTGGTTTGGCTGAGGAGAACACGAATAAACAGACTCGACAAACGCGCACCGCGCAGCAGTTCTTTCTGCACGCGGTGAGTGGCAGAGAGCAGGAAGTCGAGAGGGCTTTTCTTTTACTGCTCAATGCTTGCCTGCGCTGTGGCTTGCTTTATCTTCGCCTCTTCGCTCGCTCCCCGCCTTTCCTTCCCCGCTTCTTTATTTTTTCCAAGGCCTTTTGGTTCTTCCTTTATCACTGCGGCATAGCACCACTCACAGATCTGCAAAGTTAGAGGGCCTACGCACAGTGTGTTATATCGGCAAGCCAGATCATGCCGCATTGCAAACTACCCCCCACCCCCCTCTCTCCTCCCCTTTCCGCTGCTCGCGTGGTAATTATGTCCACCCTTACAAAAGTTCCTGGGGAGAACCCTGATCACACCTCACTGCTGCCGTCCTCGGCAGTCATTTTTTAAGCGCTCGTAAAACAAACAAATTCCAGGATCTCGCAAAACTAGACCACAACGTAATGGATCAAAACAAAATCTGTAACATTCCCGTCGAACCCTGTTATTATGCCATTTTTGTTTGTTGCGTGGACCCAGAAGCACGCATTCGTTGAGGAAAGCCTGTTTCGGTCTTGTTGTGCAGGTATGACGTGTTCAACGCCTACCGCCAGGAGTACAAGACCAAGGCGCTGCAGGCCATCGTGGGCAACATCGTGCTGACCCGCTACAACAACAAGACCTACCGGGTGGACGACATCAGCTGGGACCTGAAGCCCACCAGCACCTTCACCTACCACACTGGCGAGGAGATTGCTTACATGGACTATTACAAGTGCGTACGAGACGGCTCATTTCTAAACGCAGAATTTTGTTCTTACCGACGCTGTGATTTTATGAGCGTCTTTTTCACGCTCTTGTCTAGCACGGTGGAAGCTAGGAGAGTTGGCTCAGTTGACCAGCCGCCAAATTTTTGTGCCGCGAACCAACTGTACCTGGTTGCAGGCTCCGTGCATTCACGATACATCATAAGTCTGCTTGTAGGTCTCCCTCGCCTCAGTCTGGGCATTCTCGGTATCTTCGCAAAAACAAAAAAAATGAATGACAGCCAAAGTTTTGGAGAGGCGCAGCGTCAGCCTGCGTCTTGATGACGGATATCGAATGGAGCTTTAGCTGCGTTTTTCATAAAATACAAATTTGCATGACTGCTTGATTGATTGATCAAAGCACAGTCTGAAATTTTTTTTTATGCCGAGCATTTTATTGTGAAGTTTGTCGTGACTGATTGCTGCGAGCGGTTAGCTGCGGTAGCTATCCGCCGTACGATTCGGGTCAGTAGCATCGACCTAATCATGCCTCGGTTAAAATTTGCACACTTTGGAGGCCGAGCGATGGGTATTGATTCGTCCCATCGTTATTCCTGGTAGGCGCATCTACAACATCGACATTCAGGACACAGAACAGCCCCTGCTGCTTCACAGGGACAAGCCCAGGAGGGATGCCCCGGTGAGTTTCGATTGTGTTTACATGTACTGTTATTTGTGTTTCGATCTACACTGTTTTCAATGCTAGATCATCTCAGGTTAATGTATCTGCCATAAATAACCACTTCTTACTTATTTATTTACACGACTGTAGGTCGATCCATTTTTCAATTTTTGAAACAGGGAAACTCAAGTCAACTTATCGAACCAAAGCATTCCAATACTAACATAAATGAAACAATTGCAGTATCAAGAACACCTCAGCTTTTTATGAACTCAGTCGGTGGTACCCGTAGCATTGCGCCATCCTGTGCACTCATTTAACAAGTTACTTTTATTTTTCTTTTATCCACGCGAACGAGTATTATTGAGGGCAATTCGCAAATCACGTCCAATGTACAGCTGTGAATGGTGCGCTCGAGTCTTGGGGGTGGCGGCACTTGATTTTAGAGCCGCTCTGGAACGGCCGCTGGAACGGACTCACTCCCAGCTGCTTTTTTTCGCACGATGCCTGGTTGCACGTCGTTTCATTGACTGTCGTGGTCGTGCGACTGCACTGGAGTGTTAGCTGAGTTTCCCTGTATCGACACGAGCGGTCCGAGGAGTTAAGGTTCTCAGTGTTCGTTTACTGCCATTCTTCATTCGAAAGCTACCAACAGCTGCACCGCTGGACCCGAGATTGACCCGTCGAAGCAGGTGGTGTTCCAGTGGTGTCTGCAACGGCGCAGCATCTTAACTGTGATGGAAAACGAAGAGGCTTCCACGGTCCAAAATCTGAATAGATCCGAATGCCTTCCTGAGTCAGAGGCCGGGTTTGCATCGTACGTCTCGGAAGTGCGCGATCAGTCCCTACCTGCGACGCGATCACCGAGCACGCGGGGAAGGTGCACAACCCGCAAATTATGAGATTTTCCTCGTCGCCGCCGCCAACGTGCATTAGGAACGTAGCAGTGATGAAGACGGGAATGACAGCACTAGTACAGAGAATAGCAGGAAGCAGCTTCAGTTGTCTTGCTTCAATACGAGCTTCGCAGCTTCAATAACGCTTCAGCATCTCGTGCACCTTGCACGTGCATGCCCAGCCAAAGCACGCCGGAAGGCATAGAGCGCACGCTGAAGGCCGTGCTTTTGAAAGACGCTTTGCTGCGCTCTCACCTGTTTGCCGTAAACTGCGACCCTAAAGTTTTTTTGTTTTGTTTTCTTGCTGAAGTACAATGTGTAAATACATTGTGTAACAATGCACAATCGTGTACATTGAATCAATGTGTAGATATGGTAGTTGGTAAGTGGCGGCGTTTTTAGTTGGGGAGTGTTGTATATTGTTCATGTTCTTGTTAGGTTTGCGAGAGGGAAAGCTTGATTCTTATCTTTTACGAGAATATTACCCATCCCTTTCTCCTACTGAGCCAGTAGGAGAAAATGATGGAAAATATTCGGATAAAAAAGAAGGTTTGCACATTCTGATTTTTATTTTACTACTTTTTTGCCATTGACCGCTTTAAAGCTGTATTTTTGGGGATCTTGCTGATGGGCCGAGATTAGTGCACTAGACTTAGTTATGAGAGATTGAGACAGGTTAGGAAAACCATGACTAGAGCCCTGCATATCCGTGGATATCCACAGTAAACTGGCAGATTCGGATAAAAATGAATCAGATTTGGTGGTTTGCGAATCGGATGCAGATAGCAGGGGCTTCAGATGCGGATTAGATGCGAATATCCGCTGGTACGGATCCAATTTTGCCGAGGCGGCCCATTAACGTATGCGACCGTACAGTCTATCTACCTTTTTTGTGTACTCTCGTTCCCAGCCACTTAATAGGCTGGGGACCAGGTATGGGTGACTTAAAAAAATAATAAAACATTTTAGCCGGTATATAGTAAACAAATAGAGGGGAGGGAAACAAGAATGAGTGACGGTTACGCTGATATCCTAAATGTCTTGTACTGGCGTGGTGATGGCGGAACAATGTTTTTGCCCATACTGGAAGTGACGACAATTCAAGATGGCGGCGCCCTTGTGAAAAGGGTCTATAGAGTGAATAAGTGAGCGATACTATGAAGTGCATCATCAAATGTATTACGGGGGCAAACTACTCTCTGATAAAAGGTGCCAATTGGGAGAAAATTGTTCTTTATGTCAAAAAAGACTCGATTCTTACCAAGGATCGCTTTAGACAGTTCTATCTCGCCAAAAATACTCTCACTAGAAAAAACAAATGCAGAACTGTCAGTTGTCTCGGGAAGCGTGTTCTTGTTTGGCAGGGAAAGAGCAGAAAACATTCTTTGTGCAAGGAGAACCCAAACCCTACAAGCCGCAAGAAAATATAAGAAACCTGCAAGTGGCCTCTTCGCCTACAAGTAGATCAAAGAGACTGAATTCGATCTTCTGCAGTGGTGGAACTTGCGCCAGCTCGAGTTTCCGCACCTCATCCCTGTAGCGCAGTTCGTGTACGCCACTGCAGTAGCATCAAGTGCATCAACAGAGGGAGACTTCTTATTAGCAAGTATTAATTTAAGAAAGGCGAAACAGTCTGAATCCGTCCATGTTGACAATATTCTGTTTCTTCTACACAGCAACCTCGACAAGCAAAACGCTGCGTGTGGGTTTGCGTTTTCTGTTTTTTGACAGTTGGCACTAAGTTGTCTTAAGTATATGGTTCCGAGCATGCAGGTGAGGGTTTGTGTTTAAAACTGTATTGGATAGGAGGTGTTTCTATTATTGAATATTGTGATATTTTCCCAGTGGTGTACTTGCGCCTTACCACATATAAAACAAGTATTTTGCTGTGGCGGGTATGCGCCTCTCCTCCCACTTTTTATTGTTTGGCCTAAAAAAAATGACACAATGTTAATAGTCTGTCATTTGTCAGTTTTCATGTTCATAAAATATGCTCCTGCTTAAAGTGGGTTTCACAAAGCAAAAAGGAAAATAAATATAAATTTCCTTCCTTTAAACGCACCTACTGGACAGTGTCAATGCCACGGACTCCCAAGACGATCTCATAACTGCGAGCATCTTTCCAACGATGTGAAATGTCCCTGGAAGGATGATTGCTTCTCATATAAATATGATAAACAATACGATAAAATGATTTTCACAGTGTTCTTGCACAAAGAGTTCTTTGTGGAAAAGTAGGCAGACAGCATCATCATCAATATGCCTTTTCGAAATTTTTTTTTAATGAATGATTTTATTATATGCGCGGAATGAGACATAGATGTGGCTCTGAATTTTGCGGCTGCGGTTTGGATGCGGACACAATTATTTAAGGATGCAATTAGGACGCGGATATGAAGTCTGCGGATGCGGATGATCGAACTGTTATCCGCGCAGGGCTCTATGACTCTGCTTCCTTTTGGTAGACAGTCTAGTTCGAACTGGTTTCTCAAGAGGGCTCTCCAGTCAGACATTTTGGTAAATTATAGAAATACAGGCTTAATCATGGTGACAAAGACCAGGCAGTGCAGAATATGTCCCAGATAAACCACACTGCTTGTGTGGTTTGTGTTAAATTTCATTCTTTTTATCATCTATTTTTTGCATTTCATTTATTCATTCTTTTTATTTTATTTATTTATTATATTTCTTACTTATTGTATTACTTTTATTTACTTACTGCCAGTGAGAGTGGCTGCCGCTGTCGCCGGCACGTTTGCATCCAAATAAAACCATTCTTCCAGATCAGCTGAGTTAGTAGCTCAGTAACTATAGCATCCGACTGCCACCCCACCGGGGCTCGAACTTTAAATATAGCTTTATATATAATAGCTGCCAGCGTGTCATCACTTTGTTCATGATGCTTGTTCATAACAATTTTCCCATAAACCCCCCCCCCCCCCCCCCCCCCCCCCCCATAAAACATATTTTGCATTCAGACATGCAACTGTTGTTGCGGTTGTTTTTCAGGAAGGGGAGGAGCCCCGCCTGGTGTGCCTTGTGCCCGAGCTGTGCGTTCTGACCGGCCTCACGGACGAGATGCGCAGCGACTTCAGGATCATGAAGGTCAGTCCACAGGACCTGTTGAGACTCGACCCTCTGGGCTGTGAGTTCTCAAACTGGGTACCTATGATCCCAGGGGTTACCCAAGTTCTCAAATATCCTCCGTTGTCCCTGCCCCGAAGTGAAGTGTTCTTACTCTTTAAACGCTATTTTGAAAGATACATCCATTCACTGGTGCATGACCACGTGCCAAACACCAAACACTCTAGTATACTATTTTCAAGCTCTGTGTCTATCTTTTGTTTCTTGGTATTGAAGGAATGGGGTATTTCCTTATGTGTCTGCTACTAAGAAGGAAAACGTATAGATGGTAGAGCATTGTCGTAAAGTTTTGGAGATAAAATCGGAATATTTAATTGCACATTATCTTTGCCACGTGCGTCCGCTCATGTCGAGGTAGTTTTTTGTTTGCATTGAGGCACATTTCCTGTTTGCTAAACTGTTGATGCAGAACTTTGTAAAAAAAAATTGGGGAGATTCGGATATGTATCCATTGTGCAGAATTAGCAGTGATACTCGTCCTTCATATATTGTGCTTCATGTTCCTCTTTTGTTTTATGCATTGCCCCACTTTCTCTAAACATTTGTTTCATCTTTCGTTCCTTGCTCTCCCCCCAAAGGACATTGCGGGCCACACCAGGGTCAACCCGAACCAGAGACAGCTGGCCCTCCAGCAGTTTGTGAAGAACGTGCAGGCCTGCCCGGAGGCCATGAAGGTTCTCAATGACTGGGGCGTCAGGTTGCAGGCCGGGGCTGTGACCGTAAGCACTCCTGGCATCCCTTCCGTGGCACCGTCGGACTCTTGCCGACCCCGAACCCTTCCGTTTCTGTTGACTCTTTGTGAGGTTGCTCCGGAGAAGGGGCTCTCAAACTGGGGTCTTTAGAATTCCCTCGAGGGCTCCTTTGAGCTCCCTAATCTCTGTGGTGTTCCTATCCCTAAATAAAATATTTAACGATTAGGCACTTTTTTTTGGGGGGTGGGGGGCCGGGGCGCCGGGGCCTTGAATTGACACAGTTATGCCCCAAAAATTTCCTAGTAAAGTGTGTTACTGTTTATAATGTCCGTAGACTTCCCCACTGTTTCACTGCATCAGTGCAGAGATGGGAAGGGTCGTCTCAGCTAGGGAGACGGGGTGGGGGGGGGCTAGAGAGACTGGTATTCCTCGAGACTGAAAAGTTTGAGAACGTCTGCTTTGGAGGGTCTCGTTGGTGCCGTGGCTCATTGTACTGTGCGTTTCTCTCAGCTCGATGGGAGGATCCTGCCGGAAGAGAAGGTCATGATGAGCAAGAAGTCCTACCAACATAACGGCACTGCCGACTGGGGACGCCTGCTCTCCCAAGACAGCGTCATCCGACCGGTGAGGGTCCCCTTGCATTCTTTCGTTTTGTGGGGTCTGCGGGTCCCCGTGCCAATTTGCAGCAGTGGTAGGAGTTGCAAATCATCTAGCTGATTTTTGCAACATGCCCTCTTGCGTAAAGGTCAAAGGTACCAACGTCAAATCACCCCTCCTTGGCTTATAGCTAAGCTCTGCGCAAGGGCAGGCTCAAATGATTTTGTGGGGATGTCCTTCCGAGCAAATTTGACCAGTTCGCATCTAACCGGACTTTGCCTCTTCCATACGCAACTGTCTGTAATGTTTTCCCCTGCGATTTGTTACATGCAGGGTTCGATGTTTTCGGGTTTATCTTCCCTCTAATTTGGGGAGAGTTTCCTCAGGATTTATCTTTTCCCACAAATTCTGTGTTTTTCCCTATCCATTTGCAGTCCCCTAAAGAAGTGCAAAAAATACAAGGACGAGGAAGTAAACAGACAAGAGCGGTGTCCATTTGCAGTGTCCGATGAAAAATTGAGGTTTATCGAGGCTTTAGTTTAAAAAAGCAAGACAGGTATGGGGATCCTACCTCTCCCCAGGGAACCCCCGTGTAATTTAAATACTTAAGAAACGTCTCCGTACCTGTAAGGAAAAATAAATAAAGAGGTAAGAGTCTAAATTCACAGAACAATCTTACGCCAGAAATGTGCATACGACAAAACGCAAGGACAATTCATATTCAAGAAATGAAATTATGAGTTACGATGGAATCCTATGACAGCTCTGGAGGTGTCTTAACTCTTTCCTGAACGCGGGAAAAGCAGCAATTTTCAAAGGATCCTTGCAACCGCTTTTATTTTTCTAATTTGCGTATGCAGAAATATGACACGTCAAAATGTGACCAATTAGTTCTTTGAAAAGAAACTGAGGTTGGTATAATGTAAAAAAAAGGTTTTAAAATGTAATAAAAAAAAAATATGATGTGCCTGTGGAAGGCGTATTAACTAGTGGTGTGTGCATACTCGAATATACGAATTTAAATCGAATAGCAAGTTCCCGAATAATTTGATTTGCAAATCGAATTCCTAGTATTCGGTCACTGTAATATTAATATATTCGGCCAAAGATGCACAGTCGGCGCGTAGCTGACTAAAAAGGCGTTTTTTCTCCTGATGTTAACTCCGTGAACAGACGATGCAAATTACACCTGTTGGTCCTACCATTCCACAAAAACCTTAACTCGCAGGTTAGAAAAAAGAAAAGTAACGAACGCCACAAACTTTATAGCACATAGATTTACTCATCACCGTGACACAATCTAGCCTTGAATCACAACCGAAACATCCCATTTGTGCCGCTTCCAGAGAGGAATTGTTGGGAGGCTGGGAATCCGCGCCATGCCTAATTTTTTTCACGAGTAAAGCCCCTCATTTTAAATTGAAGCGCCGATGTAGAACACACTGCCACATTCACAGAAATCAGCGGCTGCAAGATCACAAAAAGAATACCACGTTAACCACACCAATGAAACCAGCCGATTTGTCGTTGTCGTTCTTTTGGAACTGCAAATTCCGATTCGGAATGGAACGGAAGAATAGTGTGCCTATATTTAAGAGGGTTTCCAACCGTTTGATAGCCGCGTTTGAATTACAAACTGTGACAAGGTGACTAAAGCGTCGATCGTGCAGGTGTCGTCGCTCTTCTGTTAGCTCGCGCTTGCCTTCTTTCCACGCGACAACGCAGTACATGCGCACTTACGACCAATCTACGCAGGAGTCATCTCTGTGGTTTCAGGTTTGCTTGCTCCCTTTTTAAATCTAGGGTCTCTAAAACAGGATAGATGGACGGAGGAATGGATGCATGTCGGCAGTTGGACAGCGATTTGCGCCACCTAACATGTTTTTCTTGCATCAGATTTAGGGATGCCGCGAACTTTTTTCGAATCGAAGTTTCGATGATCGAATCGAGCAGTTCGAAAGATTTCGATTTTTCGAATTGTCTATATCGTAAAATTCGACGGAGGTTGAATTTTCGAACTTGTTAAGCTAAGAAGTTCGACGCTTTTCGAACCGTCGAACTTACTACGCTAAAAAATTCGATCTTTTTCTAACTTTCGAATTTATTGCGCTGCGAGGTTCGATGCTTGTCGAACTTTCGAACTTGACTGACCAAAAAATTCGATGAATTTCGAACTTTCGAACTTATTTATCAAGAGAATTCGAAAAGTTTCGAACTTTCGGATTCTGAAAAGTCAGAAGCTCGACGAACTTCGAACTTTTAGGGTAAAAGTTCGACGTTCGTCGAACTTTGAAAGACCGGCGGACGGTTTCATTTGATTTCAAGTAGTGGGGTACATTCGTAATTTTTTTTTTCTCGAACTTTTACACGCGGTGCTGGCGTTCCTTACGAAAGACAAATGTTCTGGCATGCTTAGGTTTAAAGAAATAAATCCCCGAAGGGGCGAGGAAGGACGACGGGTTTTTGACGATTATCGCTTGTGCCAGATTTGAAGCACGCTGCAGCCGGAGCTATTTATGGTAGATATGTTATACTTCTTTTAAGAATGATCTATGTATAGCCTAGGTAAGTGCCGTCTTAAGATGTGATTATTGTTATTCAACGTGAGTTTCGAAGAAATGTCCAAACATGTATCTGCATGCAATTATAACCTAAACTTGATATTTATTTTCGTCTAAGTTGTTTGAGGTATCGCATTTAAATTAACCCATATATGCCTAGTGTCCTATATGTAGGACGCTGAAAAATTTTCAAATATCTCGAAAATATTTTTGTAAAAAAGCAAGCGCCCCCTCGCGGGTATTTCTAAGGCCCTACACCTTCTCGCGTGCAAGTCTTGGTTAGCGTGGGAGCGCACCTCGCCACGTGCTTGCAATCTCAAATTTCTCGTTCCGCGTGAGCTTCGACGAACGCCATGCCGAGGAAAAAAACGTATTTATTATAAATTCAAATGATTTTTGATGTTGTCGAGATTTTTGTCAGTTATTTCTGAGTAATTGAATATGCTCTGAAAACAATATCATCGTGATATTTGCAAACGTTTTTTGTTCGCGGTCTGTCAAATAACGGTGTCCTATATGTAGGACGCTAGGCAGATCGGGGGTCATCGTTGTGTCACTTTGGAACGCGCGATGCGTTGCCTGCGTAGCGTTGAGGTAACCTAATAAAAGACATATGGACGTACAGTAGAAACAAATGAAAAGTATTACTCGAGGCTCCTACGATTACAGAGTCGACGCCGAATCTGAAGTTATCGTATGTCGCTGGAAGGACAACAGCACAGTGACCGTCGTCTCAAATGCTCACGGCATCGAACCAACGCAAATGGTAAAAAGATATTTAAGAGATAACAGGTCCAAAGTCATAGTGGAGCAGCCATTCTTGATTTTGAGATACAATAGCAACATGGGAGGAGTTGATAGACTAGACCAAAATATTTCCAAGTACCGCACAGGCATTAGAGGAAAGAAGTGGTATTCTTCACTCCTGACGTATCTGGTTGATGCATGTGTGAATAATGCATTCCAATTATACAGAATGGGAACGGACAAAACAGAACTCCTCACATTTCGAAGGACGATAGCGATGTCATAGATGAAGAAGTATGGCTCCAAGCCATTGCGTGGAAAAAGCCGGCAATCTTTACTGGAAGCCCAAAGCCGATTTGACCGCATTGACCACACAGTGATCCCTCAAGACAAGCAAACAAGGTGTGCTCATTGCCATGGAAAGACCACCACATAGTGTGAAAAATGCGACATCGGAGTCCATATCAAATGCTTCAAAATGTACCATTCAAATGAGTAGTACATGTGCCTAGTGTCCTATATGTAGGACGGCTACAAAAACACAGTTCGAAAAATTATTTTTTTTAATAAAATGTTGATTCCGCTTTCTGAGGTCCCAGAAGCAAATATTACGGGAAAATAAATCACTTTTCTTAATTTCCCCAAGTTCAGGCACATATGGGTTAACACCACAGACAGTACATATCATTGCCATCTGCAGCATACGAAATAATATATTTATTGTTTTTTCACGTTAAGGAATAAATTAACTCATGGGAGATGATTTCTAATAGTGCTCAAGTTCAGCACGTCATTAAAAGAAAACTTTTTTTTTTCGCTTCACATTCTTGGGACGTGTTTCTTTTAGCCTGTACACATTTTGGTAAAAGAAACTTGTTTCGAAGTTCTGAACCTCTGAATATGCAAGAATAGAACACTTCCGACGAATTCTTGATAGTTTTTTTTTTTTCCTGCTTTTTATTCCCGCATTTATTCTTTTTTTTTTTTTTTTTTGTTACTATCGGCACAGGTGTTTAGGTCGAAAAGACAGCTTTGAACTTCCAAACCACTAAGCATGTGACTAGCAGTGCCTTCTGACAACGAGTTTCTAACAATGACCATCTACGCAACCTATTATGCAGTGAAGAGCGACAGTAGCTATACATATGCATAGTTTCAGATTCAAATAAGCTCGACCACGCCCTCTTTCCCCGTATTATTTTCTTTAACAGTTCGAAATACCTGCAAGGGCGAAAAGGAGGCAAAAGCCCCCTCCCCCCCCCCTACTACCCTCTTTCCCCCCGTTTTTCCTCTTCCGACGCCACTTGTATGGTAGAACGCTCCTCGACCTCGAGTTGTGTCGGCTTTTCTGCTTTTTGCGAGGCGAATCCTCCGTCCCAGAAAATAAACCTCCAGGACAATTATAAACTTCACCGGATCGGATTACTACCAGCGTGCAAGGGGTGGCGAGGTAGTTTGCCAGGTCGCTTCAAGGTTTTTCTGAGCCTCAACCTCCTGCTCGCCCCTAACCTTTCGAACTGGATGAGTCTCGTAAAACAGTGTGTTCGTGCAATCACTACTGCGTGATGCCGCGGTGTTAGGTCATGCAAAGAAAGCCGGTCCAGCCTTCCTTTGCCGGGTTTCACGTCGCCCCGAAGCGATTATCAAGGCGTGGTCCAGCAGTGCGAATCCAGCACTTCGATCAAATGCACACGTCCACTCTAAGTGTGGACAGGTATTTATGTGGCTCTTGCTGACACTCTCATAGTTAAGACTTGCCTCCTTGGGTGTCGGCTCGCTCTTTCGTCTTCAAAGCCGCAAAAAACGCCGCGGCGATTTTTTTAGGGGCGAAGCTCCTTATGGTCTACCCTTGTCCAGCATCCGTGCTCACATCGATTGCACTGCCTCCGGGATCAACCCACTTTAAAAAAAAATGTACGCCCGCACAGGGGTTTGAACTCAAGACTGATTGCTTACGAGGCAGACGTCTTAACCACTACGCTACACTCCAACATTGCATGTAGCCGCTCAACGTCTATACAGGAGAGGGTGCTGCGGTCAAATGCGTATATAATCGCGTTCAACTTTGCACGCATTGGCTCAACGTTTATAGACGAGAGGGCGCTGCGGTCAAATGCTCAACTGCGTATATAACCACAATCCATACCACACATTGTCTTTCTGACATGGACCGTTGACTTAAGCGGTGGGGATGCGTTTCCATGACTTTTAGCGGATCAAAACTGATCCGCTAGAAGAACCACTGGCTCTTCACTTCATCGGCCATAAAGCAGTAATAATGAAGTTGAAAGGCAACCCGGAACTCAGCACTACCTATGAGCAATAGAAAAAAATCAGCACTATCAGCACTACCTATGAACAATAAAATCAGTATCATCAGCACCACCAGAGCTTCGCCCCAATCAACATCATTCACCACGTGGAGATGGATCCATTTTTTTTGCTCTACGCCGCCTTGCTAACAAGTGGTGCGGGCTGTCTTTTTTCAGCATTGTTGACAGTTCTGTTGACTTCGTAGCAATCAAGTTTGTTGGAGCTGACCAAGGCGGTTATTCCAGCCTCGTCATTCGGGCCCGTTTAAATCGTGGTAGCGTCAACATTTCACTGCACGGACACTATCCCCAGACGAGCATTGGCGGAAAGGCTGCCTGCTTTTGCTATTCAAAATCCACGTGTTCTGATTTATGCCGTGCTCTCCGATTGGTTGTTCGTGTTGCTGAAGACGCTGTTGCCATAGCAACAGCTTGCTCTTGCAAAGGTCGGGAGCTTGCGGGACACCGAAAGTTTGGTTTTTCCGTACGAGAATGTCAATTTCTTCCTCTCACTTAGTGCGTTCGTGTGTGCCGATTTCTCCTGTTCTTACAATGTTCTTAACTTGCATACTTCTTAGCTAAATGGTCGTAGCCTGAGGTACTCTTCGTGAATCTGGCTTAAGTTGAGTGGTTCTGAAGCAAGAACAAGCCTCGTGAACAGTTCATTGGCCGCTGCACACCATGAGAACACAAGATAAAGCTGTAGACAAAACTTTTCTTTCCGCAAAGCTTTTGTTGTTGTTTTTATTTCGGGGTAGCTCCAGTTCAGGGTTTATCGGCGTTTACCGAAAGCACGGAACTAGGCATGGGTGAATAGAGGATTTTGGGTCCGAATCGAATTTGAAGCGAATAGTAATTTTGGCCGAATAATTTCGAATAGAATAGTTTGAATAGGACAAGCAACAAATATCACAAGATATATTTAAACTATAGTTTTATATTTGTTCTTATTTGGTATTAGAAGTACTGTAATTGTTAATTTCAAGTGTATTGAGTTCGGGAGCACGAAATGGTCGGAAGCTTGCGCCACCTGGCTGGAAATCCAAGCCAGAGTAAGTCAAACCCGTTTATTTCGAACTCGTAAAGAAAGGTCTACTAGTTCAATATAGCGGGTAATTCGATGTAACAGTTTTAATGAATTTTACTCTCAAAAATCCATTCTGCTGAAATATTACACAATGAAGTAGTCTTGCATCTTCTGCTGTTTTTTCTTCATTGCATCCGCAATAATGATATTTTTCTACGCTATCGATGGACTCCAAAATGATGAGGCCGCTGCCTTCTATATTCGCGCATTAGCGCCGAAGTATGCCGAGAGTACTGAGTACGTCCGAGCAGGAGCACCTTCTCCTGCAGGGCACCGTTCGGCTCTGCAAGTTGGCTTTCCCCTAAGACAGGCGGCTGCTTTGGGGGTAGCCAACTAACAAAGCAAGCTAACTTCCTTCTTTTTTTTTTTTTTTCTTCTCGAGCGGTTGAGTCAACCATTTGGAAGAAAAAACAATATTCTCTTCTGCGGATGGAGCAAGGAGCACTCTCTCTCCGCTCCCTCCGCAAAAGATTTTTTTTTTTCTTTTCTTCCAAGCGATCGCGGCCGCCCGAAAAAAAAAAAAAAAAAGAAAGTTAGCCTACTCTGCAAGCTGGCTTTCCCCCAATGCAACCACTCGCGTTGGGGGAAAGCCAGCTTGCAGAGCGAAACGGCGCTCTTAACAGTTCGATATATCGAGAGCGGCTGCTAATTTTGTTCGATGTAACCATAGTTTTTGCTACATGTTATCACTGTAACATTACTGTACACAAAAGTTGTTTGATATAGGAATAATTTCATGTAATCGGGTTTGATATAGTCTGGTTTGACTGTATTTAGAAAGGTAGAATAATTCTCTATTGTCGAATAATTCAATATTGTTGAATACTTAAATTCGATTCGAAGCGAATGCCGAATAGAACAGGATTTTATTGGCTATTCGTAATAGCCAAATATTCGTCCATCCCTACACGGAACCCTAGCTATACGGCGCACATGTTGCCTCGATCGAGGTGTGTAGGTTTGCCTCATGTGGCTATTCCCGGCCGGCGGGGTGTGCAGGTGCACCTCCAGAACTGGGTGGTGATGCACACAAGGAGGGACGGCGAGCGTACGCGGGGCTTCACCTCGATGATGTCCAAGGTGTGCCCCTCGATGGGCATCCAGGTGCAGCCGCCCATCATGCGGGAGCTGCCGAGCGACTCCACGGAGAGCTACGTGCGGGCCATCAAGGAGGTCCTCAACCAGAACGTGAGGCCCCACTCGTTGTTCCTCTGTACGGCGTGTTTTTCTAGGGTTTACAAATTTGTTTGAGAAAAGCCGCTACAGCTACACTAATGCTCTATGGAGGTCAGTTCTATGACGGGGGGGGAAACATAATATAGGAGGCTTATCGTCGCAACAAATGTGTTAACACCTTATTGATGAGATATAGAAAAATATCTTAAAACATTTATTTTTTAAGATATTAATGTTTAATAAGATCAAATAAAAGAACAGAGTTGAAATAAAAAATGGATAAACATGTTTCGAATATTTAAACTTTAGAAAGAGACGCCACCACCGTGCACCGACGAGTGTAGAGGGGTCACCGTCTAGTGTAGAGGGGTTGAAGACAAATGAGCGTAGCAATGGACGAAAGTTGAGGGCCAATTACCCGATTGTCGTCAGATGCTGCTTTGGTAACTTCAACCTATTTGTGCTTACCCTAGATTGCTGCCGAATTCCTGTAAAACTTTTCTCTTTAATTTTGCGTCGTTCTAGCGTGCGAGAAACTATGTTGGCTGCACACGCAGTTTCAAGCGCTGCACGTTTAGAACGAGGAGCAGCAGCTTGGTGGTGCCGGGATCGCGAAAGTGAAGGCTCGGTCAACGCACCTCTCGCAGCGCAATTATGAGTCTGCCTCTCCGCCGCGCAGGTCCAGGTGATAGTCCTCATCTTCCCCACGTCGCGGGACGACCGCTACAGCGCGGTGAAGCGGCTCTGCTGCGTGGACATGCCTGTGCCCTCCCAGGTCATCATTTCCAACACGATCGGCCAGCAGCAGAAGCTGCGGAGCGTCACCCAGAAGGTGGCGCTGCAGATCAACTGCAAGCTTGGTGGCGAGCTGTGGAAGGTGGAGATACCGATGCACAACGTCATGGTGATCGGCATCGACGTGTACCACGATATCACTCGTGGCCGGCAGAGCGTAATGGGCTTCGTGGCCAGCATGAACCAGAGCCTGACCCGCTGGTTCAGCAAGTGTGCCTTTCAGGAACCGGGGAAGGAGCTTGTGAACTGCATCAAGATTGCAATGCTGGAAGCGATCGTCAAGTACTATGAGGTGAACCACAAGCACCCAGACCGCATCTTCGTGTTCCGGGATGGCGTCGGGGACGGCCAGCTTAGCTACGTGAGCGACTATGAGATCGAGCAACTTGTGCAGTCGTTCGTCAACGTCAGTCCCGACTACAAGCCGTCGATAGCAGTCGTGGTGGTCCAGAAGCGGATCAACACTCGCATCTTTGCACGGCTGGTAAGCGGTTTGTCTTTTTCTAACGGAGACTGGTGCCCACAATCAACTGTGTGGTACTTGTGTACGCAGTATCAGAATAAAATTATGGCTTTTTGACACTTTAACTCCATGTTCCAGGGGATAAAAACCAGCCCTACTACGGTAAAAAAAGCATGTTTCTTTAAGTCTCGCAAAAATATTAGGCGACAAAGAAATCCGGCCATCTGCATTAAGTTCTTATCACAAATACCTTTTGTTCACGTTCCACCCATTGGAAAGCACGGTGAAAGAGCCCAAGTATGCATCTGGTCTTGCTACACCACCGTCTTCTGCACAATAAAGTCCGTCTTCTACGCTCAACGAACGTCAATAAACGCACACGCGAATGCAGCGTCTGAAGTTAGCTACAGCCGTGCCATCTTCCGAACGCCGTCTGCTACCAGCGTGACAACGCTAGCTTTGGCTCCAAGCTAGGCTGCCAAACAGATTGTACACGATCAGCCCTCGCTTCGCGTGGGGAAGGTTAATCTAATTTAGGCCTGAGCATGCGCCAAGCCTCGTTGGAACCGCCAAGGGTTTGCCAGGCGACCGCTTTCCACTTCCAGCGTCCAACTTTGGCTATACTCCATTTCACCTTACGTCCAGCCGCAGCGAATGCTACGGGCCATTGGAGCCAATCCAAGGCCTTATGAGTGTCCCGTGACCTTGGAGAGGGGGCACAGCGGCGCAGGGAAAGTGTATCACTGGCTGCGTCCACAGAGCAGGATTGGCTAGGATAGCTCGTAGCTTCCGCTGCGTCCGGATGCGAGCTGAAACGTAGTATAGCGTCTTGGCCTTCATGTTAGCCGGCGACCTTCGGAAGATGTCAGCTTCCGTTGCTGGCTTTAGACTCTGCGTTGTCGCGTTCCTCTATGTTGTAGGTGCTTTGTTGCCACAGTGACGTTGACCATAGCAGAGGGACTTCATTGTGCGAAAGGAGATTGCACGGTGGCGAGATCAGGTGCGTACCTGGGCTCTCTTGCCGTGTTTTTCAATGGGTGGAATGTGAACAAAGAGTTTGAAATAACTAATATCCTCCAACACCTAATATTTCTATGAGCTTTACACGAAAGTGGTTTTAGCCAGCACTTTGGATAAAGTTTCTTGTATTACAACATGGGGCTAAACCACTATACTTCGTTTCAGCTTCCGTCCGAGCGCAGCCAAAGCTACGTGCGGCCGGAGCCAATCACATGCCGGCAATAGGTCACGCGATCTCGCCTGCACTTTTGTATCACTCCGCTGCGCCGCCGGTCGGCCGCGCCGCCCGCGCTCGCCGAGTATTTCGTCTGCTACGGGTGTATCAACGATATCGTCTGCTACAGGTCTAAAAGGTGCCTTTTCACGTTCTGAAGCTTAGTCACAGGGGATGAAAGCACGTAGGCTGGCCGCTGGCATCTGTGTCCGAGTTTTCCACCTGTTCGGCGTAGTTTCGAGTTGTAAGTACACGTTGCAAGATCCCCGATGACCCGGCCGTCGATGTTTCCTTGTATTGTTTGGATATACCAGGGCTCGAGGTGCAGTCCTTTCCACCAGCTTCTCGGCGTTCAATGTGATCGGCAGGTAAAGGGGTTCCCTGATTTCGCCGCGTATCTGAATTGCAGTGGCCCAGACGTTTTGCTTGTTTACAACGCGTCGGTACGACGCGGCCGGAGTCTCCTGCCGAATTTGAAAGTAGACATTCATCACGACTTCTCGCGCCTGACGCCCAAAGGTGCCTTTGCGAAAGGACGTTTTGAAGCGACTCGGTGAGGAAAGCAGCGAAGCACATGATTCGGCGAATACGGGAACGAAATCACACAGAAAAACCGAGCGCTGCAGCCGTGTTGCCAGCAGATATACATGTTTTCACCAAACCACATGCATTTACGTACATTAATAGAAATATAAACTTCACAGAGATTTGATTCCTTTAGTTGCAAATCATTCTCAGCAGTACACATCTGGAGCATTGTGCAGTTTTTACGCACAAAGCAGTTATTTTAAAATAAATTACTTTTGTGAACTACTTTGTGGTGCGTAGGAATGCTCTTCTCGAAGTTGCGAACCGTCCCTCAGCCTTTGGCTGCGCTCGGACGGAAGCTGAAACGAAGTATAATCTGTCAAAATAATAATACTAGGCACCGAGTGGTCTATTGTACAACTCTTGCTTCTTGTTTTACATCAAACAGTTTATATTCCCATTTAGCCTACATTTGTCGAGTGTGTTCGTGGCCAAATACCAGATGTTGCGACTGTGAGTATAGATGCTTAGTGAATTATTTAATGTGACTACCCAGACTTTTGTTATCACTGCTATGACTATAGAAAACTTCTTTTTGTCACTGGTTTGGCAAGCAAGGAAGGCGTACATAGCTTCTATATTTATCTTGTTCTGAGGGAGTGTACCTGTCGAAAAAATCTAATGTGGCCGCAACCCTGTTGAGCCCTAAAAAAGTTGTGGAGTTGTTGCTGGTTTTCTCCACACTGTAAATGAGGTTAAACTTTCCTGCCCTTGCATTTTGACTGAGGCAACAAAATTTCATTGATTGGTAAGTTTTTAGTGATTGAAATCTTGTCAGTATTAGTTTTCCACTAACCACCAAACAAAATAATTATGAATATGCAAATGGCACATTTTCCTGATGTGAATTGAAAGCAAATAAACTAACAAACCGAAATGAATACAGATTAAATATTGAGTATGCACATAGGAAAATGTGACTGGAAGTTGCTTCCGGAAATCTGGTCCTTGGATGGGTAGAGAAAGGATGCATATGCCATGTGAATCACCGGATGCAAGGTTTTGTTCTTGGTAAGGTCTCCTAACCACGTTTTTTTAAGTTTGTCAGGGTTTTTACGTGGCAGCCTGGAAGTTTTTGCTTTTGTATATTGTATGCTGTCTTGAGTTCATTGGCTGTCGTCATCTGAGCTGTGAAATGTATTTGTCACTGCTGTTGTACAAAGTGGTCTGGTTGGTAGTATGAGTGTTGGGGGCATGACGATGGAATGTCATGTCCCTGGGCCACAGGAACTTGCACAGTATTGGGATGGTACCGCACGAGAGTGGCATATATACTAGTTGTGTCACTAATACCGTATCTACACGAATATATTGCGACCACGAATATAACGCGAGGGCAGGTTTTGAGGCCCTCGAAAAGAAAAAAAAATTTATTACTATTATAACGCGAACCGAGACCGCCTCAATTTCTCGCACTCGGGGGGCATAGCAGATGTGAAAAGTCAATGGAAATAGAAGAAATATCAGTTTTGTCTTTTGACTGCACTCATCCTCACTGCTCAGGTCGGTCCGTTTACAATCCACTTGGGGACTACCCAGATAAGCAGCAGCACGGCACCTGCTTGTCTGGTAGTTCCCTTTTCTTCTGTGTGAGCGCCTCGGCAGCCCACAATCCAAACAAGGCACAAAGTAGAAGCAAACACGAGATCACTCTGGAGCAGAAACTAAACAATTCGCAGGCAGAAAAAAGAGTGCTGAATTCGATACACTATCACACTTCTTGTTCTGGTCCCTCTGCATAAACAAATGCCTCGTGTTGCACCATTGCGTAAATGCGGTTGGTGGTCTTGGCTTGGCTTGTGTTGACTTGGCCCAACTTGGCTTGGCTCGAATTGACCAGTGTCCGCATTCCCCCATGGCGCGCGCGCGCTGAGTTTTTGCGGCTTCTGCGCATTGTACAAACACAAAAGTGATAAAAATGTGTTTTTATGTTTTCTATTCGCCCCTTCACGTGGCCCAATAGCCAATAAATTCCCTTCCACACCCCCACTTTTTCCACCGGATATTTTGCATTGAGCCGGAGGAATGGCTCTCTCCTCTGGCTTTCTCCAGACTCGCGCGCCTCGTGGCTGAACTCTATTCCGAATATAACGCGAGGTGCGTTTAGAGCACGTAATTTCGAAGGAAAACTCGCGTTATATTCGTGCAAATACGGTACTTACCTAGTTGTTATGATACATGTGTGTTGTCTGTCGTCATCCAGTTTGAAATGTATGGGCCTAGACCCAACTTGCCTGTTACTTTGTCTTATATTTAGGTTTGCCTAGATTTTTTTTACCAAAACTCAAATGTGCAAAAAGCCAATTATAAAAAAAAAACTAATTTATGATTATGCTTTTTTTATATATATACGTTAAAGAGGCTTGAATGCATAATTCCAGGGTGTCAGATAACTTGCATGACTTTCAATGTCAGACATCTCATTCTTCTACGCCAGTTTTGACAGCAAAAATTCTAGGGCTTTGCAGGGAAAGGGAAATTGCTTTTTTACGTGTGTGGCCCTTAAAATGCACATAAGAACTGCCAGGAGATTCATTTTGAATTCTTATTTTGTGTAACTGACTGCCCTAGGCATTAAAATACTATATCAAAGAATTTTCGAAAGGTAGCCTTTAGAAAATTCCTTAACCTCCAGTAAGTAACAATGGCAGGCACCAACATGATGTGAAAATTTGCCTCGTTGCCCAACAGTTCTGTCTGGCCTAACCATTTGTCTTCACTCTTTCACTTGCCAGAACGGAGGACGAGAGTTGGACAACCCGACTCCAGGAACTGTTGTGGATCACGAGGTCACAAGGCGTGACTGGTGAGGTGGAGTCCTGGAATTAAGGGACCAATGTTGCTCGGGGCTTGTTTGGTTTGTTGAGATGTGTTGCGCGAAAATGTTTAGGGACAGCTGAAGCATGCAGGCTGTCCCCGAAAACACATGCAGGGATCTTTTGGGGTTCGTAGACGACCCGGGTAATTAAGGTAGATTGCTGCTGGACAGCTACCTCCTTCATGACCATGTTTCTTTTGTTTCACGTCGGATATATTATACTCTGTTTCACGATAACTTGGTGAAATGTGGAGGCGGCAGCCACTGCGATTCAATAAGGGCGCCGGAGCAAGGCACATGATAACACTCCATGGTCAAGGTCACCGGGGCTTCGTTATCGCCACAGCAACGGAGCCCTCCACGACAAAAAGTACTTCTAGGCTGCTGCTTCTTTTAACGGTGATTAAACTCGCGAGATTCCATTTATAACGAGAAGATATGATGAATAAATAATTACAAGTTATTGAGTTTTAATTATATTTAAACCAAAAAAGTGACGCCACATCCGTATCTGCTCGATTTTTTTCCCCTTCCATCGCTGTGGCAATTGCCGGCGCTTTATACGCCGGCAATTACAGCTGTGTAATGGGACATTTCCAATTAATACATCGCACTGTGCCCTGGCATTAGCACCTATCACAGATTCGCGGCTAAATTGAGCTTATGGCCGTCTCATGAACTGTTCCTGAAGTGCTCACTATTCTGGTGGACAGATATGTTGCTGCGGTGAACGTTCATCCGAAGTTGGTTGGTCTCGGAGGAGACGACTCTTGGGCTAGCAGACTGCAGCCAATACCTCGGAGCCTCGCGTCTTTTGTTGTTGTTGTTCCGTTCACCACGCATTTGGCGTGGTGACAGGAATGCTCTCGTGATGTCTGGTCACGTGCCTCACTCCGCCGCTTTTATTGGGTGTCGGAGCCCTAGCCTCCACAGTTCGCCAAGTTATCATGAAACGGAGTACAGTTGAACATTGATTTAAAGGCGTACTCCGGCGATTTTTTCATGGTCGCTGATTTGCCTCAAAATTGGCTCAACACACCGATAGACATTGCTCTACGAGTTCCCCAAGTATTGTGTGAAAAGAAAAAATATTCGCAAAGTTGTTGAATTTTCTAATTTCGTTTTCATCGTGTTTCTCAAACCGGGAGGGAGCCCCTATTGGCAACATTGAAGTGTGACGACAGAAATGGTACAAAGTGGGCAGTAAGCCACGTTCTCAACTGATTGCAAGACGTTTGATGGTGGGAAAAGAATGTTTGGTAACTGAATCATTGAGAAGCACGCAAAAAACACTCGACATGCTCTGTTTAAGACTACATGCAAGACCTGAAAGTCTGTACCATGTGTGACGTCACACCACTGAAGAGCGCGTGAAAATTTGTATGCTGGTTTTGGAATCATCTTCATTTACAGTTTTCTCAATTGCTATTTTGAATTTCGAGAAAATAAATAGCATACCATGACGACTGAAGTCCGGGTAGTCGGAAAATGCAATTTGTTTAGGTAGCTCAAAAAAACGGCCGGAGTACTTCTTTAACGAAGTCGGTAAAATCCGCAAATTTCTTTGTTACATTGAAATGTCATTACATCAATATTTGGTGCCTAGCACGTAAAAAATTGAGATGTGTTAGGGGTGCAAACACTCGTCAGAAGCCTGCGACTTCTGCGACATTACTATGTCCGTCACACGACATTCGAACGCCCACAGTGCATGCATCGCATCTTGTTGCTCATGTGCACTGGTGTACCTTCCTGCGCGTCAATCGCGTCGAGCACTTCACGGCTGCTCAGCACCTCGCAAGAGTCTTTGGCTTCCGCCTCGCTGTCATCGTCTTCTGATTTGCCAAAGATGTCCTACACAATGGAATCATCGGTAACTTCTGTTGCGGCGACACACGATCGAGTCCCCATAGAGAAAGTCCTCCAGAGTGACACCATCCAGAACGACTCCGTCGCTGTGAAGGAACTGCCATGCTCCCGAAAGAGCCTCTTAGTCTTGCTCATCTCCTTTCAGGAGAGCTTCTTGGCTTTCACCGCACTCACTTTCTCTGGGAATGGTAGAGGAGGACGAAGCCCCTTTGTTTGGTTCCTCGCTGTCCACTTCCTCAGGGGCACTGACTGCAGGTGTTTTGAATCCAGCTTTCCTGAAGCAGTTCTTGATGACCTCCTTCGATGTGACCTTCCATGAAGCAGAGAGCGTCTCAAGGGCTTGAAAGATGTCCACTTTCGTTTCGCACTGTAAGCGAAGATCGAGCAGAAGCTTGTCGATCAGCCGCCGCCGATACGAGCATTTAACGCTGTTTATGATGCCCTGGTTGAGCGGCTGGATCAGCGACGTGCAGTTGGGTGGAAGGAACTTCAGCTCCCTGTTGCTAAGTTCCAGATCCTCAATGTGATGGGCAGAACAGTTGTCCAGCACCAGGCACACTCTGCGGTTGTCATCCTTCATCTTCTCGTCGAACATCTGGAGCCAACTGCGGAAGATGTCGCGGGTCATCCATGCCTTCAAGTTCGAAGTGTACTCGATCTCGAGCTCTTGAGCTCCTGTGAAGCATCATGGCTTCTTGCTGTTTCCAATAATAAACGCAACCGCTTGTCACTGGCGTCCATGTTCACACGCAGCAGAACTGGGATCCCTGCTCTCTTTTTCTTTGTGGCAGCGGTCTCTTTTGAGAGCCAGAATCCGGTTCGGGAGCATTTGGTAGAAGAATCCCATCCCGTCTGTGCGGTAGACGTCTGCCAGCTGATAGCGCGTCAGGATTCCTGTCATCTCTTTCTCGAGCCAAGCAGCAGCTTCAGGTGCACCGGCCGACACCGACTCGCCGCTCATTATCTTCCCGACGATCTCGTGCCGAGCCTTGAACCGATGGAGCCATCCACTGCTTGCTTTGAGGTCATTGGGGTACAACAGGCTTCCGAAGTCCTTTGCCTTCTACTTTACGACAGCACCACTCAACAAAGTCCTTCGCCTTCTACTTTACGACAGCACCACTCAATGGAGCGTCTCGTGCCCGGGTATTCATAAACCAGGAGAAGTCTGCCTTCTCCATATCTGGGTACGTGGTGGGCTTCAGCCGTTTTCGCTGGGCACTTATGCCATTCTTCAGAGCACCGAGGATACTCTTTTGCTTTTAAAATCGTCGAAAGCGAGCTCTGCACTATCTCGAATCGGGCTGCGACATCCTCCTTCTTTTCGCCAATTGAAATGGCTCGCAGGATTTTTTACTTCTCTTAAAGTGAAAGCACTTTGCGTTTACCACCATTAATGGTGACAAAGCATGTGAGAGCGGACAAAGTATGTACAGTCGGACGAGCAAAGCAAAGCAACGAAACAAGGCCTTAAGACTGACTGGAATGCCCGGGCCTGCACGGAATGCATGCAGACGCACTAAATGCACACACACGCGCAGTTTACACTTGCCTTCACTCAACACCACGCATGCCACACTCAGCAGAGAGCACCTCGCGGGTATTCTCCGCGGTGGCGCTTTCCGCGACTTCGCCTCCCGGTCAAGGAGCTCTCGGTGCTGCCCGCGCCACGCTCGGAGGTCCGTCCGCTTGAAGTAACATTAGGGAGTTTTCGTAGATTGTTTTTGTCTTCCTACAATTCTATCCACTGCCCGCTACGGTACCCGGAACTCTACAGTCAAAGCCATCGGCGCACAGGCACAGTAACGGCTTCAACGTTGCGGGGGGCTTAGCAGAGGGGGAAACACGGTCTACGAAAACTCCCTACATTCAAGCACTCGCGGTCGCGGTAAAATTGGTTTTACATTCTTCACTCCTTTTGCGAAATATTCCTTTAGGGCCTCCTTTTTTGGTATTTTACGGCGATGGCACTTCATTATATTGAAATAGCTGCAAAAATGATTTCGTTAAATGAGGCTAAAATACATTGTGTTCTATGCCCACGAAGTTATGAAAAATACGGTACTTTGTTAAATCGTGGATTTCACTACATTGAAGTTTGTTACATCGAGGTTCAGCTGTATATGTGTCACCCTCGGGCAGTAAAAATTTAAGTTGCCTTACTGATGCTGCCTGTACGAAGTATTAACATCTCCTATCCCAGAGAGAGTCTACATTTAAAGGGGTAGGGAAACGAAATTTCAGCGCTCATTTTCTGGCTTTAATGTGTTGCATGTTGCACTCTAACCCGAAAAACACCAGTCTTCCGTTGAAAAGCACAAGAAAACTAATTTTAAAGCTAAATAAACGATCTTCAATGTGCACCTGGTGGATGCATGCGGAGCCTATTTGGGAGGTAGTCTAGCAACGTTGTGGAAACTGCTACGTAGTCGTGACGTAGCAGTTTCCTTCGGAGCAGCGCCGCTCTTTGGTATTTCAACATTTTCCTTCTTAGCTTTCCTCCTCAACTCACAAGTCGCGCATTGTACCAAACGGTTCAAGAAGATGGATAGGAAGGACTCCCCTCTTTCTCGGACCCTCCTTTGTGCAACCGGACATAGCCATTCTCCCCCTAGAAGATTAGCACGTCGCTCAAAACTCGAACAAAAGTTGCTTTCCCCACCTCGTTCAGCCCTAAGCTGACAGTGTTGTGGAAGCTACGTGCTCCTTGGGCCAGCCACACGCTCGTCGCCCCACGGGCACTTCGAGCGGCTCGGTTGTAACGCGCCGACGCTATTGACACCATCACAACGCTAACAACGCCACCAAGGGCAAAGCTCATAACCACGCCTGCCTTGCTACTCCACGAACGCGGGAAATCTTTTCTTTTTGTTTTTGTTTGCGCCGGAAATCCCATAACGCATCGCGCTCTCCGTTCGCTTCTCTTCGAGCACTTGCTCGAGTGCATTGTTTGGAACGAAAAATATGGCCAACCATTCAAAATACAAACGCGCGATTATCATTTACGGTTATTATACGTCATGCTTGACTCATTTCCGAACGAAATCTGAATATTTCAATTTTTGTTTCCGTACCCCTTTAAGGGAGGGGCCAGCTCAAACCATGGAGAGCATTTGCAATTTAATGGTAGGTGCTTGCGCAGATTGGTCACTTGTGCGTTGCGTCATTTTGTGGTGAGGAAAAGGGGCGGAAAGGTGGACACGCTTGCAAACAATTGACGCGCTCTTCACCTCTTTGCAGCTCGTATTGCAGATACGACCCATACTCCATGTGATTCCGATCGAAATAGTTAAAAACACTGTCCTGTCGTAACTGCACATTTTAAATGCTGTTGGCAATACTAAGTTAGCAGTTTGAAGCTATTTTGGCTATTCTGGCCCACTCTGCTGTGCCCTCTTTGATATTTGGGAAGCAGTGTCCGAGTTACCTAAGGGCTCCGGATGTTACTAGCTGTCTGGTAAACGACTTTTCAAAAACCTGCCTTTCTTTTCTTTTTTTTTTGCAGGTGTGACTTTTTTTTAGTTTCGCAGAAGGTTCGTCAGGGCACGGTGTCGCCGACGCACTACATTGTGGTGCGCAACACCACAGAGCTGTCGCCAGACCAAATGCAGCGGCTGGCCTACAAGCTCACGCACCTCTACTACAACTGGCCTGGCACCATCCGGGTGCCGGCCCCCTGCCAGGTGGGTCCCGCTCCCGGCATGTCTATCTCACGCAAAGTAACACTTGCAGAATATAGACCTCTCGTCTGGCGTGTGCACTATGGAGCAATTGTTTGCGAGAAACTGCTAGAAAAAAAGATTGCCTGCCGCTCTCGAGAATCAAACCTGGGTTCGTTGCGAGTGAAGGGGTGCATTACCACGGTGCTACGCTTTGTTATAGGGTTTTTGGGGAACAAACATGAGTGCAAGTGACGAAAATAACACAAATGTCCAAACACAGCTAGGTGACTGGTGAGCGACTGAAAAAAAAACCGCCTGGTTTGGGTATCGAACCCGGGACCTCTCCATTACAGGTGGAGCACTCTACCAACTGAGCTAACCAGGGGTTAGACGTCGGTAGAACAGACGGTTTTTATCAGCCGCCACCAGTCTAACACCGACAGGGGTGTTAGACCCTCTTGTTCTCCTTCTCCAGGGATTATTTTCGTCATTCTTGTCCAGCTCGCTTGCACCTTTGCATTTAATTGCATTATAATTATAACCTTAAATTGCAAGCCTCACCCTTGTTGGTGTTAGACTGGTGGCGGCTGATATAACCCGTTTGCATACCTGCCAGCTCTTCCGAATTTTTTGTAAAATGTATGAATTGGGAGTAATTTTTTTGATTTTACGAACCTTGCTTCAAATCTTACGAAAAACATATATATTTTTTTTTGTCGTTTTTGTAACTTTGTTGTTGGCGGTATCTTGCACCGCCACAAGAGGACGGTAGGTACCGTCCACAGCAGCGTCGTGGTTTTTACTACCCGTCTATCCGGTGGCCACGGATCGAAAACCGATCCAGAGCTCAAAGCCTTTGTTCGTGTTTTCGGCGGTGCATGGGTGCACGTTGGTTCGACGTGCTCGCGTGCTCGGACGTTGTTGGGCCTCGTTGCTTCGGCCAGTTTCGAGGCGAGAAGTATGGCGTCTGTGTTTGTTGCACGTGTCACTGTAGCATTCTCCTGGTCACTGTGGCTTTGCGGCGCAATGCCAAACTCCAAACCTCAAAAGAGGTACTTTCAGGTGTTCCTTAAGGGGAAACACTGCTTCTTAAGCTTTTTTTTTTTTATTTATGGTCCAATCCAAATGAAATTTATGGAGCATAATCATCTTTCCATTTAGATGACAAATATGTACCTTGTTTTAAGATAGCTTGGTTAGTTTTGATAAAATTAACTATTTTATTTGAACGTTTTATGGGCGAGATTCCAAAAAATTATGAAGACAAAACTCAAAAAGGAATATATCTCTGTAAACTAGAAGGTCTACAGAATTCAATAAGGTATAAATGAAGGCTCCATGATTATTTATATCATTTTTACGGCATTTCGAAATTTTCAGTTTATAAATTAATTTTTACAATCTATATTGGAGGTGCTAACAAAAACTACTGATGCCTAGGTTGATGCAATTAGACCCCTGATTGGATACCCCACTTATACACCTACCAAAGAAAGAAAGAATTAGGAAGATTGGTTGTTTACAGGCCGAGATACAGCTTCCGCAAAATAGCAAACTGCGCAAAAAGTTAATTTCGAGAAAACAGCAAAAAACGTTCACTGACAGATTTTTACTGCTACCCGCGGCGAACTCCGCTTGGATGCGACATCCCCGCAGATCTTGCAACATACCTTGAGTTCTACTGCAAGTCCATACTCGTGATCGCATTTTATGGGTTCGACATCGCCGCAACTTTGAGAGTTGAAGAAGCGAGTTCACGACGTCGAGGCTTATGACAATTAAACTCTCTGTACTCTCAGAGCTTCTTGATCGGCGCCCGAGACGCCGGCCATTAGGGCAGCTTTCCGCGTCGTAGCGGACGTCGACGAAAGTTCTTCGAGTTTTTCCTCGGCTTTTTTTCTTTCTCGTCGATCTCGGAAGCGCTGAGCATCACCGTGTCGAGCCGCACTCGCTCGCTTGAAGTCAGGATGTCGACGGCGCCGTTGATGCGACATCTTCGTGTTCGGGCTCCCGCACCTCGTCGTCGACGTTCGGGCTCGCAGGAAGTTGAACTGCGCCGTGGATTAGCTTCCTTGGGCCCTTTTTCGTTTTTTTCTGAACTTGTGGGCTGTGCGAAACTTTCTCCATGGAGTTGTTGTGATCGGCATGGTCAGAGACGCGCACGAGAATCAAACAAGATGGCGGATTGGAAACAACGAGCAGACGCTTCGTAACCCTAACGGCCAATGAGAAAGCACCATTTGCACACGTGATCCGAAACAGCAAACCGCGTGGCAAAATTTAGTTTTTTATTTGTGCTTCGTTCTCGGCGGCCAATCGCCGTCTAGCATCGTGAATGGTGGGAGAAGAAAGAGCGGGAGCGGAGCTTTCAAATGAGACCAAGATGCCCCCCTTCTATCGCGTTGTTCTCGAGCTACCGGCGGTCAAATTGTACCTTTTTTTTTGCTTTTTTCGGAGGAAGCATTTCTGTTTAGATACTTCAAATCAATACCCCAAGATAAATAGAGCGTATTTTGCGATAATACTTTGAGAAAAGATGCGAAAATAACTGTAGATATTAAAAAACATAATTTCAAAAATGTGATTTTTTTTTTTTCATTTTTTTGTTTCAAGGAGCCGTGTTTCCCCTTGGGGGGACATGGCCTTGGAATTCCAAATTTTCAGAAATAATGTTTTTTTCAAAAAGTATATTTTTATGGTTATTAACTTGCAAAGAATTGTTTCAGAAAATTTCATTTTTATACATGCAAGATTTATCTCACAATAAATTATTTTCGACATATCAGCAGCCCTTTGAGTCAGCAGGGAGCAAGTTTTGTGTTTTTTATTTAGCGCTGCTTCATACTCGTTTAACCTAGCCAGAACATCTCACCCTCATTGGAAGCGCCATTTACTCTAGATTTAGCCCGTAGAGACTTTCAAAGTTTACAAGTATCAATGCCAGCCTTTACATCCAAACTGAAGAAATCCTGAAAATTTAATATGAGCAATCTTATTGGTTGAGACCCGAAAGAGGGTTTACGATTGGTCGTGCCCAGTGATGTGATATTGTGTCATCTTCAGTGACACCCTTTCACAGTATCTTCCACTTCAGATCATATTCCTGCTTTGCTGCTCCTCCTTAGTATGATTTGCCTCTTTGTTCTTGCCAGTTTATCTGTCAAGGAATGCCTGCTACAAAAGTTAGCTTGCCTACAAACGACACAAACTGGTAGCTATTGCCAGGGGAACAACTAAGTCTCAAAGAGGAAGGTGCTAACAATGTCCCGGGTGAATTTCGCCTACCTCGGGCTCATAGAAAGGAAAGAAACCTAAAGTTTAAACTTCAAGTGTATTTTTCTCAGTTCCACTTTTCGGCAGGAAATGTGGTATGAGGAAATGTATCATTTGACATTTTGAAAGTGTAAAGATTTCATTCAGTGGTGTCCTGGACTGAAATTTCCTGAGGAACAAGTTAAGGTACTGATATTCTGAAAAAGCCAACTTCTTCAAGACAAAAACTGAATATTTTAAAACACGGAAATTTGTTTAAATCTTTTGCACTTTTTGGGTGTTATTGTTTTCCTTTAGAATTGCATTTTCTACAATTAATTTTTACCTTAACTTGCACTATGGGTATTCTACTTCACATTAAAACAAATGTTTTGTGGATTGCAATTATTATAATATTTAAATACATTTCCTCCTTAAGTAACTTTTTTCTGGAGCTTTTTAAGCACTGTGTGTAGTAGAATTGGTCTACAAGACTGAAACTTTAGATGTCATCAATCCTAATGGGGTTCAATTCACCCTGTAAGTTTGAATCAATTTAAGGGAACGGTTCAAAAGTTGACCCTCCCAGGCCATATCCCCCCTTAAGTCCTACACGTCGAAATTTCCGTGCTTCGTGCCGCCCAAAATGCGAGAGAAGTTTGGATTCTGTAGCACGTGCACGTGTGATGTAAGCGTTTTGCACGCTGGCCAGGCTGACATTAAGCTGCACATCGCTTTGCGGAACTTTTACGAATTTGAAAGTCCACAGGTTGGCAGGTATGCGTTTGCTCTACTGACGTCTAACCCCTGGTTAGCTCAGTTGGTAGAGCGCTCCACCTGTAATGGAGAGGTCCCGGGTTCTATACCCGGACCAGGCAGATTTTTTTCGGTCGCTCACCAGTCACCTAGCTGTGTTTGGAGATTTGTGTTTGTCCTTTGTCCCTCTTCTCCTTCTCCAGGGATTATTTTCGTCATTCTTGTCCAGCTCACTTACACCTTTGCATTTAATTGCATTATAATAGAGTATGAGTTGTGTAGTGCCTACTAGATGGCCACTGTTGCTGTGACGTCAGGGTAGAAAGTTATTTGTAATTCTTAATTAATTCCAATCTTAATTGTAGTTGTTGAAATTAAGAGCTTTGGCTAGGCGGCGCCAGAGCCGTGTATAGAGAGAGTGGTCATTGGTGGGTGGAGCTGGCGGAAACCAGGGTGAAGCAGCGAAAGCGGCGGCGCCATTGAATCAATTTCGGCCAATATGTCCTTAATTTTTGCCCTATTCTTACCAGTTAATGACCAAACTCCCTACATATACGGCTCTGAATGGTGCAAGCCGCCGCCAGATTTAAAAGGGTTCAGCCATATCCATTCTGTCCAATACTACCTAAAAGAAAGGCATCATTAGTGTATTCCTGAGCAGTTCCAAACAGCAAGTGCGCTGAAACTCGACAAGAGTACAGCGCAAAGTGGCAGACGCGGCTGTCTTGGTGTGGCCATCCACGTGCTAGCATCGCGCTTGTTGTGAGATGCTGAAAGACTCACTGGCAGCGACGCAGACGCGTCTAGCCATTTTTTGCAGAGAAGACTGTGAGGTGCATGCCTGTGAGAAAAAGCCAATTGAACCCACATGCTGTGGATTAACACGGGACTGCTTGTTTTTTAGGCTTAACTACTTGCACAATGTCACTGTCCCAGAACAAACCACAGATCACGGCGGGTTTCTGGTCGTTAATATAGTCTGTGAACAAAATATCTCTTAGGGCTGGGTAATACCTCAAACCAAGCTTTGTTGACTGTACGTATCGCACGGCAGCGATCGCTTTAGAAATTTCCATGTGAACGGTGTTATGATGCGCGTGCCTGCAGCCATGCTGGCTTGACTTGGGATTGCCGCTTAATTGGCTTGCCCCCTTGCGGTTGGTCGTGCGCCATGCTCGTTCCCTCCCTCTTTTTGCCGATTTTAATAGGAGATAAAAGCGATGAAGTGTGCATGGGTATGATTTAAGCTTTATCAGCATTATCTTTTACGCTGATCAAGCTTTAAGGCCCGTTCACACTCTTGCGACTGAGTACGACTGAGAGCGACTTCTTAGGACCAGATGCGAGGCAGCGGAGCTGGTCCTAAGAGATTGCAAGAGGCTTAAAAACTGGTCTGGTCTCTCTCGGTCGTACTCGGTTGCAAGAGTGTGAACGGGCCTTTAGGCTTTTTCATGCTCCCAGAGTTGCCGGACTTCTTGAGCACATAAAAAGAATCTTTCAAATTAACTAGGTTTAGATGCCAAACTTCAAATTATCGTGCATTTTTTCACATTGTATGTGTGATTGTCGGGACGGCACACCTGCTTTGAATTACTGAGAATTAGTGTAGCAGGAAAGTCGGTGCATTTAATAAAAAAAAAAAAAAAGGCAACTGATTAGTGCTCAGTAATTTAACCGAGCATTTATTTGAATTTCTGTCGTGAACATGCTTCATGCAACGAAGTCTGCTAAAATGGTATGTTTTGTTCCAGTATGCCCACAAGCTGGCCAACCTGGTGGGCGACAGCATACATAAAGAGCCCAGTCCTTTGCTTTCTGATCGGCTCTTTTATTTATAATTGTTTGCTTGTTCACTGCCTCTTGTTTTTACGCATCCAGTGTTGCTTAAAGTTTCCTTTTTTTTTATGTCTGGTCTCCTGTTTTTCTATATGAAGAACATTGTTCTTTTGCCAAAGCTGGCACTTTTTTTGTTTATGCTTACGTTTTATTCATGTCATGCTCTTGAAAGTGCAGTACAAAGGTTTTGAGCTAAAACCAATGTAAAATGCTGTGTTTTCTTTTCTTCTCTTAAGCATTGAACATCTTTTCGTTTTTTTACCTGATAATTGGCATTGTAAGGTCATGAAAGTGCAAATAAATTCCACCCTTTCAGAGTTAATTAGATGTCGGGATCACTCCTTGTTTGATTTGCTGAAACATCAGATTAATACAAACATGCTGGGAGTCGCGATCAGTCCTGGAAGATGGCTCATCCTTGCTGGTTGTAATGTCTGACGGAGGGGAGCAAAGAAGGTAGTGGAGAGGGGGAAACTGTTAGCCTGTAATCTGTGATCCTAAAGAAAAGAATGCAAGGGGGACAGAAAACGGGAGAAAGGCACGAGGTTAGACGTTCGTTTCACCACAATCCATTGAAATTTTTCATAATTGTCTAAAAATGTGTGATTTCACTGCATTTGGGCAATAAAGCTAGATCCTTTTCACAAATATTACTGCACAAGTTAAAAGACAAAAAATAATTGAATTCAATTTTTTTTGCAGTTTGAGCAGTTTATTTCTGCACATCTTCCAGTGTCGTACTGTTTTCATCAAGTCATATTTCGGGCTGAAAAACACTTTTTCCGATAGCAAGTACCGGGTGACCACGTCCCCTTGTGGGATATGCTTCCTGTTTATCAATAAATTTTCCAACAAAAAAAATTCACCGGATCTAACAGCATGTCTGGAATGAGTTACATCTTAAAAAATCTCTGGCAACTACTCCATAGTTCTTTTTTAACCAAGACAATCCCGACACGTTTTGCACGTTTTATTTTTTTCCATGTGTGTACAGTCTGCACGGAATGAAACCAGAAGGGCGGAATGCATAGCCATCGACACCGGCTGCTCCACCAGGAGGGCCCCTGAGAACTAATGAAAATGCACGGGGGTGCGAGGGTGCGGATCCTCCCAAGATGTGCTCGACCCTCGTGCAGCGCGTCTAGGACTTCCGCGTTTCGCCGGTGGTGCGCTGTAAGTGCCCGGTCGACACCTGCGGCTTGTGCGCTGCGCGAGAAGGTCGATGCTGAAAGCAACAGCAAGCTGCTTGCGCACGCGCCAGCAGAGCATGCCCATGGTGTCTTCTCCTGACATGCGCAGTTTTTATCAGTTGTTATATGTATCATATTTTTATATTTAGCAGTACTCGTAGCAAAACAGCGCTTTGCTATAGGCCCTGCTCAGACAGGGTGACAAATTTATTACGCTTCAGAATTGACACGCCTGGCATATTGGTGGTTACTAAAGAGGGCGGCAGCGAGCAAGTCCTTGCTTTTTATAAGAATCGACTGATAACCTTGCTCGAAAACATGCACATTGCTTATAAAAACCGAGGCATACGCGTCAGTCTGTTGCAGCGTTTTCTTTTTTTTTTTTTCATAAATAGTATGGTTGTGCCAATAAATTTATTTTGCATCTATGATGTTTCACTATTTCTCAGAAATCGCGTGTGCCACATTGTTTACCGGAGCCTTTGCATGGTTTTGGTGACACGTCATCAAGCACTACAGGTCTTCTGTGCTTGAAATGTTGCAACTTTCATTTCACCCTTACCATGTACGCATCAATAATTAATGACAGCGCTGAAGAGATATCGTTGGGCATCCGATACGCAAAGCGATAATTAATGGGTGCGCTGGACAGATCGGACCAGAATCTGCACAGAATGACGTATTGTTCAAGGGAATGTTTGCTGAGTGCGCGAGTTGGTAGACAGACCTGCATTATGGCATTCACAGCAAGGCATACGAGCCTGAAGAACGAGAAATTAATGAACGAGCTCTGGGAGTGGACGTATGGATGTGCTCGTATTTTGTTTACTAAATATTTGTAGTAGCAACCTTCAGTTGGGTGTCAGCAATTGTTATGTGTCCCAACTTGTTCTGTCTTTTATGTCGTGCTGTTTTGCTATTAGTACTGCTAATTATAAAATTACGATACGTATAACAATGAAAACTGCATGCCAGGAGGAGAAGATACCATGGGCGTGCTATGCTGGTGCGCGCGCAGGCAGCCTGCTGCTGCTTCTAGCATCGACCTTCTCGCGCCGTGTGCAAGCCGCAGTGTCGACCGGGCGACAGTGCGGCATCACAAAAGCACTCCGAGTGACCACCGGTGAAATGCTGAAGTCCAAGACGCACCGTGCGAGGGTCGAGCACATCTTAGTAGGACTCGCACCCCGGCGCATTATCATTAGTTCTCCAGCCCTCAGGTGGAGCAGCCTGTGTCGATGGCCACGCGTTCTGGCGTTCAGGTTTCATTCCGTGCTGACTGTACTTTCAAACGTCTGCATTTGTGAACGACAAAATGGCGTCGTTGGATGCTGTTCTTTCATTCAATCGTGATAGGCTGATAGCCTTGCACGAGCGAATCTTTTGAAGTCCTGTGGATTGAACCCTGGGTGGAACACCATCAAGTGGCTGAGAGAGCCTGACCACAGTCGTATATACTTTGCGGACTGCGCAACACGACAGATCACAAAAGAGGCCCGGCAAGCAAGGCGTCAAGCCGAAAAGCAAAGACATACTACCAAGCTGGCGGCTATTGAAGAAATGACACCAAAGTTGTGCCAATAACAATTTGTTATTCACCTGTTTTTTTGTTTTTTTTTTTTACTGACCAGAGTGTCGAACCGAAAGTTTTATCTCTTCGGGTTCGAGGCTTTTGGTTCTGTTCTGGCTCAGTTCCGGGGAGCAAAAATAGCTGTTCAAACCGGTTTGAACTGCTAAATTGGGAATATATTTTTTGTGTTCTGACAATAGGCACTATTTATGCCGTGAAACAACTATATAGTTTTTTTTTCTATCATCCATAGAATTCACTTTTATTTTCAGCTACCAAAAATGTGAAAACCCGTTATTTAAATTCAACGCAAACATTAAACAAAACAAAAAAACGTACATAAACATAGAAAATTACTTATAGAATTCAACATCCCTTTGTTTGCCAGAATCATATTTTGCCCGAATCAATATATTTAAGCGACAGTAAAGGGTTGAGCTTGTTTGTAGATACAGCTTCAACTTTGAAACTGTGCTGCCATCTCCTGTCCTTTCCTCCTGTTTAAGTACTGTTCTAAAGTTCAAGCTGATATACTTAGAAGTATTAAAATGTTGATGCGGAGTGTGGTAGGTCGCCTAAAGTATCAAAATGTCGATGCGAAGTGTGGTAGGTCCCCTAAAATACCAATAATTGGTACAGCTTTGCGTTGCAGTATTAAAAGCTAAATCGCAGGTTTGCCCTTGAACTAAGGAAATAACTGCAGTGTGTGAAATCATTCAATGGGCACCTTGTCGCTATATATATCATGAACTATGGTTTACGAAATATGTTTTACAATATATATATATATTTATGTTGACACACCTGAGCGGCAATTGCAATGTTTGTTTTTCTGACCAAACATTATTTGCACTTAGTACCATGATGCAGGCGACAAATCATGCATAAAGGAATGATAAAAATTGTTCACTTTAATTTACAAGCACCTTTGTACTCGGATCGAGTCTGGCCTAAGATAGCGCTTGCCCATAGCCGCCTCTGTACGGAAGAGCCTGGCACGTCGCTAAAAAAAGTGGCCGCCGAGAGTAGGAGAGGAGGGGCGGGGAATCGGGAGCGGAGGAACCTTCTTTGCTAGCGCCACACAAGAGCAAGCGGACAAACGCAGAAACAGTTTTTTTTTTTTTTTGTTTTTTTTTTTTCGGAATTGCGGAGAGGAGAAACTCGACGTCAACCCTTTCCCTTCGCCGTCTCTGCGCCGCAGCCGTTTCTGGGTGATTTCAGATAAGATCGAACAGGGGGTGGCTGGTCGACCTTTTTAATTTGCTTCATAATTTTATATGTTGTTTCCCGATGTCCAAAATGAACAAAATCAGAATTATTTTCACCCAGAAAAAAAATTGTCGAACGCAAAAAATTGTACATCACGTAGAGGTGGAAAGTCGCATTTGCTTGCATAGCCGGAGGGGGCAACTTTGGTGATTAATAACTAAAGTTATACTTCTTAGGTGAGTTTCATAATATTTTAGTGTAATCTGTATGTACTTAGCAATGCGAAAAAAAATAGTTTTATTGTTTAGTATGTTTAAAAGAATTAATAAAAAACATCAATTTCGGCTCCTTGACCGTTTTTCCCCCAACTTTGCAGGCCTGTATCTTAGGAAATAATTGAGTCACAAACGTCATATTTTCATTTAATACGCTACTCTTAAATGGAAGTACATTCACTAAAATTCAAATTTATTTAGGTGCGGGTTGGGGAGATTTTGGCAAGCAAACACGAGACGAGCACCAAAATAAAAAAAAAAAGTTAAGGGCGATTTAAAAAAAAAATTCGTTCTCGATTTTTTTTTAAACTCTGACCGGTCAGTCTACTCTATTTGGGGGTTAATATCCATTAAAAACATGTTGCATTATATTGATGGTGTAATAGATACAGCACCTCTACCGAGCCCCTTCTGCGAAGCTCGGCACGGTGTACCCCTGTGGTGCGACGCAGTTATTGCGACTTCTTACTTCAAGAGAAAAGTAATTTTTTTATTCATTCGAGTATAGCCAGTAATAGTTTGTCACATCTTTGTCACGTTATAATAAATTGAACATTAAATATAATAAATTGCACATAATATACAACAGATTCCTGCCTTCATAGGTTTCAAAATGAACAGATTTTGGCGCAAACATTTTCTGACGGTGTGCACCTAGAGTTTCTTCCAAGGGGATCCGACAGTCCGTGCCACTTGCAAGTCGCAGGTCGAAGCTTCTGATGTTTTGCATAGCCACACATTCCACGACTGAATACCAGGAAAGGCGCGCACTCCCACCCACTCTTCATTTTTGCGCTGACGGAATTCAGCAACCTCGTCTTTGTCCAATAGTGTGAAATTCACTCCTTTTAGTTTTTGGGAAAGACTGTTCACCATGCATTTTGCAGACTGTATGGCCTTTCCTGGGAGCTGTCTCAAGTTGTGAAGCGTTGCTTGGTGTTTGACGAGTCCTCCAACTCCGTCACACGCGTTTTTTTCCGTGCCCAGTGGCTGAGAATAGCCATTGTGCTTTGGGAAAAACATTTTTTTGGAATTCATGAAGTTGGAAGCGATTCTTGAAGTGACTGGCGGCACCGTC